ACACACAGACACACAGACACACAGACACACAGACACACAGACACACAGACACACAGACACACTGACACACAGACACACTGACACACAGACACACAGACACACAGACACACAGACACACAGACACACAGACACACAGACACACAGACACACAGACACACAGACACACAGACACACAGACACACAGACACACAGACACACAGACACACAGACACACACAAACACTCAAACACACAAACACACAAACACACAAACACACACAGACACAGACACAGACACACACACACACACACACACACACACACACACACACACACACACACACACACACACACACACACACACACACACACACACACACACACACACACACACACACACACACACACACACACACACACACACACACACACACACACACACACACACACACACACACACACACACACACACACACACACACACACACACACACACACACACACACCACACACACACACACACACACACACACACACACACACACACACACACACACACACACACACACACACACACACACACACACACACACACACACACACACACACACACACACACACACACACACACACACACACACACACACACACACACACACACACACACACACACACACACACACACACACACACACACACACACACACACACACACACACACACACACACACACACACACACACACACACACACACACACACACACACACACACACACACACACACACACACACACACACACACACACACACACACACACACACCACACACACACACACACACACACACACACACACACACACACACACACACACACACACACACACACACACACACACACACACACACACACACACACACACACACACACACACACACACACACACACACACACACACACACACACACACACACACACACACACACACACACACACACACACACACACACACACACACACACACACACACACACACACACACACACACACACACACACACACACACACAACACACACACACACACACACACACACACACACACACACACACACACACACACACACACACACACACACACACACACACACACACACACACACACACACACACACACACACACACACACACACACACACACACACACACACACACACATGTACTCACCTAGGGGGATCTGAAATAGAATGCGAGCATGCCAAAAACATGACTTCCAGAAGTGAGGTCCTTCGGTTTTTGGGGACACCATGTCTAAAGAACGCAGCGAATGCCCTCCCCCACCAGCCCTAGGAGTTTTGATTGGGCGACTTTGCTTTTGAACGAGTCCACTTCTATGCTTTGGAGAGGGTGCGGCTCTCTTTTAGCACAAAGCTCCGTTTTTAGGAAGCACCCTTTTCATGAGTTGCTTAAGAGGTTCCCTGTGGTTCCGTGAGGAAAATCATGATGCGTGAAGCTCTTTCCTGCCCTTTGGCCTTCCAACACGTCTGAGCAAGGCTTCAATTTTGGCAATCCAAACGTTGCAGTTCGGGTTCCTCCCCTTCCCTTCCTTTGTGATAGGACACAAAGAGCAGATCTATCATGCTTTTTCGGTGGGGTTCTCCCCCCATTTCAGAAACACACCACGTCTTGTTGCACGTGACATGGTTCTTTGGTTTGTCAGGGGCAGGTGGGTTAGAAGAAACACAAAGACTTTCTTTTTTTAGTGAAATTGAACTCCATGTTAAATCTCTTGTCAACCTTCATCCAAAGCCATATTTGGCAAGGTATTCCTTTTTAAATCAACAGCTTAAGATAAACAACATACTTCAAGTGTGTCCTTTTTGAACATGCATTGGATTCTGATCAAACGGTGTAACTGTCTAACTCTGCTGGAAAGGAATTCTTACCTAAGTTCAGTTTCAAAGTGGGATTTTTAATTGGATCTGAACTAAGCACATACTTTAGAGCCTCCGGCTCACTCCGCCGACCTTGTCCTCTCCCTTGTCTCCTTCTTCCTCTCTCTCTTGTCTCCTCCCGGTGTGCTCCGTCGTCCTCTCGCCCTCCCTCTGCTCCCATCCCCCCAAGCCTCTCTCTCCTCAATCTCCCTCTCTCTAGCTCTCTTATCCCGCTCTCTCTCTCTCGCTCTCTCTCTCTCTCTCTCTCTCTCTCTCTCTCTCTCTCTCTCTCTCTCTCTCTCTCTCTCTGTTGCTCTTTCTCTTTCTGTCTCCCTGTCTCCTGCCTGTCCACGCAAGGGTACCCTCATGCTAACCTCTCTACTGGAGGACCTAGTCTCTCTCTCGCCCTCTCTTTCTCTCTCTCTCGCTCTGTCTCTCTCTCTCTGTCTTTTTGTGTCTCTCTCTCTGTCTCTCTCTGTCTCTCTCCCTCTCTCTCTCTCTCTCTCTCTCTCTCTCTGTCTTTCTCTGTCTCTTTGTCTGTCTCTTTCTCTGACTCTGGCTCTGTCTCTGTCTCTCTCTGTCTCTCTGTTTCTCGCTCTCTGTGTCTCTCTCTCTCTCTACGCTGCAGCGTCACGTCCCCCTGAGTTACCTCGATGTCCGGACACTGCCCCTTCATGACCTGAACTGTCTGCTTACTACTGGCTTTCCCTTGATTTCCTGCATGTCCTTTTCACGTTTCCCATGATGTCCTGGCCATGTCCCTTCCATTCCTTTCAACTCCCCCTTCATGTCCCTGTCATGTCTGGTTTCCTTGTCCTTTGTTTCCCTTTCATTCCCCCTGTACTCCCCTTGTTTTCATTTCTGTCCCTTTCATGTCCCTTCCTTACATTTCCCCTTTGCTCCCCAGTATGTTCCCGCAAAAAACACGGTTTTCCAGCGTTTTCGCAAAAATAATGTCAAAAACCAGAGTTTTTCCAGATTTTCTTGCAATCCCTTCCCCCCACGCGGTTCTTTTGGGGAAGACATATTTGGAAACAGGCCTCGGAGTCTGTCTTTTGGCTTTAGGGAAATGCGTTGCTTTTTGGCAAAGGGTAGAAGTGCCACTTAAAAGTTGAAGTGGGTGTGGCGTTTTTTGAGGTACCCTACAAAGCAAACCACATTGTTGTTTGGGAGGGTCCTCTAAAACAAACACAACCAAGACGAAAGACAAATCTGTGTAGCACCTGGACAAGGGAATTGCTGAAAGGGGTGGCAATTCCGGACTAGTGGAAGCAGGGCTCATCAGTAGAGCCTCTCTAGCAGTTCGTGCAGGTTGTGCAGACATGGCTGTGAAGATAAGACCATGTTATCAAGCTGCAAAAGTTGGTGCAGTTTGTCTTTGCAATTTGGCCCGCCAGTTGGGACCATTTGCGCGTAAAGTGCAACACCTGGATCACAAAGAGGCTTCACACTTTTGAAATCGCAGTTGCGGTGAGGCGAAACGCGCACAAACCCCGTTTTGATGCGAATCCCAATCCTCAAAAACACATGTTCATTTTAGCTCAGCAAAGCTATGATTTCAAAGTTTGCCCCGAAGGCAGGCGGGTGTTGGACGCAGGGGCCCGTCCGCCCCAAGGCTTTCACAGCTCAGGCTCTGGAGTCATGGGTCTGGCATTTAGGTGTTCTTGGTGTCTTTTGGCAAACTCAAGGTTTTTGCACCTTTCAAGTTGTCCAAACAACAGAGCAACAACATGGCAGGGGTGTGCGTTGTTTGTGTTTGTTTTAGAAATCTTGAGGTTTTCCACTTAGGGTCTGCACAATCTGCACATTTGTTTTAATCCGTTTTTTGGAAGCTCGAGGTTTGTTGTGGCTTTGAAAGCACGTGTTTTTTTTTGGTGATCCCCCTGTGCTAGTGGTAACTGGAATTAGTGGGCGGGGTGATGAGGGAAGGAGAGCATATGTTCGGAGCCCGCCCCTGGCATGATGTCCAAAACCGTTTCGATGCATTTCTTGAGCTTGCGCTGCCAGATCTTGTTCGTCGATGACGGCAATGCTCCAGACACTCGGACTTTCGAAGCCCGAAAGGGAGTTGACTTTTCGACATCCAGTTTTGGTGAGGAGGGACATGGGTATGTCTTTTCTGGGAGCCTCCTTTGGCAAAAAAGAGAAGTTCATCCGTTTTCGGAGTCTCAAGGCTGTCACTCACACCATGGGGCCGATCGAAGCTCCCAACTTTGGAAGCTTGAAATTGAACCGACAGCTGTGCCTTTCTGGGCGTGTCTTTTTTTAAGGGTGCCCGTTTTGCAGTGGTTTAAAGGGAAACCACCCTCCCCCCCCATTTTGAGACACATCTTTGAGGTGTATATTCGCAAACATGGTCGGGTTTGTACGATTGCAGAAGCTCAGCTAGGAAGTCTCTCTTGCTAAAACGCACAAAAATACGAGACTTCCAGCTGTGCTTCTGCAATCCCATGTTTGCGAATACACACCTCAAAGAGTTCAACTTGACCATGAGAAAGCAGTTCCGGAAAATTAAGTTTTTTCGACCTGATAATGTTGGTTTGCAAAAGGGACATGTAGCAGCACTAAACGAAAGCAAGAACAAGGCACGCTGAAAGCAAAAGGGTGCCAAATGCAACCCGAAGCAAAGAACTCACACTCACAAGACTTCACAACTGAAGAGAGATGGTGTCAGGAAGGACAGAGCATGGCAATGGCGACCAGGCCCACTTGTGAAGAGAGGTGAGAAGATATGACGTGGTCCAAGCCTGGCCAAACCAGGAGACGGGAACCTGCCAATATGAAAGAATGGGCCAGGGATCATGCGCTGTGCTTGCCATCAGCGCCTCCCGCCCCGAGGGTCCAAAGATGAAACGAGGGATCTGTATGGGATTTCTGCTCATCCGGATTTTCGGGTCCTTGGCACATGTAGATCCGGATTCTTTGAGGAGTCCGAAGACAGGTCGAGAAAGTGCAGGCCGAATCTGGCAACATAAGAGTGTTTGCACACAATCTGTAGGCAAGCCCAAGAAGCCGTTTCAACAGCGCGAAGGGCCGAGGAGTTGTCATGTGACCGGATTGGACGAAACGGCGACCAAACCAAGAAGCACTCCCCCGAACACTCCCGGAGCCGCTTTGCCCAGTTCTTCCAGTTCCTATGCGTAGCAAACCGGAAACCATGATGGCAAAGTAAAACCCAGAGCTCAGATGCGGAAGGCTCATCAGTGGCGAAATGACAACTATAATAGACTGTAACCCCAAAGCTATGAACCATAAAGCAAGTGAACCGACACCATCAACCAGTGGCTTGCGTGGGCCGAGGAGTGGCAATTCCACGAGGAGCTGAAAGCAATACACCCCAAGGCGGTCAAAGAGGGGGGGTTTGTTGGGCATTGTGCAGGGTGTTTTGAACCTCAGTCCTGTGCCAGAGGTTTGCCTTTCTTTTACATTGCCTGTTTGGCTTGCTTCAGTTTCGCCAGTTTGAGTCTGGGTTTGGCCAAGATTTGGTTTCAGTCAAACTCCAAAGGGGTGCCTTTGTGTGGACCCCAATTCTCCTCAACGTGAGCCCACCTGGAAGAGTGGTCGCCCCACTAAGGGACGCCCTGAAGATGCTTTTTGGGTGCCGAGTTTTGCAGTTGAAGCATGGCTTTGGGGTTGGGTTGTGCAGAACATGTGGGCGTGGCTTGTTGGTTGGCGGCGCGTATCGGCGGCACCTCGGTCCAAGAAGAAGCCATAGCTGTGACAATTCTCCACTTGGACCGTTGGTGTAAGATTGCTCTTGCAGGTATGCCAAGCTTGTTCCAGCGGCAACCGCATCCAAACGTCGGCCCCTGATGAAAGAGTAAATAGGGGGGGGGTCCTTGTTCCCCTCATTTGTTGGACAGCTCCGGGTTCAATGGATCGTTTCTTGAACCCTCTGAGTCTGAACATGTTATAAACTAAACTACCAGTGTATGTTCTCACACTCAATCTGCGCCGGCGGAAAAGTCACCAAGCAGAACGGCAGATCAATTCCTTCTGGCAATTCCTCGTTGGTTTTCTCCACCAAACCTGTCCGGCCCATCTCGATCGGTGCATGTCACTAGGTGCAGGTGCACAGGAACGAGAAGCGGCAGGGGCTGATCCGATCCAAGGTGCTCAAGCCGGGGGGTGCTTCAGGGATGACGTGCCTCGGGTCCATGGGTCTTTTCTCGTTTCAAGGTTCACGAGACATGGACCAGAAGCAGAGCACGGTTTGCTTTTCGGTTTGGGGGCAATGGGCAAACACTGAGGTAGGTGCCTCTTTTGGGCAAGGATGCGGCTGCTTTCCGCAGGTCTTTTGCATGAGAAAGCCAATTTGACAATTGTTGAGTTTTATTGATTTCAGGTTCACCTATGTTTTTTTTTGGTTCACAGCTGTGTCTTTTAGGTTTGAGGGTTTTTGCTGTTGACATGAACATTGTAGCTGGTGCTTGTTTTGCTTGAAGGTTCTACAGGGCTTCCTGTGTGTCCCCTTAGGATGGTTTTAAGCATCGTCATTTGGGTCAACTTAAAGTGAGTTTCCGTTTGGTGGGTGATGATTAAGGGGCAAACATATGGGGACCACTTGTGGCAACATTGCATGTGCCCTCCAAAAATATGGCCATGTTGGAAATATGCCAAAGTTGTCCGAATGACAAAATAAGCCTCCGAATTGGTTGGCACCTGTCGGGCGAGTGGACGGGGAACTCTGCCTGCCAGGGTAGTTGTGTTCCTGGCGGCATGTGTCAAAACAGAGACCTGTTCGGACCTGCAAAGGTGAGCCACGGCTTGGAGCTTCCCTGGTTTTGAGACATTGTCACATCGAACGCTCATCTGGCACTGTTTGCTGGCTTTGCCTGGAATGCGATCCAAGGCATGCCATTCGTTCTACTCCACCCCGCATAAGCAGTAGAAGGGAAGCCTTGAAAGATGAAATGGACATGGCTTACCTGCGCCGCAATGCTTGAACTGTCATGAGGCATGGTTCCTGGTTGTCAGGGCTGTGAACGCGGAGGGTAGAACCCCTCAGTTGCCAACAAGGGCTTTCCAGCAAGGCCGTGCGGGAAGTCAAATGTGAAGGCTCACATGAACTGATTATCCAGCTGCCTATGGGGTGTTCTTCAAATGACCAAGCTGGGATCAAAACACACATGAGCTCCAGACTGCATCTGCCCCCAAAGTGGCTTACCTGTGAGAAGGAGTGAGGGATTTGGACTCCCAGTCCTTTGACCCGAAGGGAAGCTTTCGCCTCAGACTTCGTCTGAGGTGATCGGCGCAGCCTTGATCAGCAGCCGTGGGCCCAGCGTGGGGAGGTTCGCCGAGTCGGCACCAGGCTAGGTAAATGGGGGGAACCATTAGTTGCCAGAGGCAAAGACATTTGGCGACCTACTACTGGCAGGTAACCATACATTTGTGTCAGCAATCACATGGCTTCTGCTTATAGCTTTCACCCAGCTTCTGGGTACCTACTAGAGTTGCTTGACTCTTCAGGGTCGGTTGAGTGGCCATCTTGGGCAAGCCTCGCCCCACCCCCCGACCCCCCCGCAGAATGCTCCGTGGAGCTCTTCGATGATCCCTCGGAAGCTACGAACGCATTCGGATGCATTTGTTGTTTTTGACGAGTGCGCACGCATGCAAAGAGACCCGCAATATAATTCTTGCTGTTCTGCAAGTTTTGGTGGGGGCTAGGGACTGAGGGGGCTGAACGCCTCGATCTGTTTAGCAAATTGACTTCATGTTTTAAGTGAGAAGTAAGGGTTTAGGGGCGTTAGATTTCTGATGGCTGGACCACCCTCAAACATGGTGGGCGTATATCCACATAAATTATACCAGCAAGTCACCCCTTCGGGTCCACTCAGACAACCCAAATGGGACAGGCCGATCTGGCAAGTTGCCCTAACTCGCAGCGACTCGACTGGCCATGTGGGCCGTTGTCCAACTGCGGACATGAATGCCATGGGTAGGCAACTTACGTTTGTGAGCCCCGAACAAGAGAAAGCTTTGACGCAAGGAGCACCTCTGTTTCTGCGTGTTTGGCCTGTTCGTTTTCCCTTGGAACAAACCCCAATCTTGCCTTGCAAGAAGCTGGCATGATTTTTATATATTTTTTCCGGCCAGCCAGGGCCAGAGGAACATGATAACCAGGCCACGAGCTCACCCATGAATGTTCTTTTTTTAAATTTTTAAAAGATAAGTCAGAATCATTCACTTTCGCTTGGTTGAAAGGAAGCGGAAAGGATGGACCCATTTTCGACGATTTTTTCAATTTTTTCGAGACCTGCCCCGCCAATTTTGGGAGCGCCGAGCCCTTCCTTCCCGAGGCCCGGTGATCGTGTTCATGGAGCCCCACTGCGTGGTGAGCAAGCAGGCCAGGAAGCGCACACACACAAAGGGAAGTGTCTAAATGGCGATGTCTTTGGGGCACCCCCTCTCACCAAATACCCAGCGAAGCTGCAGTTCTGCAGGTCCAGCAACATTGGCCATTTGGCAAATTACCAGATTTGGCTCTGGCTTCATTTTCGTCATTGCGTTGCAACCAACAAATGGTAATTGCCAAGTCTTGCCGGTGCGCTGGCAATAGGGTTGGATGGCGAACTGCTTTGGATCGATCGAGCCATGACCTTCCTGAAATTTGTGGGTTGGGGCTCTCAGTTGTCCAAAGCTAACCTTTTTACCTTTTTGGTTTTCCTATTTTGCTCCATTTTTAGTCATGGCCCCAAAAGGTTAACCTTGTATTTCCAGGTCCTTTGGGCAACTGAGGGCTGTTTGTGTTGTTTGTTTACGGCATTTTCCAGTGGCCTTCCCCCATGGATTTTTTCAGTGGGCCCCGAACGCGCAGTGGATGGAGCCGCTGTTGGAGCAGCTGGCGTTGGCCAAAGACCACGGGACGCTGGTGATGCCTATCCTGGACATCATCCCGGAGGAGCAGGGTAGCGATTGCCATACGTGTTGAATATTTTTGTTGCACCCCTCCAAGTCAATGGTTAGGGGTCCAAGTGACAGGCATTAAGAATAAGGGCTTTTTGTAAGCCCGAATTCCCATGGTTCCCCTGGAGCGGAATACAGTCCGAGTGCTGGATAAGAATTGGGAGGATTGCCTGCCATGTCAGGATATACCTTTGGGGAAATGGGAGCCCCACGCTTGTTGGCAAGAAAACCCAATGCCTGCGCGGTCCCTCATTCTGTGAAAGTCCCAGGTCAGGTGGGTGGGTGTGAGCTACCCTGCATGTTCATGCCATGTTTGCACTCCTTGTGAAATCAAACAGCTAGTGGGATGCTGGTGAGTGGCCCAGCTGGTCAACGACACCCTTCAAACTCCTTTCTTGTTTGGTGGGTTCCCCCAACTAAGAATGGTCAACCTGAAAAAGGCGTTCCGGCCTTGTCATTGGGCAGCTGGATTGGAGTTCGCACGCGCAGAACAACTTCAACCAGTACGTGCCAGCCAACCACCACATTGGTGGATTCGAGCTTTGCATGCAATATGGAGCAATTCGGAAGCATTCTTTTGGAACCCACAACGGATAGAAGAGTGGTTTGGAAATACCAATTCGGGTATGAATCTGAAAGGGGGACCCTGTGCACATCATTTGCATGGCAGTGTGCGGCCCACTTTTGGAGGTCCTTAAGAATCGCCAAAGGGAAGTATATAGTCACATTGCGGCCATGCCCTCAAAACCAGGGGTCTGTCGGACCCGTTGGATGGCGGGAAGCAAGGAAACGACCCAGTTCTAAGGGCCTATCTTGAGAAGCCATGTGCCATGGTCGCATCGGTATGAGTTGGGCTCCTTGATCCCTTTCCTGAATTTAGGCCAGTGCAAGGTTTTCCTATTCAACAAGGCACAGTGACCCACGTGGAAGTGTCCGAGCATCAACGTGTTCCCCTACCAAAGCATTGAACAGAGGCACATCCTGTTTGCCTTCCGCAATGTTTCTAATTTCGGGGACATGCCATGTGTTCGCGGATAGCTGCTTGGGTGGCACCTTCAAAAGGAAGACGCATCAACACCAAGCGCCGTGCGCCTCCTCAGGTAGCACTGCCAGGATTTTAATTGGAGCCTAACTGGAGTCCCTTTGAAAGCCGTTTCCCAAAGGACCGTGTGGGTCTATCTTAGAGGGCCCTGCTCTGAGTGCGACTTTGGAACCCATCACAGCTCAAGGTGCGGCATGAACATGGAGGTAGTTCGGCAGGGATATATTCTACGCGAGCCGCACGGCCCGGATCCCGAAGCCGGCAAATGAACATCACCCAGCGGTTATGCATCCTGGCCCATGAGAACCATTTGCTGCCTCCGATGCCAAGATGAATCACCTGACAGATCAGGGAACCGTTTCCCTGTGGAAAGGGCTTTTTCCTTTGGGAGGCCCACACTTCCAAGTTATTTGCCAGATTGTCATTTTCGGCGTCGACATTGAGGAGCATAACAACAAGCCTATACGGAGCACTCCAGGCTTCTTCCAAGGTGCCCAGTCTGACCCAGGGCCAAGCACCCCATTGTTTCACTCATTTAAGGTAGACGTTCCTGTCACATCCTAGGTGTTTCATTGCTTGGAGTCCTTTCGCCACGTTCCTTCCCAAGGATTGGACGCTGACCTTCGGGTGGAAGGCGCTCATTGAGCAGCGGAACTCCTCGTGCGCTCGTGGGCTTGCCGCTTCGCCGCTTCTTAACAGTGGGGTTCCTTTGCAACAACGTTTATTTTTTCCCCCGTTAAGGTGGGCGTCTGTCTGAAATCAAGAAGCCAACACAGGGGAAAGCTGTGTTTGGGTCCACATAGCCGATGGGCACTCCCTTGATAAGCCATGCGGGACATGCCCTAGGTTGGTCAATGCTATGTTCGCTTTCTAGGGGTTGTTCTTGCCAGAAAACTACGAAACCAGGAAAAAGGCTGGTTTGCAAAGAATGATGGCTCAAGCTCAAACGAACGGGGAGCCAACCTCCAGAAGCTTGTGCTGCTTGAAACCAAGGGCGCTCTGCGTCCTGGTCGACTGCGCCCAAGCCACAAGCCCCAGGGTGTTACTGGGATAACCACCTGAGGTCACTGGCTGGCCACTCGAGAAGGGGTCTATAACCCCTTTTTCCCCTTGGGGAATTGGAAATCATAGTGGGCTTCGGACCATGGCAAAGGACCCAGGCTGCGGGGAGGTTCAGGCTGACAACAAAAAGTAGACACATCATACGTACCTATTCCAAGTCAGCGTCGGTATAATATATATATATATATAACTATATATTATATATGGATACATACTTGTATAACTTCTGGCTATGATTAGGCTGCCATATTGCACACGACGTCAACACAATGCCAGCATATGGAAGATCCCTCTAAAGATGTGGGAGGCCTCCTCAGCTTTTGCGATGGCCAAGGGCGCAAGTGCGCTGTTTGGTCTACACCAAGGCTCTGACTTCCTCCAAATGATGACATGGGAAGCCAGTTGTCCAACTAGCTCTTTCTATCGCCTGGGTCTAATTTTTCCTGGTGCACACCAGTTGGGATGGATGCAGCCCCTGAAATGCTGGGACACACCACCTGGCAACTGGCACATCATTTGTCCGTTCACAGCAGCTGGTGATCCAGGTACAAATATCCGAATGTCTATCCGACGCCGGCCCTGTCCGGTGGCATCTTCGGCATTTGGAGCCCGGGTTTCGGGCTTGCCGGGGGCGTCGGGGAGTGAAATCCCACAATCTTGGAAGTTCCCCCATTGGGAGACAAACCCCACTAACCATCCATGTTGCACCCAGGCAAGGGAACCAGGTGAGTCCTGCAGTGCGGACCCCCCGCAAGCAAACCTTTTCCAGGGGAACGCGCGCCAACTTGTCTTGAGTTGCCTGTGCGGACGTCTGCAGGGAGGCTTCGGGGCAAACCATGACCCGAAAAACCCTGCGAGAAATGAGAAGGGCATGTATTCTGGCATGTGTACCACTATTGCCGCAACTGCGCAACGCGGGACACAACCTGCGCGCCGAGCCGGTGTCTTTTTGGCGGCTCGGCCCGTTTCTGGCGCATGTCTTGGCCCAGCAAATGTCCCTGTTTGGACCCGGGCTGTCCGTCCCCGGGAACCCGATAAAGTTGCTGCAAAAGCCGAGGTATATAGTGATGGACTCCCCCCAAAATGGTGGTTTTCCTTTTGAATTCCCGTTAACGGCCACAAACAAAAGGTGCCATCACGAAAGGACATCCCCCTATGTCCACCAAAAAAGATCTGTAAAAATGACAGCGGTCGGGCGAGGAGAGACAACTGGGAGCGCATGGGCACTTACGACACCAACATGACCGAGTGGGGCGGTGAGCACATCGAGGCCAGCGTGGCTGAGGCTTTTTTTTGTTGGGGGGGATGTCCTTGCAACATGTGTATGGCCAAAAAACACGTATATATGACTGTTTGATTGATTTTTGTCTGCTTTTAGACTTCCATCTTGGGCAACATGCCAAGAAAAACAAACAAGAAAGCGCGTCTGGTTTTTCTTTGAGGTGAGCCGAGGACTCAAACGAGGAACTGTGGATCCCGTTTTCCAAGCCGTCCAAAGGCCCGGGAACTGTTCGCCTGAGGTTCTCTGTCATATTGGAACGGAAGGGATCACTACGATGAAGATTTTTCTTTCTCAGGGACTTTCAAGGAATTGTTTTAAGTCATCCAGAGAAGTGGCGGGTCGATGTTCCCCCTGCTTCCCCCCCCCCCCCCCCATGGCAGAGGCATGAAGCATAACACTTGCGATGCTGGCGGCTGACGGCTGACGTTGCTTGTTTGAGGGCGCCAAACTTCAGAGTTGGAGAGAGAGACCAAAAAAGCACCACAAGTTTGTGCGGTCACCCCATTCTGAGACAACCACCTGGCAATGGATAGACATGGGTGTTTCCTTTGTGGGGGGTGTTTTAAAGGGAAGCCAAGTGCATGGAAATCCCACGAATGGAATGTGTCTTCTTTTGGAGCCGGCACCGTTTTTGGAGTTATGCTGTCTTCCCCCCAGCGGTGCGCTTGTTTCTTCTTGGCCAGAGGTCGGGGTTTCGGGACAGCTCAGCGAGGGTGTTTGGCCCCCCTGCTCCGCTTTGTGGGTCCTTTCAAGCCAGGCTTGGATTGCCAAAATTTTGGTTTCCCGTCGGGTTTGGTTTTGATCACTTAGAGCAGCTTTGGGAAGACTACAATTTCCGGGAATCCAACAAGTTTCAGCGATTTACCAGGGATCTGGAAGGGGGCACTAGGAACCCTTTTTCACATCGCCGCAAGCACAGACCCCCCACACGGTTTGGTTTTAGACACATGATTGTCCCTAGCCGTTTCCACGGCTTTCAGTCCGAAAACAGAACCTCTTTCGGGCCCCGAAGGCGCCGTCAAACGCCTGGCTCGCTCGTCCCTCCCTTCAGCTCGTCCGCCAGATGTCCCTCCGCACCTGGCGCTGCGGGGGCCGCATCTTGATCGTGCCCTGCTCGCGCCGGCAGCCCCAGGATGGATGGGGGAGGCGTCGGAGGATGGTTGCGGCGCGCGAAGCGACCGCTGGAACGCTTTTAGGGGTGAAGTCCTTGTTGGGCCCGGTTCAGTCCAGGTGTCAATGGCTTCACCTTTGTCCAGGTCCTTCGGGCAGGCGAGTTTCAGGTTCCAACTGAAATTCCCCCTGCAAGGATGGTTGAAAGTTTCAATCCTGGTTTGGAAAGGCATGTTTGTCGGGTGAGTTTGCTTTGTGCTGTGATCTTTTAAGGTCGGACATGTAGGGAACCTTGATGAATTTCAGACATGGCCTGATGCTCAAGGTTTGCCGTGTTTGGGTCAAACTAGGCGAACCCCCCCCCAAAATGGTGGTTCCCTTTTTCGGTTTCCCATCAAACAAATATGATTTTGCATGGGACCCAGGTCAAAGATGGCAGACATAGACTATCATAGATCCTATGCAAATGATGTCGGCCAAAGGGCCCGCCTCCAACTTAGTGTCATTCTCGTATTGATTTCCGCATCAGGGTTTGTCTCAAAACCACAGACAAGAACTCTCAAAATGGATAGCTTCCTTACCTTTGAAACAACCGAACGGCCTCCAAAAAGCTATTTTATATTTTGGGTTGTGACTAGTCAGAACAAAGTCCCAAATCTACAGGGCCAGATCCAAACTGTGTAAATATCCCCATGGCTATGGAACAGAGGCAGGACTTTCTTTTTCTTGGAGTACCCCGTCCATTTGGATCGGAACGCTTTTCGCATCCCCGAGGCATGGGCCACGTCTTCAGGGCTCGCGGCCTCAGTTGAGCGGGGCAGGGGGGGGAAGGTGGGGGGGGGAAGGGGTTGGCAGTTTCCGATACGAATCAACCGACTTCCAACTTGGAGGATTTAGTGGGAAACCAGCAGTGGTGTTTACTGAAAAGCGAACATTTCATGTTTTGTGCGATTATGTTAGTATGAAACCAACAGTGTCTGGGATGCGGGTCACATGTTCCAGGATGTGAGTCACACGTAAGGTTAAGACCTGTGCAACTTGCGTCGTCGCCACCTGTCTTGACGTTATGCTGTCTACTCCGATTTTCACCGGAATGCTGGGCTTTGCCCGTATTGACGTGGAGTCCGATACCTTGCTCCAGCCCACCAGCTGCTCGCGACGAGGTGTCGGAGTGCTACCGGCCCCGACCCCCAAAACCTCCAGGTATGGCCTGGCGAGCCGGTTGACACGACCATCACCAGACTTGGCCATCCAAGGGCCAAGAAGTGCGGCAGCTGGACGGGAGTGCGGCATCGGCAGGGAGCCGCCCATTGCCAAAGCCTGTCCTTTGCGCAGCGCCCTGTTCTGCACAGGACGGCGATGTGCATGCGCCCGCAGAGGAAATTTTACATCGCCAGGAATTTCGTGCTGTGAGTACCTCGACCGGCCTGTGCCGCTGTAAGCTGTTGAAGTTCCAACCGGGTATCACAGTCTTCGAACGACCCGGGGACTTTCATACCGCGGCTGGGCGACGAGGGTGGTTGCGGGGAGGGTGTTCGTTATCGAAACGTTGTGAAGCCCAACACTCTGGAGTTCTACTGCCCAGACTCTCAGACCCCTGGTTGCCGGCACAGGAGCCTTCGCTCCAACTTTCGGACAAAGATTATAGTCGCTTGTGGATGAAGTTTAGATGCATCGCTGTGATCGTCGCTCAACGGTCTAGCGTGGACGACATCGTTTGAGAGGTCAATGTCTTCAAGGTGTCAAAACGACAGGTTTCACTGGGCACTGATTTGAAGACACCATCTGCAAAAACAACACGCTTTCCAGGGGTCCTTTTTCAACACCGCAGTTCCAGTAATTCTTTCAAAAGCATGCCCTTGCAAGTAATTCGCTAACTTGCGACTTATTGGTTGGCAGCAATGTTGATGTGAGCAGCGTTCAAAACCCCAATGAAAGAAGTTAGTAAAGGTGTTGTCCTTCAAGTTCCTGTGTTGTCCAATGAAAGGCCGATTTTGAACTCTGGGTTGCTTGCTGAACCGTCCGCGAAAGGGTTCCTTGGCCCAACGTGCTCCGCGGAAGGACAATTGTGGAGTGCGCAAGATTTGTGAAAGGCCGCGAAAGGGTTCGCGAAGGCAGACATGGAATATAGCATCGTGGAACCCAGGTCTTGACCACCTCTCCTGTGTCGATCTCCTTAGTGCTCATCCCCTGAAGACAGCCAAGAGGGTATCACAAACAATGAGATTCATGTATACAAGCATATAGTTGGCCTTTGTGTTTGCCATTTGGCAAAACCACAAAAGTGTGAACACGTTGCCGTGCCGGCGTTCACAAGCGATGTTCTTTGGCACGATCCAGCCAACGTGGAACCTGGAAAAGGGGGGGGGTACTGGAAGACAATTTTCCTCCCCAAACAGCCCATTTCCACGACAAAGGTTCACAAAGCTTCATCCTGGACTTTTCTGGTTGAAGGTCCAGCCTCTGCACTCGTCTCTGCACCCGCGAGCCGAGGCAAAGAACCCCTACGTGGTCCATGTTCCAGAGGCCAGTCTTGGAGATGGACCGTGCAGCTTCCTTGGCTTTTGGCCTCAGAAGACTTGGGTGTCGTTTCTTGACGTGTTACTCAGGAGCGTCCCTGGGACGTGTTTGCTTTGAGCGTTCCAGGGGCAACTCGATGAATTTGGTGAGCCTTGCGTGCCTGGTTTCAGGATCGATTTTCCCTTCATGCATGGTTCTATGACTTGTTTGCCACAGGGAATAAAGCCCATTCCCCTTTGGGAGTACCTGGTTTAGCTCCATTTGAGGGTCACCAAATAAGAGAATTGTGGCCAACCCCATCCGTTGGAACTCCATACAATATTCCATTTGGTTGGGTATGCTAACTGCTTCTGACTCACTAAACCCTGGTTCTGTGACTGCCCCCCCCTTCGCCGGAAACCCCGCGCCAAACAAAATGCTTTGCGAGCTGGCGTGGTTTCGTTCCATTCGCTGGCCAGGTGATGAAGAACACGAAGCGCGCAGCGCTGGTGTGGCTAGATCAGCACCTCGAAGACTACTACAAGAAGGCGGGGGGGGGGGGGGGCGGGAGCGCTTCTCAGGGGCTTTTCCGGTTGCCTTGGAGCTGGACCCAACGGACCTTCGAGGTGGGGGAGGGAAGGGGTTGGGGATGGGGAGGGGGAATGGTTCAGGAACTAGCCTTGGCGTTATGTCACTGTGACACACTTTGTTTGGCGCTTTAATGTTTTTGTTGAGAAAGAGCCGGCTCCTTTCATCTAACCGTTAGTTTTTTGGGGGACATGGTTGGTCTTTGTCTTCTTTTGCTTGAGATAGGTAAATGGGTTGTTCCCGGGTGGCTAGCCCAAAGTTTCTTTTTTGGATGTCAAAGACCATTTCCAGCTAGTCTTCCCTTTTGCAAGCAAGCGTTGCAATGTCAGCTGGCGTTGCAATGTCACGGCCATTTGAGGGGTGTCCAAGTTAAATGGTGCAATGCTTGGGTGGGAAATAATGACCAAGTGGGGGCCCGCTCAAAACCGTTCAGGACGCGTGGATGCCTGGTTTTGACACTACCCAGATCTTTGAGTTGGATGTTACGTTGGCTTTACGCACACACGCACACACACACACACAATCCCGAAATTCTTGCCATGGGAGGCAAATGACGTATTTGGCATGTATGGCCTCTGCAGACATTCAGTAGCCTAGATCATGCACACCCCCCGCTCTACCACGTGTGCCTGGTTCGGTAGTATAAGGGGATTTGCTTTTATAGTACCCCAGTACCCAATTTGAATTATTTAGGCCCTTGTATGATTCTTTGAACTTAATGACTGAGGCACCAGACTCCAAGTGTCCTTGGCGCCTTGTTTTCTGATCTGCTCGGACAATCCTTGGCATGAAATGAAAGGATGTGCTGAGACTCCTACTTTTGGGAACCCCAGCTTGTTGCGTTCCAATTCCCCAGACAGGCTCCAGGGTGGTCCGGGGCGGCCCTGAGAGAAGGTTCCACCAGGGCTCCACCAGGGCTCCACCTGGGCTCCGCGGTACGAAAAAGAGCACTGCGTGGATATCACCTGAGCTTACTTTTCTTTTGTTTTTCTTTTTCTGCACGCTTCCTTCCCTTAGGCGAAGGAATTAATTGGCCATCCAGGCCGGCAAGTCACGTTGAGGGATGTGTTTCATTCCATAAGGTTGTCTGTGTGAGAAACCCTTGCCAATTTGCCAATGGGGCTGGTCAAAGCTAGTGCCCCTTTTTGGCATCTCCAACAGCACATACTGTGGATCGACAAAATCCCACTTCGCACCAGTTGCGATGGATGAAGCCCTATAAATACTTCGCCACCTACGAGGTGCGTCCAGAGTAATGTCGACTTCGGATTCGTCCGGGGCCTGGACCTTGGGAGGAACCCCGTTTTCACAATGGGATGCTGCTCTACTCAACATGGGACCCACCAAAAAAGGCGTCCATTTCCCAAAAGGCGTTCCGGTCCATTCAAATCGGCAACAGGGTTTTTGGGTTCCATTTTAAACTGGGAATCCTAGTAGGGTGTGACTCCCCACTCAACCCGACAAAACACCTCCGCCCTAGTCAACTTGCTGGTGCGTATCGAATGACCCAGGGAAGGAACCCAGGGGTCATTCCCTCAAGTCAACTGGTTTGCTAATCCGGGGTCAACACGGTCCACAGCTCCGACGCTGACACACCAGAGGTGCCCTACGCACGCCGCATCGAGGTGCGGGCCTCGTTCTTTTTTTTTTTTAAAGCCAGGGCTGAAAGGCGGTGCGGGTGTTGGCCGCCCCCCCCCCCCCCGCCACCCCCGGCCCCCCCCCCCCACCCCCTTTTTCCCCCTCCCCCAGAACGTGGATTTGTTTTGAACAAATCCAACGATTTCAGACCCTTCACAGTTGGTTCCACGGATCCGATGAACAAAAGGACTGTGACACGAGCAGAGGGTTTTCCAATGCTGTGAATCTTCGGTTCGGGGAGGCCAAAGGTCTCCCAACAACCCTCCGCGTAAGCCGGAGTCCCTTAGAAGCATGGTCTCCTAATGGTTCCACTACCCCCAAACCACGACCCCCCAGGGGTTGAATGGGATATGCAGCCACTATTTGGCCACCAGAAGAAGCATATATATATATATATATATATAGATACATATCCCAAGTTACTCTGGGGGCAGTGAAACTGGGGGTAGTGGAAGCCATCTTGCACTAAAGGGGATTTCCAACTTGCAGGTCTTGTTGCAGGACATTCAGCAGGACCCTTGAGGCGGTCGCCGAAAAGGCCTTTGGAGCACCAAAGGCCCGAGATCACTCTCACACGACTCCCAACCTATCGCAAGGAAGTTTCCTTTCACTGAAAGGACCGCCAAAACATTCGGGGGAGGCTTTGAGGACACCTTCTTCGGGGCTTGACATAGATATCGGGCTAATATAGGTTGCTGAATGAGACAGGCCCAAACTTGGTTTGCTGGGGCATGCCCTTTTTGGGATGGCACCATCCTGTTTGGGATGGCGTGAAGGAGAAACAAATAAGACAACAGCATTTGGGATCCTGGGAGTTCCCCGCCCCCATTCGTAGACAGATCCGTTTGCGGTTTGCTCAAAAAGTCCCAGTAGTTTTTTGTCCATTTGGAATGGTTCGGGGACTCACTAAGATCCCGGAAACCTGGGCCCTGATTTTCCTACCAGAACTGTACAGGGGGAACCAAAAGGACACGGCTGCCATTTTCGGGGAACAAAACCATTTTGACTGAAAGTTCTTGCCTCTGTGTTGGGTTCCAAATGGGAAAGTCTTGTAGGGGAACCCATTGGCGGTTTTCCTTTGGTCCCTTTTCCACAACAAGCATTCTCAGTATCACCCTAAACTGACGACAGTAACCGTGCAGATGCCTGGAGACAGTAACACCGCAAACAGTAGGGGGACGCGCTGTTACCATAGGTGCCCGTTTTAGGTGAGCCTGGTTAAAAATAGATAGCACTGGTTTAGATGGGTTTTGTTCCATTTACAAGGGCCATCTATTTTTCCAAAAGGGCCACCTATGGCCGTTACTGCGCGGTGTCTCCTTTCAACAACCTGAAAAGAGCACGTGCCGATCTAAACATTTGCGCTAAGGCGGGAGATGTATCGGAGCGGCTGCGCCTCAAGGAGCGTTTCGGGTCCCTCTGCGGGTGTCCAAGAGGAATCCGTTTGTTTGTGTTGTGTTGTTTTGTTTGGTGTTGTTTTGTGCTGTTTTGTTTTGTGTTGTGTTGTGTTGTGTTGTGTTGTGTTGTTTTGTGATGTTTGTTTGTTTGTTTGTTTGTTTGTGTGTTTGTTTGTTTGTTTGTTTGTTTGTTTGTTTGATTGATTGTTTGTTTGATTGTTTGTTTGATTGTTTGTGTGTTCGTTTGTTTCTTTGTTTCTTTTTTTTCCTTTGCATGTTTGTGTGTCTTTGTTTGTTTGTTCGTTCGTTCGTTCGTTCATTCGCTTGCTTGCTTGCTTGCTTGCTTGCTTGCTTGCTTGCTTGCTTGCTTGCTTGTTTTTGTTTGTTTGTTTGTAGTTTGTGTGTTCGTTTGTTTCTTTGTTTCTTTGTTTCTTTTTTTTCCTTTGCATGTTTGTGTGTCTTTGTTTGTTTGCTTGTTCGTTTGTTTTCCAGGTATACACCTTTTTATTAAAAAGCAAAAACACACATGGAACCAAGACCATTTTTCGGGTTGTGCTATTGTGCCAGACGAAATGTGGTGGGTCCTTTTGCCTGGGACAGGACATGATGGGTTGCTTAGCTCAAGACGGTACATGGGGGTGCATTCGCGTAGGACAACGCACAGCGGGTGCGTTTGCTGAAGACAAAATACGGTGGCTTCAGTTGCCGAAGCCAGAACATGATGGTCGCAGTCGCAAAAGATGAGCCATTGCTGGGATCAGTGCTTTCGTTTGCTTAAGACGAAGCGTGACATGTACTTCACGCGATTCAAGGTGTACCACTCGCCTAAAGACACACACACACACACATTGCGGGCTTAAGACAAACATGCCGGGTTCATTCGGAAACATGGGCTATGGTGGCTTTATTTGCTGAATGCGAACCAAGATTTTGGTTTATTTGCTTGACGCAGCGAGGTTCATTTGGTTAAAACGAGGACCCCCAACAAGGGACCTTCAAATACGACCTGCACGCACACACACACACACACACAACCGCGTGCTTGCTTTTGTTGCAGCCTTTTTGGAGACGACCGAAAGAGGCGCATTGCGCCTCGTCTGAGACGGGCTTCAGTTGGAAACCCGGGTCGCTGGACATGGGACGCATAATCTTGTTTCGAACACGACAAACCTAGTGGTTATTCCATCCATGTGGTTCTCCATTGAAGCAACTTGAAATAATTGTTGGGTTTCCATAAAAGATCAAGGGACGAGTGCAATTGTTTGCAACACACCAACAACTTGAGGTCTTGGTTTGTGTGTGTGTGTGTGTGTGTGTGTTTTTGAGGGTTTCCTTTTGAGCCAGACCGCCTTGGAACCTCTCTGCCTTCAGAACGCATAGAGAGCATGCCCGAAAAAGTCCAGGAGTCTTTGCACTGCCAATCAATGGTCCGCCGCCCCAGCGACGGGTGCAGGCAAAGCGGCGTATTGCGCGGCTCCTTTTTGGTGAAGGCATCATGTGCTTGTGGACCCTGTCTTGGTACTGTTGTGCTTGGCTCATGACTCATGGCTCAACTTTGGAGCTTTTTTGGGTTGGCTTTTGTTTGCGGGAAGCAACACAAGCATGTTCTGCCTAAGAGCACTTGAAGGAAGATCCGAGAAATATGTGCCTTGGGTTGAACACCTTTGTGGAATTCTGGTTCTCGAGCACTCTCATGCATCAGCGTGCGGCAACATGATCGAGTCAGGCAAGGGCTTCAGAAACTCGGGTGCATTCGCGCAAATTCCCGGAACTCAAATTTGCGATGATTCAGGTTGGCAACCCTGACATCTTTGCGAGAGCAGATCGATCATAGCAGCTCGACATTGCTCAACTTGGACGTCTTTGCGAAGGAAGATCCCGGACCCCGCTTAGGGATTGGGGCGCCGGACTTGCCACTGAAAGCCCCAGAGCGTGTTTGTAAGCAAAGCGTTGCTTAGGTTGTTTGAGAAACTACACAACTGCGTGGAAGACAAAGTAGTGGCCACTGGCAGACTGCCTTTAAGTTCATGTTGCGGATCAACCTCCCCCTTTCATCTTTCCATGCTTTGTCATTTTGGGGTTGTTGAAATGCGGGGGTGGGACCGGTTGTAGCGCATGGCGTTCGCTTTTTTTCCATGAGGATTGGTACATGGACAACATCTACCCGGAGCTCCGAGTTGCTGTCTCAGAGAAGGATGCTTCAAGACTGGGGACTTTTTGCGACTGGTTGCCACAATTTCAAAACAAGTTGGAGTGGAGCTCCTAGTTCTGACACACGCCACTTCAAGAAGCCTGAGAAATGATCCGAGTTGCGTAGGTAGTATATTGGGTAAATAGCCATTTTCCATTAGGTTTAGTTTTCTAAGGGCGGTTCCCTTGATTGGCAGCTGTACGGGTAAATAGAATCACCGGGCTGGGTAGACGAACATTAGTAAGGACATTCCTGACGGCGCCGCCACTGCCGTTCTGTTGCGTTGCAGGCAAGTCATACATGAGTTGAATAAAACTGGGTATGGGTCCGGGTCAAATTAAACTTGCAGGAGACCGCAGGCTTTAGTCCTTGGTTCCATTTACCAGGGTCCCATGTTGGGGCGAGCCAGTTAAACAATTTTTTCCGCAGGGGCCTGCAAGTGGCAGGGTGTCCCCCCCAGCAAACTCACTTTTGAGGCATGCCTTGGTGCGGTAAGGGGGATGATCGCCTTGCCCCAGTTCCGATGTTCACTTTCCAGCAAAACACAACGCCTGCACGCAATTGTGGTACTGCACAGCGAGGGCAGTTTCGGTGGGCAATCCCAGTAGATGTTTTCTCAGCTGAAAGACGAGCGCAGAACCTTGCGCTGTTTTCTCAGGTTTCGTGGTTCGTTTTCTTACGGCCGAAACCGCAGCTGGGTTTCTCCGGAACCCACAGAGCCCTTCACGAGGTTCGAGGCGACCAAGTTGAAATGGCCAGCCCGTCTTTCTTCAAGCCCCTAGTTTAGCGCAACCCTGTCCACCAAACATGGTGCGCAAGCCCATTTTTGCACAGCTTCTCCTTTTGGAAAGGCCGGTCTCGCACTTCCATGTTTGGTGGTGGTGCGGGGATCCTTTTCAGGGAGCAAGGGGACACCACGGGGAACCCACCCAGTTTGAGGGGTCCACCGCTTAATGGCTAACCCATGCAACTTGGAGGACTCTGCAACTTTGCGTGTGTGCAGTGGAGTAATGTCAAGGGAATTGCCACGCAGGTAAGGCTTAAAAGGTGCTTACGAATGGGGGGTATATACACCTCTCTGGGCTTCACCTTTGGGCTCAAACATGGACCACTCCGCTGGATTGTTTGTCTTCCCAACCACTCCCAGCCGACTGGATCTTGAGCCTTTGTGTGTTTCCCCACTGGCCAAACCCATAGCCACAAGTTGAGGGGCTTCCAATGTTGGCGCCTCCAAGCCTTGCCCCAGGCCGAGCTCAAGAAGTAGAGAGTTTTGGCGCGGCGCCCTTTGTCCCGTGCTCAGATCAAGTGGATTTGCATGAGTCACAGCACAAAATTGACCGGGGGCTGACATGTGTCCCGTTTGAGGGAACCTTTCTAAACAAAAGCGCTACATTTGGGTTACACAGCCTATTTGGGAACAAACCCCTATTATGGCCATGAATAGACCCCCGCGAAAATGGTTGGTGGACATAGCTGCCCATGATTTCCGCCCACTGCTGAACAGGAAGATTCCCTATTCTTGGACACTGCTTATCAAATTGGCCCATTTCCCTTTTTGCTTCATTTTTTTGTTCAATCAGTCTTCGGCAGGAACCCCTATTCCGGCAGGTTTCTTATGAGCAAATGCTTGTTGCTGCTGGTGTCTCTTTTGTCGCCGTTCCAGATGTGTCCCACAATTTGGTTTCCCTTGGCCAAGAGACCTGACCATGAAAACGACGCCACATCTTGCCCATGCAATGGGATATGGGCCCAACCTTTGAGAGCAACACCCAACATGGCTTCTTACTTTGCATCCCTTAGCAACCAGTACTCCCAAAAGCTTCCCTTAAGAACAGCCCCCCTCCAAGAAAGACGACCATGAACCAATGGTTTTGCCTGCAAGGCTATGAGTGCGGCGGAAATGCGGGTTGACGAAAAGAGGTGACCCGGGCGTCGCGGATCACATGGCTTGCTGGAAAAGGGGCTCGCTTGCCCAAACCGGACCTTTGAGCCGGTGATTTTTCTGTGGTCCGGGGTTCATGTTCACAGCCCTTAGCCCTGATGCGGTACAACTACATGCGTCGAAATCAAGCACACACACACACGCACGCGCACACAGCAAATATTATATACATATATATATATATACACACACACGCACACGTGACACAGTTTACATGTTGTCGTAACACCACAATGCAAGCAAGCGCTGCTGTGTTTACACCAGACACGACGCTTGTGTATTTATGCGTGTGTGCCAGGCTGTGTGCATGCATACGAACACACACACACACACACACACACACACACACACACACACACACACACACACACACACACACACACACACACACACACACACACACACACACACACACTTAAACTCCAGATGGAGGGTGCTAATCTTTCGAGTACAACTGATGAGTCTCGAGTACAACTGATGAGTCTCGAGTACAACTGATAAGTCACTCATCGTTCGAGTACAACTGGTGAGTCTCGAGTACAGCTGGGGTTCAGCTGGTTTTGGAGAAAAGGGCAAAAAGGGGACCTTTGTTTGGGGTGGGCCCGCCAGCTGCCATGACAATGGCCCAGGCGCAGCCCCGCAAGTACGTTTGGACCCGGACACCGGGGGGCGTCTTCGTTGGCTGGAGACCCCCCGGGCCGGCTCCAGCCCCCTGCTGCGGTGGAAAAAGGTGGATGGTGGCAGGGTAATCTGCCACTCCGCACACACACGCCCCTCAGTGAGGGGCGAAAAGTCTCTTTTCCGGGGGGAAGAAGAAGCGCCCGAAAGACGGACGAAGACCCCAACAGAAAACAAACGGAGCAAGAACCCAAAAGGAACAGAAAGGCCCCACGTTGGGCCTCCGCGGGCAAAACCCCAACCAAGAAACACGAAAAACGGGAAACCGAGTTTAGGGTCACCGCCGAGGGCAAAGAACCCCAAACAGTCCAGAAACCCTCCTAAACCTTGTAGACAAAGAGCACCGCGAAGTTGAACAACGACACCACGAACACGCCATCCCTAAACGGGCGAAGAGGAACAACCGGAAGTAGTAGGGAAAGGGGAGAAGAAAAGAAGGAGAGAGCGAGAAAGAGAGAAAGAGAGAAAGGAGGAGAAGGGCCGAGATGCGTATTTAGGGCGCCGCAGCCCGCCCGGGGGAAGGAGAAAGGAACGCAAGGGAGAGAGAAGAAGAAGGAGAGAAAAGAAGACAAAGGGAGCGAGATGCGTATTTAGGGCGCCGCAGCCCGCCCGAGGAGAGGAGAAAGGAGAAAAAGAAAAGGAAGAGGGAAGTAGTATGCGTTTTTAGGGCGACGCATCCCGCCCAGACAGGAAGAGAGGATGAAGACCAAAGCTCGAGGAGGAAGACGACGAATCCCACACAGGGGCCAAGAGGACGAACACAAAATAGCAACGGAAGGGGAAGAAGACGTCAAGCCAAACTACGTGAGGAAGAAGAGGAGTAGGAACAGGAAGACGGACACGAAGACGACGACGAGGAAAAGGGTGAACAACGCGAGGACAACCAGGCCATCCCTAAGCAGGCGAACAGGAGGAGGGCGAACGCGCGGGTCACGACAGGCAGCAGGAAGAGAACGGGAGGAAGGAGAAGCCATCCCTAGGCGGGCGAAGAACCAGAAGACGGGCACGCGGAAGACGAAGGCGAGAAAAAAAAGAACGAAGGGTGAAACGTATCTATGAAGAGGTGGCTGTCTTCCCTTTAGTGAAACCTCGTTCCTGCTTAAACGTGAAATTCCGCTGGTCTATGATAAGCACGCTGAGGTCAAATTTTCCGGCGAACCGGCCCGGGGTCACACGATGGGTACACCCGAGGGTCCCCCAGATAGGGTGTCCACACACTTCTAGACTCCCGGATGGAGGGTATGATCTTCAATTACAACGATGGTCTAGTCCTAGCTTTGATGGTCTCGAGTACAACTGATAAATCTCGAGTAGTTGAAATACAACTAGTAGTCATTCAATAGATTTCAGATTTGGTTTTGGAGAAAAGGGTAAAAAGGGGACCTTTGTTTGGGGTGGGCCCGCCAGCTGCCATGACAATGGCCCAGGCGCAGCCCCGCAGGTACGTTTGGACCCGGACACCGGGGGGCGTCTTCGTTGGCTGGAGACCCCCCGGGCCGGCTCCAGCCCCCTGCTGCGGTGGAAAAAGGTGGATGGTGGCAGGGTAATCTGCCACTCCGCACACACACACACACAAAAACACACAAAAACACACAAAAACACACAAAAACACACAAAAACACACCAAAACACACAAAAACACAAAAAACACACACAAAAACACACAAAAAACACACAAAAACACACAAAAACACACAACAACACACAAAACACACACAAAAAACCACACAAACACACACAAAAACACACAAAAACACACAAAAACACACAAAAACACACAAAAACACACAAAAAACACAAAAGCACACAAAAACACACAAAAACACACACAAAAACACAAAAACACACAAAAACACACAAAAACACACAAAAACACACAAAAACACACAAAAACACACAAAAACACACAAAAACACACAAAAACACACAAAAACACACAAAAACACACAAAAACACACAACAACACACACAAACACACACAAACACACAAACACACAACACCCACACACACACACACACACACACACACACACACACACACACACACACACACACACACACACACACACACACACACACACACACACACACACACACACACACACACACACACACACACACACACACACACACACACACACACACACCACACACACAACTAGGTGCAATTGAGATTTGATTTCCAGAAATGAGCGAACCGCCGAGTAGAATGTCAATCGCAGGCGATGCTTCCGATCACTTCGGAAGCCACTGGAATTCCCAGGGTTTTCGGTGGTCATTTGGGGGTGTTGTTAAGGGTACCCTTAGTTGGTTTAAAGGCAGAGCAACCGGAAACCAGACATTTCCTGGTCCTCCGATTTTGCCACATGCCACCCATGTGTGTGCCAAGACATTGAAATGAAGAGTGAACTTCCGGACATGGTCTCAAGGTCATAAACCTCAGCGTTAGAGCATAAAGGAGTGGAAGTCAGCGGGACCCTGCGAAATGAGTCTCCAAGTGGAACCCCAGTATTCAATTTCGGGGTTTCCGTTAGCGACCCCAGACATGGTACGGACCAAATCATGCGGGCGTCGGAGGTTCTGGACGTCATTTTTTGACCATGTTTATGACGAGCAAAGCCCAACCCACCAGAAGAAATGAGCGCGTCTAGCCATACTCGCTAGCTAGGGGCACCATGCGGCGAAACCTAGAGGTAAAACAATACCATGGTTGCACCCTGCAGAGAGGTAGCTTGAATTTTCCTCACCAAAGGTTCCTCAGATGGGTTGTGTTTTGGGTTTCATGTAAATCTGTGGAGGAACACCCAGAAGAGATCCAAGTGTTCAATGCACATGTGGAAGCATACTTTTTAAAGCCCCCTGAAGTGCCCTGCGGGCGCCATTTGCGTGAAGAAACCTGCAGCTGGGGAAAAAGAGCAACGCAGTTTGCTGGTTTTGCTTCGATGGAGTTGTCGAAAGAACCTTTTGGAGTTTGTGTTTTGTTGGATTGAATGAACCTTTGGGAGGACCAAGCAATTTTCAGGCACCCCTGGGGTACTTCCACCTAGTTGGCCAATAGGTTTCAAAAACCTACCCCAGTCTCGGTAAATTTGGAGGTCGAGGGGGGAAAGCGCATGCCCGGCCTTTTGCCCTCGAAGAGTGAGCTTCGGCGCGGGCCGTGGGACAGTGGCCGCGCGGTTGGTTTTGGGCCAGTGACTGATGAAACCACTCGGAACCAGGGAACGTGACAAGATATGAAGAAATGGTTCACAAATCTCAAGAGAGGCTATTTTCTTCTGAAAGTGGCAGAACTTGACGAGCTGTTTTCAACAGTTTGGCACGGATTCACTGGTTCGACCCCCTGCCCGAACGGGTTGTCTTCTAGGGGGGCGATGCCATGAAGAAACATTTGCCATGGCTGCTCACTGCTCCGTGGCAGCAAGTGAGAAAGCGGGTGTCATGGCGATTCGGTTGGTGTGACCAAATCGCCCCTTGTGTATGTGACACCAACAGGACAGCCACTTTTTTTGTTTTTGTTTTTTTGTCCGGGGGGGGGCACCAAAAACCCCCCCCCTAGACCTTTTGCTAGCAAATAGCTTTTCCACACCTGCAAAAGGTTTGACCTTGTGCGTGAAGAGAAACTCAGTCAACCCACTGCCCAAAAGATGTATCAGGACTCAACCTGCCTCAAGCGTCAGTGACTTTCCTTTGTGCAAATTGATGATTCAGGGTCCCGATTTGGCTAGGTTCAAAATTCAGTTCTTGGATCGGTGCCAGGTATGGATTACGGATTAGAGGTTGGGGCCTGCTGCACGGGATCCATTCGGGAATCTTGCGTCAAGAAATGTACCGGGATCTATCACTTGCCGGTGTGACCTCTTGTGGGTTTGGACAAACTGTGTCTTTGGAATTGGACATTGGCTTCAGGAGTCAGCACTAGATGTTGGTTTTGGCCAGGCATCCAAACCGCAAGGTGTCAAACCACCTCGAGGTTGATGGATTCTCTTGCTAAACAGCTCTGCTGCTTCCCCGGCCCACGAGAAAAACCCATCAGCAACCTTTCAAGAAGGATTTCAGACCACCTTCGCAGAGCCGATCTAGGGTGACCCACTTCGGGAGGAGTGCCAATGGCACCGGTTTCGTTTTTGTCAAGTCCAGTGTGCCCCACTTCAAAGCCCTTTTGGAAACACCGACAGGCCCCGCTGGATAAGCCCAAACGGGGGGCCCTTTGGAAAAGTCCGGCAACATTTTGGATGCATCCAATCTGAATGTTGGGTTTTCACTTTTTGGCGCCAGGTGCCCTTTTTCATCTTGGTTTGAAGGGAACAACAAGAAAGCCCCACCTTTTTGGGGGTCCATTTTGACATATACCCACATTTCACTTGCTTTGCTTTTCTCCTCCTTGTATTAGCCCTTCATCCAGAACGAGGCGACGAAGGTCCCGTTTGGGAGGCAAAACAGTTCATGAAAAATGTCTGTCCTAATACAAGGGGCTAAATAATTACAAATGCATGATTTCCTCCTATAAAACATGTCCAAATTTGATTTCTAAAGTACATAATGAACCTACCCCCTGAGAGTTTCCTCTATGCAACCCCTCGTAAGCACCCTGGACATCTTTCGGTCAGGTCGCTGTGCTAGTGCTCTCCGCGACCGCAAGGCGTGCTTTTTCGTGCGTCGGAACTTCGAAAAGGCGGTCCTGTTCAAGGGTTCCTGGGGTAAAGGGCAGCCCTTGGTTGATTAATAGGAGGGTGCTCCATTTTAGATTGAATCCTCCACTTTTCGAATAAACCACCTCATCCGAACTAAGTAACATTTAAACCCCAGAAAAGTTTTCAGAATTTGATCAGACCCGAAGATTTCTCCTTGCGAATCTCTTTCACAAAGGCGCAGTGGGGTGGGGGGCTTTTGGTTTTGCTCCTTACGTCTTTGACGGAACGGGGCATGAGAAGCCATAGCCCTCTCAACACGAGGTCAGAGTCAAAACGAGCACCGCAGCACATGTTTTCCAGTTGCAGAGAGGTCGACAGGATAGCGTTAGAATAGTATGTTCAAGGATTTCTCCACACGTGAACATGACAGCTGCTTTCCGTGCCCGGGATGGTCACTTGCATGTGCTGCAGGATCTCGGGCCAAGACAAGCCTGGATGCGTGTTTCACAAGCAGAGTGGATGTTCATACCCCTTGACACTATCAAAACGAGGTATGAACTAGGGGCATGTACATGTACTCTTGAAACAAATCCTGGTGGTTGGGTTCTTCTTCTGAATGGCGGGTTCCCCTTTGCTTCCCTGTAAGACCTGTTCAAGCACCGGCGGCCCGACAAACTCGGAAGCACGCCCCGTTTACCCCAAGTGTATGAGATCCGTCTGCCAGCCAGAGGAAAGAGTCCAAGAAGCACCGGGCCCCTCAAACAATCCCTCGACTTCCCCTTTGTTGGACCTTTGAAAGTGGCGGTGGTTTTATAGGAACCCACCGAAAAAGGCACCTTTTGAAGGGAGAATCCAGTGATCCCTGTCAAAAGAAACCTGTTGAGGAGTGGCTTTACACCACCAAAGGGTAACGTTGAGGTCTTGAGAATGGCTTATTTAGAGGAAACAACGGGGAGGCTTGGGGCGGTCTTGGGTCATATGAAACGCGGAAGTGCACAGATGCATCAGTATAGAGAAGCAGGGAAGCAACGCAAAGCCTAGAGGCACATCTGCCTGGTTATTTGCTATGGTCCATGCTGAGCTTTCCTTGCCTGGTCCTAGGGCACACTCCTTTTCAGGACCCTTTGAAAGTGCTCTTGGATGTTCGAAATGGAGGGATTCAACAAGTCCAACGAGTGTTTCCGGAAAACCTCCCTGTAGACCCAAAGAGCTGCCCTTACGTGAAAGAAACAAGGTGCTTCAGGCGCGCACCTTCCAATTCCCATTGTGGGCACGGGGAAACCAGAAATAAATCTAGAGTAGAAGTACGGAACGGTTGTCATAGTGGCTTGCATGACACTGGCCGGGCCTTGAACCCTCGTGTCCAAACCTGGCAGACATACCTTTCACAAGAACCAACTTTTAAGTGACATGGAAGGGAAAGTGACATGACGGAAGCGACTGCACGACTTGAGACTTGGGAATCAACTCAGTGACCGAAGGTGTTTCTCCTCGTGGCAAAACGCCTAAACGTCACTTGCAGGGAGAGCGCGAACACCACGGAGCCGGATGACTCGTCCGCGGCACAGGCAGCCCGCCCCGTTTTGCGCGGATGCGTGCGGTGTGTGTGCGTGCGTGCGTGCGTGCGTGCGTGCGTGCGTGCGTGCGTGGGTGCGTGCGTGCGTGCGTGCGTGCGTGCGTGCGTGCGTGCGTGCGTGCGTGCGTGCGTGCGTGCGTGCGTGCGTGCGTGCGTGCGTGCGTGCGTGCGTGTGTGTGTGTGTGTGTGTGTGTGTGTTCTTTTTGGTCTAGAAATGTTATCAAGAGAATATACTAGCAAATTGTGAAGTCTTATCAATAATATTGTTTCTTCTGGTTGGATGTTTTCCAGTTTCGGAAGCTCTATTATTTAGATCCTTCTTTTGGACATTTGTTCATTGACCCTCAACAAATTGCACATCCAGGTATTGTTGGGGGGGGGGGACTGAGCAAATGAGCAATGGATGTCGCCATCTTTCCACAACTAGGGGGTAAGCGCAACTTTATACTCACGCCGACGCAGCTATTTTCGCGCAGTCCTTTCTCAATCGTACATTGGGAGGACAGGGTCCACTAAAGGCACAACCATGTTTGGTGGCTATCAGACTCACCTTTACATGGACATGGGCGTTTTGTTGTGCCGGTTTTAAGGGAAATCAATAAAGAAATTCACCCACTTCTAGAGACACCAGACCGTGTGCAAAAAGGGCCACTTTTTGGAGGCTGCTTTGAAGATGTCACATTTGCTAGGCCCTGCGGGCAACGCCATGGTTGTGGAAAAACTGGTTTCAGGTTGCCACTATCTGTGATACCATGGGAGTTCCCTTAGTGGTAAAGTAGTGGGCATGGGATCCTTTAGCCGGGCTGTGTCGAAAGCCTTGAGGCTGTGAGCGAGCATCACGGGCTCAGCGTCCTGCTTCTGTCGCTGCAGAAAGTTCCATGGCATCTCGGAGCAGGTGTCGGCCGATGAAATCCCGAGATGTGGGGAGGTTCCATTTAAGATAAACTACGTCCTCAAAGCTTCAAGTTTCTTGTAGTATGTGAGGGCCGCGCCGTGCTTACAAACAGCTTTCTTGTTTTGCTTCCTCCATGCCCCCCACTGATGTCTTCAACAGGAGGCCGGTGGAGGCTCTTCAGGTCACTTCAGCCGCGCCCATTTCACCGGTGGCAACTAGTGATTGAGCTTCCTAGCTCGGGCTTCAACCCCATTGATTTGCAGCATGTTGTCTTGCCGGGCTCAGCAAGGAATGAGGGAATGACCCTTCTAACCATTACAAACCTTCCCTTGTGGTTTCCTTTAAGGGGACCCCTGATTCCCTCATTCCCTACCTATCGCACCAGCAAGTTTACAGCGTGTTCAACGGCCATGCCACACCTCAAAGGTGTTGGCGTGCCACGACTCATCACCAGCTTCATGGGCTTGAAGCCCTCGAGTGGCTGGCGCGGAGCAATCTTATCATTGGCGCACCATCTCTGAGGTGCCGCAAAGCCTGCGCCCACAAACCCCAAGGGACAGCTTACACAACTTTCGCCCCGGTTTTCCACGACAAACTCGGCAACGGCAACAAGCTGCTCAAGGCTCCAGGTCCGGTCAAGGCACTCGAAAAACGCACGCAGGTGCCGGTCCGCCGGATCCATCAGTGCCGAACCGCACAAGTCCAGGGAACTGATTGGCCTCATTGGCTGCCGGGGGAAGTTCAGTAGTCTTTCGACACCGGACTCCACCTGTTTCTGTGCCAAGCGAACCTTGACCTCCACAAGCTTTCCGGCTGCTTAGCCACCTGCCTCTTGTCAAGGAGCTCCATGGCTGCCCCGAAGGTTAGGCCGGTGGCTTCCTTGAAGTTCTGGTTTTCCTCCTGCTTGGCTCTTTGGCTTTCCGTGGGTGCTCCTTTTGAAGTTCAGGCAGTGGCCAATGGGCTCGCAGGGCCTTAACCAGACCTTGCCATGTCCCAAGTGGTAATTTGGTCCTTGGCCTCCCTCCCGCCTGGCCAGGCATCCCTGGCCAGGCTCAGCATGACCATCCGCTGCGCCATGAGTGCTCCCATGGTTTGCCACATTTGGCATGCCGTGGTTGCTCTTCCATCGATTTCCCGAAAGCCAGCTTCGGCCATAGCCAGCACATGCCAAGTAAGAGCCTCGGAAAACATCATAGGACATGGCAGCTTCTATCACACGCAGTTCTTGAGCTCAATATCTCCTTGAGCCGAAATGGCTACAGAGAAGGGAGAACAAAAGGCTCGGAGTCCAAATCCTATTTTGACAAGACGCGTGCGAGCAATTCCTGCAAGGCGGAGGCTTCAGGGTCATGAGTCTGGTCGCCTCACTAGATTTAGGTATGGCTCCTTTTTTCTTTAGGGCTCTCTGATTGGATGGTTTTAAAGAGAGACCAGGAGGACACCATCTATTTTGGGGGGTTCCCTATTTTGAGACACTTGTGCAAGGGATTCACGCGAAACGTTTGGATGACGGCTGCTTTGTTAGGAAGCGCCTGGCGATAGCGATGGTGGGCACCGTCATCATCGTGCCGATCAGCACGCTGGTCATCGTGGCGTTGATCCTGCCCGAGCCACAGCATACGATAATCGGACGGAGAAAACGAGAAGCCGCAGAGGTATGGTTTGTTTTTGTTTTTGGAGGGGGAAGGGGGAAACCGATGGTTCCGTTTTCGCCATGGGCTGGTTGGCAGGTCGGCTTGTTGGCTGGGTGGCTGGCTGGTTGTCTGGCTGGCTGACTGGATGTTGGCTTTTGGCTGTTGGTTGGTTGGTTGGTTGATTGCCTGGCCACATCCCGGCATCACCTAGGGTTGCCTATTGGCCTTGATTTGGTGCAGTTGAAAGCTGTTCGGGGCTGGTTTAGGGTGAGATTTCGGCTTGCCGAGATCTTAGTGTGGGCGGGTGTTGGGTTTGTTTGGGGTGCATTTGGCTCGGCACTGGAGGGGTATGTTTTTTTTTTGGTTTGTGTGGAGAAAGAACCCGGGGCCTGTTCTTTTTTCCGATCCCCCTTCTTGAATTTCTTGGCAAAGGCGGCCGAGCTAGGAACAGCATGGGTCGACCTGGGGAGCCTTCCAGTCTGTGGGTCAAACAGATGGGAATCCCTTGTCGGTTCTCAGTTGGCACTCCGAACTGAACCATCCCTCGTGATGTCCTTTGTGGTCAGCAACAAAAACTTAGCACATTGACCTCCACTTGTGGCCCACTCATTGATTTCTCAAATGCATACTAATTTGCCATACCTATGGGTTGGTTTTGCCAGCTGATCGTTTGTCACTATGATTTACCAGGACCAGTGATTCCTGGGGCACTGATTTGATATTGGGCTTGGGCTCGGGCTTCCCAGCAGCAAAAACAAACGATGCGGTGAGCTCGTCGTTTCTCAGGTGGCGCGAAGCGAGGAAGATCCGCTCCTCCTGGAAGGAAACCAAAAAGACTGGGGCTCTGGCGCGGGCCCCAGAACATCACACTCCCCTCCCCAGCAACCTGCAGTGCCGTTTTAAAAAGCAGAAGGCTGAAGCGCAAGAGTCAGAAAATAAAGAGACCCTCGTTTGGCAAGGGGAAGCCAAAAGAAAACACATCCCCATTTTGCAGGCGCTTTCTTACACACCTGCAATGCTGACCTCGTTTTTGTTAGCAGAACCTGTGAGATTGAAACTGCCCCAAAAGTGATCCGGATGCCCTTCGAACATTGAGCATGACACCTGAAGGCGGTTCTTGATCCTGGTTTCCCTTGGGTTACTTTGGTAAATGGTTCCCTTTGTGAGCCAATCACTGGTGGCTATGTTTTTTCCCCCAAAGGGGTGGTTTTTGACTTTTGACCCAGCCACTGGTGGCTCGCCCATGTTTTTCCCTTTAAAGGGGTGGTTTTGAACATCACCTTTCGGGCCCAAGTGACTTTCCTTCAAGGCGAGCCCGAGCTGGTCGACTGTTAGGTCTCTTCGCCCTACGCAGCGGAGCCTGAACCACAGCCTCAGGCCTGGACGGAAATCCTCACGGGAAGCTGCCTCTTCGGAACCAGGGGAGTTGTTCAGGAAACTATTACCAGTGCTTTTTTGCTTCACCAAAGTTGGCAACCCGGGCAAACGTGATGTTAAACCTAGAGGGAAACGCAATTGGGGGTAGGGTGATTAGATTGGTAGGGGCCTTTGCCGGAGAGGAAATTGGTCAAAGCCCCTCACGGCATCCCTTTTGGGGGTTTACTGTTTGACGACGTGGCCAAACGAGGGACTGCTAACACTTGGTCAATCAACCAGGTGTTAGTGTCACCCGGTTTCCCTGTATGTTCGGTGGGTTCCCCTGAAACTGGTCAACTCCAAGACGGATCCCCTTTGTTTACTAAACGGGTTGCTGGACAAGTAGGAATTATACAGCGACACTTGCAAAGATTGTTCCAAATGCATCTTGCCTTCCTTGCCTTCCTGCAAACTAGGCAATAATGCTACAACCTTGACCCGAAATTGGCGATATTGTTCAGAAAAGCATTTAGGATTCCGATTTGCTTTGCGGCAGGCGTATTTATCTCAATCTGAATGTACTTTTCAAATCCTCAACATTGATGCGGTGCCTTTAACATGTTTCCAGATGTCGTGCCGTTTGCAGATATGGGAGTGTCGAAGTTTCAAAAGGACACCAAGCATTCAGGGCACCGCTATTTTGAGAGACCAAATTTTGAATATGTACCGCCGCTTTGTCAACTAGCGCCATACTGGTCCGCATTGCTACTATGCAAACCTCGCTACATCACCGATGGGCATTCGCGTCAAAGTTGTTTGAATGGGGCCCTTACTGTACTATTGTTGTTCCTTTTCATTTCCTTCCTTGTTTGGGGCTCAATCCATTTCGGGGTTGACACCAGTTGGGTTTCCCTTTTTGTGGGGGGGTCCAATCCATTTTGCGTTTGGGGGTGGGTTGGCGCATCGCTCGGATTGGTTGTTTCAAGGTGACGTCCCTAGTGGTGCAGATCATCCGGCTCATCCGCATCTGCGTGCCCAGCATTTGCTGCGAGCATCTTGGCAATCTCTCTCTCTCTCTCTCTGGGTTTCCTAATTTTTAAGGTTCACTGGGGTATGTGTCACAATAGGGGAACCCCAAAATGGCTAGCTTTCCTTTGGTTTCCCTTTCACGCAACCTTTACGACACAAACCCACTACGCTAACCTATTCAGTCAGCAAACACCTTGAACTGTTGGTTGGCAGAGTAGCAAGGGCCCGATACGTTTGTGTCGGTTTTTCTGGCTGGTCATTTATTCGAGGGTCACTGCGTACCAAAGTTAGAAAAAATCCAGGACTTGTTCCTAGGGCTTACCATGTCCTATCAATTTATATACTGTAGTACTATGCGTAACATCTCGGCTAGAAAAACAGGGGCAACGTAAAACATAGAATCCTATGAGAAAATGATATGTCCTCGGGACGATAGGTATTTACCATAGTTTCACGGTATTTCTCAAATGCCAACAAGAGAATGCTGGGACTCCGGGAGTGGTTTACTGTAAACACCTTTGTTCTTTTCACTGGTGCTGTTTCCTTTCAGACGGAATCCTTCAATTCTGGGGTTAGTCTCCCAGGTTGATTAATAGTAGGTGCACATTGCCTACATGGTTCGTCATGATTTACCCATGGCCATTGAGGACTCGCACAAGGGAACACATCCTTTGGTCGCCCAAGTTGAATCTGAATGCCGGCTCCGGGCAGCGATTTTGATCGTGGGAAGGGTGCACCCTGCGTTTGGATTGAAAAGAATCTGCCAGGTGGGGTTTCGTGGTTTGCCGGTCCTGAGGAATTTCGGGGTCCCCAGGCGTTTCTGGCCTTAACGACCCTCCTGCTTCAAGGGGATTCCTCGAAAATCACGACCAAACAAGGGGTATGCCAAAATCGCCTGCCTAAAGTGTCAACTACCCAAACATCGACGTCCCTTGCGCATGGCCACGTGTTGGTCTCTTCGCTGAGGCAATTTTTCTGGCTCGCCAATGCCATCTTCCTCTCTGGCCTTTATGGGCTGTTTGCCTGCTTGGCGCTCGCCCCAGAACGGACCTCACGACTTGGGCATGGGCTGAAGTTGGGCCAGTTGATGCACCCAAGTAGCGGATGAGGATCCCGCAAGTCACGAGTTGGGATGCATCCTTTCACCGGGTTTGAAAATAGTGGCTGCCTTTGAGGTGTTTCCTTAAAACAACAAGCAACAGGGTGTGCCCCGAAAAAGCAAGATTTTTGGCAAAGACCAGGAGTTATGAAAGAAAGTCAGCATCAACCCTGAGATAGTTCCCTTGCACAAATGATGTTGGGCCCTGTAAAACACCCCGTTTGAGGCTTCTGGGTCCTCCAAACATGCCGGCAGAGCCCAAAAAATAGGATTCTTGTGATCCTCTTGGCACACACAGGCAATTGTGCCTTTGCCTTCACCCAGAGCATCCCCAGCAGCATTGGGCATGATGCTGGCGATGCTGGTGATGTCGGACTTGGGCAGCCCCGTAAATAGACGCCAGCCTTTTCCGGCAGAAACAACTCGCGCACAAACATGTTCCTCTCTCTTGCATCCCCTGCATATCGAACATCATCAGAGACAGCTGTCCGTTACGAACAGAGCAGTCACCTCATCTACCGCCGAAACACCTGCATCGCCGGCATGTCCCCCTTTTGTCTTTGTGGCGCTTCTTGGGTACCGCCAACCCGCAGCCGCGATGCTGGAGATGCGCTTGTGACGCAGAGAAGCATTTGCCAGAGGAAAGATCACCCGCGCTTTTCTTTTTGGCCGTTTGTCTACTGTGGGGGGAAAGAGGCGACTGGCCTGGCCTCCATCCTTCCACCGCAATGGCAAAGCTATTTCGTGAAAAAATCTGAGGGTTTTAGTTTTGAGTCTAGGATCATTTAGGGTTTTTGGTTTGGGGTTCAAGACAGCGATTTTGGCTTTTGGCGTTCAGGTCTACTGTTTTAGGCGTTGGTTTATGGATAGGTTTGGCGTCAGACGCTTGAACCTGGAGACTGGACCTCAATCTACCTGCCTTTTGCTGCCTTGGCCTTGTAGGCGAAAGCTTCGAAATATCGAAACCAAGAGAGCTTTCCTTGAAACCTACGTGGCAATCTATTTAATGAGAAGCCAAGATTAACAGCTCCCTGGTTTGTTGGTGTCATTTTACGGGGGAGCCTTCATTTAGTGTGGGAGGGAACAGCCCCCCGGCAGCAATAATCCACCAGGTCGATGATTCCGATCATTGCAAGACTCCAAAGCTCCAAAGTTCAGCCAAGGTTTCAAGAGGTTGACAGGTGCCGCACTTTGGTCCTTAGCCCCATTTCATGTGGTCCTTTGCCAGCTGGGGCTCTTTGACCTCAGGTGCCCAGCGTTTTGGTGCGGCCGCTCTGGACCATGGCAGCTTGGTGAGGAATCGGTCTGGTTCGCTTCCTTTTGGTTTCCCATGCAAATACCGACCAAGAAGAGGGGACATATATTTCACAATATGTTAACGCGATTCTCATTTGATATGGACATTTCACCAGGTTGATCCCATTTAAGTGGGCCTTGAAGGTCCGTGATTCGTTAGTGGAACAAGGCTTGGACCCTGCCACAGCCCCTCATCTTGTGATCTGTTTGCCAACGTGGGCAGAGCAACCGTACGTTTGGACTATTGCATGTAAGCTTGTGAAGTGCCAGTTTTCGGCATTTAGCAGTGCCATTTGTTTGTCCAAAAGGACACCGGCTGCCAATGATGAGCGGTACAGCAAACGGGCATATCATCAGTAATAGCCCTGCCCAATGAGAATGCGAGGGATGTGAGGCGTGCAGAAGTAGCATGACATCACTGGCTGTAACACAGACGCCCTGGCCTTGTACTTCACCTCGGGCGTGCTGAATCGCACGCAGACCCATGCTTCGCTTCTCCAGAGTGAGCTGGTCAAATGTGTCAAGCAGATGCAAACAAGAGAGTCTACTTTCTACGGGCCGTGGGCGACAGCTGGCAAGGAGGAAGCCGAAAAGGGCAATGGGAGAGATAGCAGAAGGAGCCAAAAAGAACGGCCAAAGACGAGGAGAAGAGGAAGGGTCTGGTGAGTCACGGGCAACTGAATTTGTTCACAACTAGGTCCCCCCAGTAGTGCCCATTGTTCCCCTACTAAAATAGACTACACGAAAAAGGGTACCCTTATTCTAACCTCTCTACTGGAGGACCTAGACGAAGAAAACTTCACATATGCCAGCCCGGCGCATAAGTAGAAAGTTGCACCTAAAGATAGCCATGAGGACTTTGTATCAGCAAGCCGCTGCGTTTTGTCGCTCTCCATGATCGGGGTCAAGAGGAGGGAGCCCGGAAATCCGACGCGACTTTGCGGCCGGCTGCAACACCTTGGACCCTGGGGCAACGTGGCTATGACCATATCTGTCTCAACCCAGCGGTCAATGTTTGATTGGGTTCCTGCGCTCTGAAACAACACGCGCCAGACACCTGTGATTCCTCTAAGCCCCAACCATTCACCTGACCCTGACCCATAGGTGAAGGTGGACCTGCCGTCATCCTTCCGTGACTTTGTGGTTATCATGTTGGGCTACAACGCCTCCATCGCCATTCTGAAGGTCCGATGCAGCGCTTCAGCGCAGGGGTCCAACCAATTTAGGGGACACCCAAAATGGGTGAGTTTCCTTTTTTTGTTCTTTTAAAGCAACAAAACAGGGGTACCCTCAAAAAAGACACCCCATACATATGTAATGCAATAACATAATATCCCCTGTTGAATGGTGGGTGAGACTAGTTGGAGTTAGTTTCGGGTTGGGTTAGGGTGGTTTTGCGGTTGGTTTAAGGATATCTTAGAGCTTTGCTGTCGCCTACGGGTTGGCTTGCACAATCTTTAAGGGTTAATTTGGGATGCATTTCGGGAACTCCCTGCCCGCCGTGTGGAGTGTTTGTAGGGCTTGCTTGCGTTTGGTTTGGTTTTGGTTGGCTTGCTCACCAAAAGAAATCTAGCAGGAGCTTCCGTGGCACGCACACTATTTGAAAGGACAGGAGAAGAGGCTCCCCCCCCCCGGGTCGCAGCTTCGCAGCTTCGCAGCTTCGCAGCTTCGCAGCTTCGCAGCTTCGCGCAGGCGGCGATGAACTTCTGCGGCATGCGCGCCATGATCGCGTTTCGGAAGTCCTTGACGGAGCACCACCACGCGGGGTACATGAGCCGCGAGGGACGGCTCTACTACACCATGGGGTACCTCGGCAACCGGCTTAGGAAGAGGCTTGCGGATAGGAAATTGGGTGCCAAAAATAGTTAGGGGAGGTGTTTTTTGTAGATGTTGAAAATGACGGGGGGCTTTCTTGAAACCAGATGGAGCCCCCAAAGTCTAGACACTTTCTAGGGTTTCCACCATCGTTTCTCCTGCCTACCATAGCTTGCCTGCAAGCACTGGGGGATCGAAATTAGAGGTATCAAGATGTGCTACCAAGCGTCATGGGTACGAGAGTGAACGGATAAGGATTCCTCGACTGCTTCACGGTGTTAAAGGCTGTGATAAGAAGAGAGAAAGAGAAAGTCAATTACATGAATCAGGATATTCTGGAATAGTATTACATTTGTTCCGGAGACAATGATGAAGACCTGTTAATTCCTAAATCCGGGAATTTGGAGCACATGCCATTTGCCTTTAGGCGCTTATCATGTTTATATGTTCTCATGGTTTCTTTATGCCTAGAATCTAGAATTATCAAACACCTTTATCATTGTTACTTGACTTCTCATGTTCTTTGTGTTAATATTTTACAACTAACACTTTGTAATATTTTGAATCACCTTTGTTCACTTCGTAATCTAATCTGTTTCCTTAGGATGGTGGCTTGTTGCATCTCTATCTCACGCAGATTCCATGGCAAGGTTTTGCCATGAGCAGCAGTTCGAGACGCGGCTTTGTCTCGTGGAAACCTAGATGGGTGGTGTCGCTTTGGTTTGCCATCATATAAAGCCACAGAAGGTAGTGGTCCAGTAATTCATTTACCACTTTACTGGACAACACCATGAAGTGAGAGGGTGTAATTGCCAGGGTCCGCTGTTCTGCAAAACAATCATCCATATCCATTCGAAGGCAGTCTTTGATTGGGAATCCAAGCGAGTTCTGGACTCTTTCGAGTAAGTGGCTTGCGGGGCCTTTCAGGGTTTCCCTTGAAGCCTTCATGGCATATTTGTGAGTCACTGTGGATCCTAAAGGGTGGCAACGAGCTCTCGATGTCAAAAACAACCACTGATCGACCGTAAGTCCAACTCGAGCTATTTGCACGCGGGACAAAAGGTACTGCTTTCTGTTGCCGGTGTGGGATCCGCTGTGTTAACAGGGAAATCAGCAAATCACCATCCAGAGGGTCCCTGCAGCCAGCTTGAGGTTCCTTTCTAGATGCTAATTAGTTTCTAGTAAGAACCAGCACAGTCGAGAATTAGTGAAATCACAATTGAATCACATTTGCAACGGAAGTCTTTGTAAAGTCTAATCCAACATAATAATTTGAGTCAAACAAATACCACAAATCACCAGCGTGTCTTCCCATACCACACCCCAATTGAACTCTAATTCAAGATTGGAAAGGAGTACATATTTATGTTCCTATTCAAAATAAGGACTCTTTAATTTATCCCAGTTGAAACCCGTTTTGGAAAGGAATCTTCATTTGATATCACATTCAACATAAGAATTCTTATATTAGAAGAAGCAACCAGCTTGTCTTTCCTCACTGCATTCTAGTTTAATTCTATGTTATTCTAACTTTGATCCTACTTGGACAGTAGTTCCTATATAACATCTAAGTCCAACACGGATTCTAATTAGATTGCTTCGAAGAAACAACCAGATTGTCTTACCTACAAATATATCCTCATGAAACTCCTACTTGGAAAGCAAATTCCGATTTACAGTTGATTCAATATAGTCATTCCCATTGAATTCTGATTGAAATCCAGTTAAACTTAACGCCTTGCAATTTGAATTTTACAAACCACTAGAAATGAAATTGCGTGGTCCTGGAGTGTCTATTGGTTGTTTACTCACTTGAAGGGTCAGGCAAATTAGAAGAAACAGCCATTTTGTCTAGATGAGAAAAACACACCCGAGTTCTGTAGGAAACTGTCTGTGCAACTGCTTCTTGGATTGCGAGCTTTCCGTCCTCTCCGCGCATTCGCTCTGCAAACCTAACAGCACGGGCAGTATAGGAATGCCAGACAGGGATGAAACGGACGATGCTAAGAGAATTGCAGCCAGCAGCAGCATGGTACACAAATCCATGTAGAGGACCCTGCGTGATTCAGAACTCACAGTTGCAAACACTCAATGCGTTTGACTTGAAGATATTAAACCTCAAAACAACAAGAAGTGCACTACCGCAGTCCCCCGGTCTCTTTTTTTGAGGGTGCGGATGTAGGGGGAAACCAACCAGACCACCACTTTGCGGGTTCCCAATTGATACACACCATCGACCCCAACAAATCGATTGCTGTGGCTTTCCGGCGCGGAGACCATTTGCGCCACCAGGAATTTGGACTACCGCGTGGACACGCCGGATGCGCGCATCACCAACGACACGGATCTCCTCCTGCAGTTTCTCTTTGAATTCGTCTTCGGCGGGCAACTTGGCCGAATACCAAATGGCTTTCTCGTTGCAGTTTTCTCGCGGATACTAGAGAATGAACCTAGAGATACTCAGGGAACTTACAAGGGATGGTGGGGGGGTCCCAGCAAGCTTCTCAATCTCGAGCAAAAAGGTCTTGAACCTCTCGAAAGCTTCAATGAAGATGGCACCGGGTTCAGCTGCGTAGATTGGCTGTGCCAAAAGTAGAGACCGCCCCCCCCCATGGTTGGTGACTGTATCCTTGCAACTGAAAAGATGGACGTTCCCAATGTGCCTGAACCCGACCTTGACGCCGAAGTTTGTCCGCTCGCAGATCTGGCCTGCACTTTCCCCAGATCTGTACATTTGACGTTGTTTCTTTTTCCCTTGGCAAGCGCATCTTGTTGGAACTGGCGAAACCGGATCCCGGCTCCAGCATCGATCCGTGCGCGTCGATCCGGGATCGGACCAAACCCACGGGCTTGGTTCCGGTCGGAGCCGCGACACCCAGAGCCCATGTTCCGCCAAAGCTCCCGTTCTGAGGACTGCTGATCAGTTTCAGAGGCCGTTTCCAAGGCAAGCTTCTGGGGGTATTGCTTTTGCGAAACGCTTGAGTCTGTCGAAAAAGCCCGAACATTAGGAAGCTGAATTCCTGAATTGGTGCCGTCCGGCCATTTGTTTTGAGCTGTTCACTATCTCAGGATTATCAACTACCAGGAAACTACCAACTACCTCAATGTTTGTGCGCTTCTCTGTCATCAAAAGTCGTCTGAGGATTCACCAACCATTTTTGAGGGGTTCCTTCATTTTGTTTCCTAGTTCTCAGAATTGGGGACCCCTGGTTTCCTCTTGGTTTTCCTTTTGAACCGTCCAAAAACCGAGTCTCCGATTTAGACACGCCCAGCCCTGGTTGCGGGGTTCTCTTGGTGTTTCCTCGCATCAGTGGATTCCACAACGAACATCATTTTTCCCCTTCACCAAAAGAGATGGATGCCAGTGATGCCTTCCACGACGAACATCTTTTTCCCCTTCAAAACAAGATCCCATGATTCCCACAACTATATTTTTCTTCCTAAAAGAAAGATGGATGCCAGTGAAGCCCATCTTTGGATCCCAGGATTATGAAGCCGGAGAGCGGGGCGTGCTGCCAGCTCTTCTTCCTCATCTTCACCGTGGCGGTGGCCTACTCCGAGGCCGAGGGCGGCGCCCCGGGCTGGGGCATGCCCTCCATCGGCGCCTCGGCGGGGAAGGGGGTCCTTGGGGGCGGGAGGGTGGGTCGGGGGGGTCCTTGGAAGAGGGGAGGGGGGGGGGGCCAGTGAAAGAGGCAACTAGGCTCAAAGAAGCACGGAGAGCAACGGCTGCGGGAGCGACTTCCGGGCCAGGAACTGAAACTCAAGTTAGGATGGATTGAGTGCTACTGGGGTTCACCTACTGGAAAAGCCTTAGATATTGCAAGTTCCGCAAGGTCTCAACTCTTTCCGCCGCGCCGTTTGCAAGTGGACCCCCATGCACCGCGCATGACGCCAGACGCAGAATCGCGCTTCCGAGGCCCCAGAAACTGGAAGCTCGCCCTGCGTTTGTTTAGTCCGCGTCCGATCCGTGTCGGGTGCGGGCAACCAAGGAAAACCACTTGGAAACCCCTGGTTGTCCTAAGCATAGTGAGAACTGGGATCTTTGGGGGAGGGCGTCTTGGATAGGGCTTTGAACCACACCCTGGTCGGGTGCTTTCCAAGCCACCGATCAAGAATATGTTTGGTGCTTGCCTTTTATAGCTCCTTCATTCTCACTTCACAAGAAGCAAAGTGGACTTTTGTTTTATCTCACTCCCTGCGTCCATTCCTGCGTCCATACCTTTCTGCGGGACGACCAGTCTAGTTGCGCAAAAGTTTGAACTTGGGGCAATCCACTCAAGACTCGTGGGTTGCTAAGCCGGCCATCCCAGAGGTCCTTTCTCTCATTTTGGACAGCCTCGATATTGCTTGCTGTGTGGTTCTTCCAGGAGTCAGAGGTAGTTAAGAGCTGCACCGGCAGTCTCCATTTTGGCTGGTTGGGAAGATTGTACACTCCACAGCTGTGGCACTGCAGCATATAGCAACTCATGTTTGTGCCGCTGTTTGTTTGTGCGTGTGGTTGTTTGTTTGTTTGTTTGTTTGTTTGTTTGTTTGTTTGTTTGTTTGTTTGTTTTGTTTTGTTTTGTTTTGTTTTGTTTTGTTTTGTTTTGTTTGTTTGTGTGTTTGTTTGTTTGTTTGTTTGTTTGTTTGTTTGTTTGTTTGTTTGTTTGTTTTGTTTTGTTTTGTTTTGTTTTGTTTTGTTTGTTTGTTTGTTTGTTTGTTTGTTTGTTTGTTTGTTTTGTTGTGTTTTGTTTTGTTTTGTTTTGTTTGTTTGTGTGTTTGTTTGTTTGTTTGTTTGTTTGTTTGTTTGTTTGTTTTGTTTCTTTGTTTGTTTGTTTGTTTGTTTGTTTGTTTGTTTGTTTGTTTGTTTGTTCGTTTCCTTGCTTGCTTCCTTGCTTGCTTCCTTGCTTGCTTGCTTGCTTGCTTCCCATGCATGCATGTGTGCATGCGTGTGTGCGTGCTTTTTTTGTTTCCTTGTCTGCTTGTGTGTTTGCTTGTGTGTTTGCTTGTTTGCTTGCTTGCTTGCTTGCCTGCTTGCTTGCTTGCTTGCTTGCTTGCTTGCTTGCTTGCTTGCTTGCTTGCAGTTGTTGGTTTGTTTGCTTGTTTGCTTGCTTGCTTGTTACAATGTTTGCTCGTCTGTGTGTAATTGGTTGCTTGCTTGCTTGCTTGCCTGCCTGCTTGCCTGCCTGCTTGCCTGCCTGCCTGCTTGCCTGCTTGCTTGCTTGTGACTTTGTGTGCGTGGGTGTGTTTGGCAGTGCTTGAGCCGCTTTGTGCAGGCCGAAGTGGCACCTTTTAGCAAAGTGGCCTAGTCTTGTAGCGACTTCGTAGTGTAACCAGATGGCATTACTCACTGAATCGTTTCACATTGTTTTTGCCGCCATGTGTGTGTGTGTGTAGCCCAACTTATCAGCTTATCACAGGGTATGTTTCCTTTTCAGGTCCCTTTTCAAAAGCCCAACTTATCCCTTCTGGTGGCTGCATGAATCAAATCCCAAACTTGTATACTTTGGGAGCTGGAAAGAGCGAGCCAAGCTCTAGGCATATCGTGACACTGACATGCTGCCGCTTTCAGCATGGGTTTGTTGCACTGACCCCCAGATCAAATGGCGACTTTCTTCCTTTGACTTCCCTTTTACACCACCTCGGAAAGGCATACCCAACTGTCGCTTTCTTGAAGAGCTGCCACTTTCTCCTTGCTTTTGGTGCCTCGTGTTTGCCAGAAGATGGACCCCCCCATGTTTTTGATGAGACGCCATGTGCCATGTTATATCATGTTATAATTGTTTGGAGCGCCTAAATAGAACCAGGACGCTTGTGCCCAGGCAGTTTGTGCTTTGTTTGACCAGGTGTTTGTATATGTCATTTTCTTCTGGAACCTGAAACGCTCGGATGCACGCCAAGTTGCCTGTGTTGCTACTTCCCTCTCGAGAGACCATTGCTCCGATGTTCGCCCTGTTTTCTCCCCCGGGACTCGGGACCTGGGGATCGGCACCGAGGCATAGCTTTCACGGTGGTTCTTGTGTCCTTGGTTCCCACCGTTGTTGCAGCGGATGGCCTCACCAAGGCCCGAGGGATATTTCTTAGTCGGTTGGGGGATGGTCTTGCGATCCTGATGTGAAAATCAAACGAGGCAAAGAGCCCAGCGACCACTCAAACATGTCAGGGATGGTCCGCGCTCTTCTTGAATAGTGGCTCCCGGGAATTGGAAGCGCTGGGTTTGTCTCCCTGGGCAAGGAGTCCTCTTACGATCCTTCCACCAGTGACTTCCGTTTCTTGCTCCAGTCCAATCGCGACCCATAGATTTGCATGGGAAACAGCAGTCATTCGAGCTGGATTCTGCCGACCAGAGTTTGCTCTTTGATGACCTTTAGTGTTTTGTGTTTTCCCCCAAATTGTCAAACGGCAGACCTACCCAAACCCTGGGGTGAGCAGCCTTATTCATTGAAGTAGAGCAGTGTTGAGGATAGTCTTTCACAATTCTCCTATCTTGGTCCAGTGTGTGTGTGTGTGCCTTGTGTTAAGAATGAGTCCACTCGACGTATCGCCTTGCCCAAGATAGCTCACCATGTGAAGGCTGAGTGAGAAGACCTTTTCTGGGATGAGTGGACGGCTTGAAGCCACAGGCGACATCAAACCTATGCAAGCCTATGCAAGCAACGGCCTAACAAATTTGGACAGTCAATCCTCAGTAAAAGGCCGCAAACTGGAGTTTGGCCGAGTTTTATACCCCTTGTAGCATGATGTGCACGACTTGCGGGCAAGTTAGAGTGTCCTTTTGGGTGATGTGCTCCTAGCTATAGGGAACCCTTTGCATCGATTCGTCGTTTCTTCGACGCCTCCCTTTGGCGCATTCAAACCGTGAGCGCCCAAAACCAAAACCGACTCCTGGTGACCTTGTCAGCTGGTTCTACCTGGAGTTTCTTGAGGGGTGTAGTACGCGTAAAATACAGCTTTTCCACTAGGTTGGCAGAACTGGGTTCTGGGCGCTGCTTATATAAACAAGTGACAAGTTTTTCTTGACTTCGGGCCCCTTCTTTCCCCATCAGAATGGCGCATCTTTCGGTTTTCCTTTAGAACAACAACAGGGGGGTTCCCCAAAGAAGACACACCCTTATGTCGGGCGTTGTCTTTTGAGTTCCTTGGGTTTAGGGTTTAGGGGACCTAACATGAGGTGAACACCTTACACCTAATGTTATCCTGGATTGGCACAATCTCCATGTCTCCATGTATACCTGCTCTTCGTTTTGCCGGTTCGGTTCCTTTGGTTTTTCCTCCCGCCGCCTGAGCGTTCACCTCCGCCAGGCGCAGGCGGAGGTGCAGTCCGCGGAAGCCGCGCTGCGGGCGGCCTACTCCAAGTGCCGCCTCTTCGCGGCGCCTCCGCCGAAAGCCGAAATCGGGCGTGGAAAAAGTCCATGGGGGTTCCGTTTCTGGGTGGTTCAGCGATCCGGTCCCTTGGCTTTTGAGCTTTCTGGCACTTGAATGCACCCAGAAGGGGCAGCCCCACCACCGTACAATTAGGTCTGTGCTTTCTGGCTCGGTACCCCTTTTCAAGGCTGGCTTGGGAAAGCCAAAGGAAAGCCAACGGAGCCTATTTTGACGCCGCTGGTCATTGTGACATGTGCAAGTTGGATTGGGACATTGGGGGCGACTTTCTGATGGGAATCAACCAGTTGGTATCGCAGATGTCGGGTGATTTTGCACGGCGGGCACGGGTCATCTTATGGTTACAACCAACCCAAGCCCGTCACTCTTAAATGGCGCATGTGAGCGGATTTGGGTGGTGCGCTTCGTCATACACTGGCCTGATACCGCCCAAAAGGATGACATGTTCATTCCTTTTAAGACTCATCCCCCGAAAAAGCTTCTGGCGATGCACTCAGGGATGTGTGAGTCATTCATTGCAGGCCAGAGAATGGAGCTAAGGACAAGTCATTCATATAGTTCGCCTCGAAATTTGCCCAATGCTTTGGTTTTGCCAGGCACTCCCCTTTTGAGACCTTGTCTTGGGGGCCTCAAACAGGGTGGCAACGACACTGAAACAACATTGCCCGGATTCAATGCGCCACGTTCAAGCAGCAGAGAATCAACCAGGTGGGATTATCATCAGAAACGGTTGATCAGCCGGGCTTGAGCACCAGACCACCAAGCAGGCCTTCTTCGTCTATTGTCAACCAGGAGCAGCATGTTGCCTGGTTGTCCTTTCAATCAGGACCAGTATGTTGCCTGGTTCGGTGCTCGTCGAGTTTTCCCTCTTATCAGCTCAATTTTAACCAGGGTTTTGTTTAGGTCAAGTGTATTGTTCAACATGATGGATGAAACCCGCTTCGAATTCTGGGAGAACCCCCCGATTTCAACTGGTGCGCTTCGCGTATTTCGTCCCTCCACGCCACCGAGGAGTCCATCTGCTTCTACGGCGGGGAGGAGAGCGAGGCCCAGAGGATGGAGAACCTCTACGTGCCCTGGCCGTCGGGTCGTCGGACAGCGGGGGAAGGGGGGCGGGGGGGAGATGGGGGCGGGATGGGGGGATGGGGGGGATGGGGGGGGGGGGGATAGGGGGGGGCGGAGGGGATCTTTGTGGGGTGGGGTGAGTGGCCACTCGAACAAGCTCCACCTCCAGAATCCTCGCGCCTTTCGGTATTTGGGCTTGTGTCGAATTGCTGTTGGGTTCGTTTGAGGGAAACCAAATGCAAACGGGCAACACCAATTGCTGGGGGTTCCCCATTTTCAGAGAAAAGCCCAAATCGCGCAGGCAATCTGGCTGGCTACCATGATTTTGGTTTGTCTTTAGGGGTAACATGGCTTATGTGTGTTTCTTAATACGCTGTAATTTTCCCCATTTGATTTGGTTTCAAGGCAACAAATCTGGAAATGCGGGGTTGCCAGATTTTCGTCAAACAACGACACCCATTCCAACTTCCAACTTCCAAACGGGGTCCCCCAAAAGGAGATTCCTCCACAATGAGGGTGCGTGGATTCCATATTCATCTACAGCGGCGTATCATTGGATTTGCCTGCAGACACTCCACCACCGTTTGGTTTCCCAATCAAACACTCCCAAATGGGTGTTTCAATGTCAGCTCCCTTTCAACCAGCCCCAAACAAGTTCGTGGTTTCCCTCAAAACGGGCCACATCTGATCTTGGGGCGCTGAGGAGCGCGTGCACCGGGGGTTCCAAGTGTTCGCCAAGTTCAAGCTTCCTGGCTGACCTCCAGGGGGAGGGGTGGAGAGTTGGAGAGTGGTGCTGCTGGCAACATGTTCGATGCGCCGCACTCCACCCATTTTGTGCACACTTGCACAGGGTTCCCGTTGTTTCCAATGAACACGTCACCTCTACCAAGGGGGACTCACCTTACAGGGACCAAAAAGGTGATGTTTACCCCCCAGAAAAGGGGCAATATCCTGTTGCCGCACTCTGTCAGCATCCAAAAATGATTCCACAGCCTCAAACACGAACCCAAGGGCCTTCACATGTCCTTTGCTCAACTTTGAGGTGACCTGTTCCCCTTGGATGTAACTACATGGCCGATCTGCAGCCGGGGTTCCATGGTTTTTGTCTCTCACAATGTGGAACCCGGACATCGGAAAGGAACACTCCAACTCAATTTCCCTTTGGAATAATCAACCGTAGCAAGTTTTCTCAGGGTTTGCCGTGGCCATGTTGGGGAGCCTTCCTTTCTTGACTTGCCGATGGCGGACGAACCCAAGGGCAGGAAGTCACCCGTAAGGCGGCCTCTCCTACTTCTGCTTTCGGTCTTTACGCGGCTCCCACAGGGTTGAGACATCGGTGTCGAGGGGTAAACACCACCCGCTGTTGATCAATTCGCAAGCCGGAAGTGGAATCTTCAGCTATCAACTGTTTTTTGGGGGTTTTCTCTTGGGCCAAGAGAAAAAAGCAAAAACACTCTTTGTTTCAAGCCCTGCACTTTGAACTTGAACCCATATACGAGCCAAGGACAGGCCTGAGAACTTGTTTCACCGGCATTGGGACCAAAGGCCACCATGGCCAGCGGTTTTTCCCAAGTGGCCCTCACTGAACGAATGCTCCGACTGCGTTCTATTTGCGGTTGGTGAATCAGCTTAAGGCAAACAGCAACGACTCAAGGGCTTTAGATTTGCGGTTGGTGAATCATGTTTTTCATCCAGATGACTGATGGTTCGAGCAAATTCTACAAGCAACTTAAGACAACAGCGACGACTAGCACCGCAAAGAGCCAAAACCGCCAAATCTAGCAAACAAGCAAACAAAACAAACCAACACATTGTCCGCCTCTTTCCAGCTGTCCAGTGAGGCTTTTGGTGGACCTTTCGCAGCTCGCCTTCTACTTCGGCTTGGCGCCGGTGTCCATGACCATCGCTGCCTTCATTGTGCGCAAAGGCGAGGCCTGCAGCTTGCAAGCCGCAAGCGCCGCAAGCGCCACAAGCGCCGCAAGCGCCGCAAGCGCCGCAAGCGCCGCAAGCGGGGAGGTTGGAGTCTTGAAAGGCAAAAATGAAGCCGTGAGGGAGATGGAGTTGGTTGGTTCTGCTTGGTTTCTCTTCTTTTGACCGAGGCGGTCCCCCGAAACAACACGCAAGTCCGTGGATTTGCACAGTACGGGCTCACCTTGGGGGGGCCGAAACGAGCTCGGCCCCGTGATGAAGGCACCTTCGCTGGAGTTGTTTGCGTACCAGGAAAGTGATTTGACCTGGTCCCAAGGTGTCCTAGAAGATGAAACCCCAAGGGCCCAACGGTACAGAGCTGGTCTTGTGTCCTTTCGTATCATTTTTCGGGGTGTCTTTGGAGCAACCTGGGGCATGGGGCATGCAACGCGTGGTTGCGGGTGACGACTAAAGTTAGCGAGTTTCAATCGGGGTGGTTTGCCCCGCTGGCTAGAGGATTTTTGCTTTGGCTGGGCTGTCAACCAGTCTGATTGTGCAAGTGCCCCAGAGAGGGTGGTCACGTCTCCGATTTTGCTATTTCAGGACCCTAGCTCAGCGATACACGTTTGGATTTATGTTGTTCTCCCACCATCTTTGAGGGTATTCCAACCATTCAAGTTGATTGACAATATGGATCAGTTGCTGCCATGTCACTCGGTGCATCGTGCTCCCGAACACTGGGTTCAGGTGCAACATCTGACAGGGGCACTTTCCGACCTTTAAGCCCAGACAGTGCATCGGGGTTCTGAAAGGTTGGTGTTTGATGTCTCGGCCCTGTCGGGCAGGTTTGTGCCCTAACTGGCAATAGAAACACAATGAATGCTTGTCGAATGCAGGCGACTGGACACAGGATTCTGAGACGACCTTTTATGCCCGGGGCCTAGTGGGGGCGTACCTTGGTATGTGTCTTTTTCTTTGGGGGGGGGACCAAAAGAAAACTAACCAATCCAACCAATTTGGGTTCCCTACTTTGAGAAAGACCCAGCGGCGTTGACGTTTGTAGATTGGAGTTCATGGTTTCAACTGATTTAGGTTATGTGTTTTTGCTTTGACCTTGTTGGCTTGGACACATGTCTAAAGGTTGATCCCGGCTTTTCACTCGCTGTTTTGAGAGGCCAGGATTGTATTTGTGGATGATTGGCAATCTGAAAACAAGGACTGCTACTGGTACCGTAAGGGGGACGTAGGATTTTGGGCTCTTGAAACCCTTGCAGTATGTAAGGACAGAAAGGTTCCTCACCCCAGGGGTTTCAGAATCCAGTCCTGAACCTGGGGTGTCGGGCGGAGTGGGCGGAGGGGAGGTCTTGTATGCCATAGTGAAAACCCCCATTTATGCGGGGCTAGGAATTGCCGTGGACAACGTGAGGAACCCAAAAAGAAACACGGCAACTTGGCCCCCGTTGGCGGAGCCTCAAAGAGGATATCAATGGCCTATGAAATCAGCACGTAGCCATGCTTGGTTACTTCAGCCATAAACCAGGGGGTTGATACAATCAATTTTTGAGAGAAGAGCCAAACATACGAGATTTTGAGCACTCAATGCCTTGGTGTTTTTTTGGACTCAGCCTTATCGCAATGCCGCGTTCCGAAGAGTGCTCACACTGGACCTCGGCATCTTGAAATCCTGACGGGCCATTCACAGCATGGGGTGCCGGGCACATCGGAATGGCCCATGCGCAAGCGAAGTTCACATGAACAGCATCTCAATTGCAGAAGTCGCAGGAAGGCGCATTTTAGATTCATAAATTCGCGCTTCACAGCCCGAGTATTAAAGCTGTTAAAGAAAACAGCCTCCTGCATGAGAACTTTCTTCCTGTGTCCATGTTGTTGCATGTTCTCATCGGTCGACAATTGATGGCGTGTGCCAATTGAATCCAAGCGCAAGGTGCAAATCCCGTGTTCAGGGCAGAGTCATGCCTCGACAGCATGGCCCTTGGGAACAACGGATCGCATTAAAAACATATTGCGAGATCCGAAGGAATAAACAAATACATATACATACATGAATGAATGAACACACATATATATATATATGTATATATTTGTTTATACAGAGAGAGAGAGAGAGAGAGAGAGAGAGAGAGAGGGAGAGAGAGACACCCACACCCTGTTATTAGTGTGCTAGGCCCCTTTCCCAGGTGTCTGGTTTTCTGCGGCTTGCGATTTGACCTCATCCAGGAAGGGAGTGCCCCCTTTTTCTCTCAGCCTTGGAGTTGGCAATCTGAACACCTGCTGTTTGCAGATCTCTTCATCAAGACTGGGGCCCCAAAGTTCCATCTTGGCCATGAACACAGGCCATGCGGAACCTCGGGAACCACTCCAGGTTTCCTTTGCTTCACTTGCCGAACCGGAACGAATCCTGTGAGACATAGGTGCTGAACCTCACCTTCATCCGCATCATCCGGTGCTGCCTGGAGGTGGCCAAGAGCGTGGTGGACCTCGCCAAGGCGGGCACGGCGAGGTGGACGGGGAATTTGGTGGCATATCAGAAGTTGGGGCCCGACCTTGGGAAGGGTCAAACACCAAAAGGAAGACGGGGCTTGCCTCAAGAGGGGAGCATGGAATCCTCCACACCTTGTTCGACCCCCTTTGAGGAAAGGGGGGGGTGTTCCCCCAAGTGAAGCTTTGACTCTAAAATAGAAAACATTGAGACACCCTTTTGATCAACAGGGGTTGTAGGTAGTGTTGAAGACCCCCCACACCCAGAATCGTTCTCAGAACCCCGCGATCAGAAGCGCTGGTTTAAACGTGCCATGGGGTGAAAACCCTTCAATCAGAGCACACAATGGGGTGCGTTTTTGGTCTAGGCTTCTGCTATTTAATTTTGTTTGCTTTGCTTTTGTTAGTTTCCCCCCGAGGGAGTATTTGGTTGAGTTTGTGTGCTGGGGGAAATCAAGCGGAAATTCTCTTCCGGATTCGTTTGGAAGGGCAAGACTTGGAGCTGGGGCCGCCCTTTGTCAGGTAACCCATTGGTGGTTTGGATTGGCGGTTTCGGGATTTGGACAGGTTCTTGTAGAGGATAAATGTGGAACCGCCCCTGAACCACCAATCCTGCAGTTAGAGGGAAGCTGACATTGGGTCGAAAGGGATGGTTCGATCACGTTTGGGAGGCCGGAAAGTCTAGTAAAGGCGGTCAGACGTCAAAAGGGAGGTCCGGATTGCTTGCGCAGCGAATGGAACCGCTTTGTCCATTTGGATCCTTTCCTGACTAGCATTGATCATGCAGTGACCGTCTCGGAAGCATTTCGCAACCTGGACTTGTGCTTTAGCAACTCGAACGTCAACCCCAACGGGACCAACAAGAAAGTGGCAACTCGAACTCAACCGCTTTCACTCGGCAACCTGAGCTCAAGCCTAGGACCCCCCTCCACAAATGACTACCCACTTCCGTAAATTTTGGCCACCCCACTAATTACCCCGCAAGCCCACCACATGCCTAGACGCCAACAAGGCCTTGATCTGGCTTGAAAGTACTGGCAACCTGGCAACTATTTATGTCAAACAGATGAGACCCTACAGGGTTCCCTCCATTTCCCTTGGAACCTCAAGCAAGTGGACACCACCAGCAAACTGGTCAAGTTGAAAATCCGGCAACTGATCTCCAAACTTCTCCAGGCTCAAGCAATGCTGCAGCGTGTGGTGCAGCTGCTAGAGGCGAGGTTGCGCTGGATTTGTTTATTTGCCTATGCAACACTCTCTGGTAGAACAGGCTCACTTGGGCAGGGCTCCTTAAAGGATACATTTTGCCCATTTGAAACATGGCTTTTTCCACCAAAATAAAGGGAACCCACCATTTACAAGGCAATGTTCAGGTGTATAATGTAAGGATCCCTGTTAGGGAGTTTTATTATTGTTTTAGGTTTTGGAAGTAGCGCAACATGTGCAGATGTACGTCCATCAAAGTGGCATTCTGAAGGGTTCTCAATACCACTTTTGGATGGATGCTCTCCATCCTCCCCTCCCCTTCGATCCCCTCCCCTGCCCTCCCCTTCCCTCCCCTCCCCTCCCTCCCCTGCCCTCCCCTTCCCTCCCCTCCCTCCCCCTCCACCCCTTCCCTCCCCTCCCTCCCCCTCCTCCCCTCCCCTCCCCTCCCCTCCCCTCCCCCTCCCCTCCCCTCCCCTCCCCTAAGCTTTCCTTTTTGGGAAGCCCCATGTAAAATTCCATGATTGTTGGAAAGAGGGGTTCAGGTTGGTTCGCCTTCAAGATTGAGGCACGCACATTGGGAAATAGACCCATAGGAAAAGAGACGGATGCTGAGCTTCTCACGGATTTGGGAGATTCCTGGTGTTTTGCTTGCTTGCTACTCGTTTTGCTACTCATCCAAAAACTCTTTCAGGGGTAAGCTTCTACAAACAAAGCGCCCTCCAGACTGGATACAGCCTTCCGCCGCTCCTTCGGTTCGATCGTGTTCGTAGGCTTGGTCCAAAGTCCTGGGGGGGACTCACCAAGTTTATCCGCAAAAAAAACACGGGACGTTAATTCGCATCCAGAAACTGTTGGGAGAGCAAGCAATTTTGACTATGGGCTTGCTTGGCCCGACAAACAGCCCACAGTTGTCCAAAGGCTTTTTGAAATTGTTGCGCCACACCAAGTGTTCTGATGCCACTCCCAGGCGCTGCCAGGGTTGCCTATGCCAGAGATGGTTGTTTCTCGGAATTAGAGACCCCTCAAGTTGGTTGGTTTCCTTTCACTTTTGGTATCCTCCACATCCGTCCAAAGAGTTTCCTATTTCGAAGGCACACCCAGATCAAGAAGGCGCACCCGCGCAAAAGCGCACCTTGTGGCAAAACACGTGAAGCTCGTTTACCGGTCGAACCCCCATGTCATGTGTTGTATGTTGTTTTGCAGGACGACAAGCCATGTGTTGACAGAGAATGCTTTCCAGGTCTCGGGCATGATTTCCACATCTCGACCGAGATGGTGACCCACACACACAAAGTATGGGTTGAATTTGGAAATGAATCTCTGGACCCTTGGAAATGGTAAGGTCATAGCCATATTCCCGACTATCCTAGCGGGTCCCTTGGTACCCGTTGAGAATGGGTTTGCATCATATGGGTGTCTCTTTTCCTAGGGGACCCCCCCAAATTGTGATGTTCCTGTTGGTTTCCCTTTAAAACCACCCCACGGGTACCCTCCAAAAAGGACACCCATATGTCAGGATCCAAACCTTGCCCTAAGGATCCAAAAAGGTGCCACTTGCGGGTTCCAAGGAGCCGATTTGAGGCCTCTCGTCGTTTCAGGCTCCCTTGACACAAACCAGAATAACCAGCTCACCAGGGGGTACAACGAGATCACTCATGAAGGTTCCTTAAGAGGATGACTGATGTTGGTTTACGCGCAAACTGCCTTAGTGGCTGAAGCAAGCCATTGTTGGCAACCAGGGGCTTCACCATGATGCAAAGCCTAGAGGGCCTAGCTTTTGTGGCTTCCGCACCTGGAAGAACGTGGGCCATACACCCATGTGGGAGTCTATCAAAAATAGGGGACCACTAGACATGGGTTCTTCCTTGTGGTTTCCTCTAAAACCGTCCAAAGGGTCCAACATCCAAAATACCACTGAACATGGGGCGTTTGTTGGTGGTTTCCCTCTAAAACTCTCCAAAACAGGGTCGTCATTTGGCCGAATTGCCAGGAAGCCGTGCGGTTTTCCCCCGTGATTTCCCCCCAAACCAAACCGGCCAAAGCCCCCCGGCGACACCCGCCAGCTGCCGCTGCGTCAGGTGATGGACGCGTTCATCGCCTTCGAGGCCCACAGGAAAGGCTCGAGGCAGCTGAGCCGGGCCGATGGCTTCCTCATCGACGAGGAGGAGGCGCCGTCCGGCCCCATGCAGCGACCGCAGCCGTTGGGCGGTGCCAGCGGGATGTGGGACGTGGAAAGAAGCAGCTGTTGGGTACCGAAGAACTGAATAGCTCGTAAAATTTCCCAGGGGAAGCTTAAGGGGGAGTTTATGAGTCATTTTGCCGGACTCGTAGTTTGGCTCCCGTTTTTTCGGGAGCCCTAATTCAGCACCATGGCACGTAGCTAAAGGGTGCCCCATTCTCCGGAAAGCTCGCAAGTATGCACGCGTGGTGCATGGTTGCCAGCCGGCCTCAAAGTTTCGCAGCCGTTCTTTGAGCGGTTCAGGAGAACTCACGAAGCTTTCCCACAATCAGAGGAACTAAGTTTTCCTCAACCAGAGGACTCCCTTTGTCTGCCCTTCTCTTTTTCTGGGGAAAGAAACGAGCAATCTTGACCGCAGGTGCTGTGCTGCCTGCCCTACTACCGGGTGCAACAACTGCACTGCGGGGAGGTGGTGCCGGTGAGTGTCACGCCCTTCGTGGAATTCCAGCGCCGCGGCCAATGGGGGTTTGTGTGCAACTGATCATAAGTATGGATCAAAATCCATTCAGAGGACAGCAACTTAGTTCATGTGTCCATTTACCAGGGTGCCACTTTGGGTACTTGTGTTTTTTACCCACAGGCATAAGTGCCCTTTTTCCGAAAGCATTGCGCAGGGTCCCGCCAAGTCGCGCGAGCACACCCGCAGGAGCACACCAGCACGAGCAAACTCTCACAAACAAACTTGCACGAGCACACTTGGCGCGAGCAAACTCGCATTCGCATGTGGTCCCATGGGTTTGCATTAAGCCCTATGGGTTTCTAGGTCGATGAGGAGTTTTTTTTGTGTTTGACACGTCTTCATTCAGCGGGACCTCTCGCTGGAGTGGTTCTGTCATGAAGTGCCGGTTTTTTGAAAGGCGCAGCCTGCCGGGAAGCCTCTCTCTCTCTCTCTCAAGAGGTGAGGTGCTCCTCTCATTTTCCGCGAATTTCGGGCCGTCCTTCCTGCTCTAACTTTGGGAGACACAGGTTTGATCAATATTCCGTTCGGCCCCACATGAAGGCAAGCTTTTCCCATGTGGGAAACATCAAATCTGTTTTAGTGGATTTCCAACCAATGTATCATCCCATTCAAAGGGTTGGGTTACAGAAAATTTTAACAACAGGTGTTCTGGGGCCATTTCCTGTAGATTTCCTGTAACCAAACCCTTGGACCCATGTATCACGGACCTTGTGATTAACCCCCACATAGGTTCCATGATTAGTCAAGGGCCTTGGCTCTCACATAGATTGCCATGTGTTCATTTGAGGCCAACTTGGGGACATGGGGGCCTCTCGATGTTTTCACACGGGGACTCACTCATTTGCCCATGTCCATGAGGGTAACGGCACAAGTCTCTCAAAATAGGGGGGCTCCAACAAGTTGTGGTTCCCCCTGTTGGTGTTCCTTCAATTCACTCCCAAACAGGTGCCCTCAAAACAAACAGATCCCCATATGTTCAAGAGTGGCTCGAGCATGGCTTACCAGTTGTTGGGAGCCTGGGATCCGCTGCTGAGGCATGTAGATATCTACACTCCTGATGGAATGAGGCAGGCAGACCGCACGGTGTTTGCTTGTTTTGGCACCAATCAACCACTGCCATGTGTCACCACTTCGGGGTGGTAGGGCTGGTCATCAAACTCTGAACAGAGGACTTTCGACAACCAATGTCAAGGTTTAGCCATGACTAGGACCTGCAGGAGCTTCGACTGGCACATTTGCTGACTGCACTCGCCTTGTCCCGTGGTTCCCTCTATGAAGCAAACAGGAAGACCCGGTGATTTGTGTTTACTGGCATTTGCTATACCCGTTTCCGCGAGCACAGACCAAAATCCCGTCGCTGTTGTTCCGCCTTGCAACCAAGATGTCCACTCGGTGAGTTGGATCTCGGTGAGTTGGATCAATTTATGAAGCCCATTCAGACTTAGTTCGGCTGTTTCCTTTTCCGGCTTTCCCACAAAAAATGGTCAAGGGAAAGCACTCAATTTCAATCACAACCCAGAACATCGCTAATTGTTGTCTTGTGCCCATTGCAGGTGCCGTTCCTAATGGTTCGTCTCCAAATGGGTTGAGCCCCCTTTTGGATGGTTGTCCAGAGAATGTTCCAACCCGAAAAGCCATCGAGCATCGGCAAGGCAGCCTCTTCGGCTGGTGATGTTTCCAGAAGGCTTTCTTGAGTTTACCATGCATCTTTTGGGCTCCCCATATTCTGAGACACACCCTATGGGTGGGGTCCCCCGCATTTGGACACCTATCCATATTGGGGGATTTTGGATTAGGACCAGGATTGGCCTCGATTTGAACAGCCCCGTATTCGCCGATGGCTCGGTTGCCATATTTCGAAACTCATTCGGGCTTCACTTCGCGCACGAAGGGACGCTACCGCAGATCGTGACACTTGTTTGTGTGGTGTTTGTTCTTTTTAATGAATGAGGAGCACCCTGAAGCATGGTTAGAGGACATGAATGCCCATGCAAATGATAGGGCCTGGCAGGCGCAAAACACATGGTGTTGGGTTGAGTTGACGCAGCTCAAGCCCATACCAATGGCCATGACTTTGGTGTTGTTACATGTTGGGACATGTGCAGCGAAGCGCAGGCGTCTTTTTTTTTCATGCAGCAGGCAACCTGCAGGCGCTTGCCATTGTAAAACTTCCTGCGTGAAGGATAATCAAGAGGCTCGTCAAAGAAGGGCCCACGAAAACGGACTGTGCCACCTTGCGCCGGCTGAAGCGGCTATCAAAAAGGGCCCCTGATTTTTGACCACTCAAGTTTGTTTGGAGAAGTATTCGCAACAAGCCTCGCACCCCTCGACAGAGGATCGTGTAGGGTTCACGCCATCAGACTTTTCAAAGGTCCTTACCCCGAATGAAGCCCGACCTATATCCCATATATGAGGATGCGGGTAGGTCCATTTGGAGTAAGTTGACTTGAGCCATCTCCTGAAGATACTCCTCGTAAGGAGTTCTACTTTGGGCACATGATTGAATTCTCGTGTCCCAGTTTTCTGGACACGTTTTGGGGTGTTTTTTGCCTTTGACGCACTACTTTGGCGACTTTGCTTCAGGACACCCGCTTCATTTGGGCAAATGAAATCGATTTCGGCGATTACACTGCGCCCGATTTGGGGCATTCAGGTTCCTTTCATAGGATGTAGCAGTTGAATTGAGCTTACTCGCTTGCCGTGACATTTCATATGTCATGGAACATTCAGGGGACCCTAAACGGGTTCTAAAAAGCAGGTTCCAGGATGAATGAACTCGATGAATAGGGGACGCCCTTGACTTTGGGGGTGTGGGGGGTGTGGGGTTCGGAAACACTCCGCCAGGTATCTCAATCCGTTGCTACTTGACTCGGGTTTGTTGTGTTCCGGAAACCCGGCAAAGGGTGGTTTCCCTTGTTCTCTTCAACACATCCACAGAAGAGGTACCCTGCAAAGGACGATCCCAGCTGAGCCCCTGGCGAAGTTACCTCAGGTGCCTTCTGAGAGACATCAGCCTCCGCTTAGACCCCGGGGAGCTACTCGGCTTGAAATTTGGGCGGGGGAAGCAAGGCGCCGAGGGATTGGTTTGAAGAACCAGACCCCAAGGCGCCAATGTTCCAAGTTCCAAGCCAAAAGCTTGTGGTTTTGAATCTTTGAATGTCTTGAACAAAATAAAAGGATGGAGTTTCACTCAGTTTCTTCATTTGTTCTGTTCGAAAGGCAACCCTTAATCCTTCCCTTTGGGTTGCCAAAGGATTTGGTCATGTGCCTTTGTAGTGGTTTTCCATGTTTTGGAACTTTTCCCCCTGTTCCGATGGCTATGGTTTGGTGGTGTTTTGCCACCATGGCCGGGCCTCGGCCATGGAGGTGTGCTCGCATTCCAAACGCGCAGCCATGGGGAAGTTTGGCCCCTTTCCAGAAAGTCCTGGCGATTGATCACCGTGAGTTAGCTGTCGTGTTGCCTGCTTGTAAGAGGGAAACTAACCGAAGATATCGTCGGGTGTTTGGGCCGGAGAGTTTCGCATCCGGAACAAAGACTGAACCAAGCCTAAACTACCCTAAACCAATTCGCAAACACCATCACCAAGCCATCTCCATCATTGATAAAGCTAGGTGTTTGATAGATCTATGTGCCAAGAAGCATTGATAGACCCAGAGTTCCATTTGAGACGGACTATACTGCCGCAAAACAGTAGGAAGCAGTCGAACTTTCGGCTTTCATGTGGATTTCAATCCTAGGCTTCCTTGCTTCCTTGCTTGCTTTCTTTACTTCCTCTCCCTTCTTTTGCTGCCTTGGTTCCCGATCCATTGCAAGTCCGGAATCCAAGGAGCTGCCTGATCATGGGCCCCAGCGGCATCGGCAAGTCCTCCCTCCTGAGGCCGAGCCGAGCTTTCGTGCAACCGACCGATTCGTGGAAAGGGGCTGGGTGGCATTGGTCAACCACACCGAGCCTTTTGGAGCGGAAAATTGTGAGAAGGAACCCAAAAAGGGGGTCCACATCCAAAAGGAGACTTCTTCAGCCTCTTGGTTCTGTGTTATCGCCAAATTGTTCCCTTGAACCGATCGGAGGGGTCCCTTGATTTTTGTTAAGGCCAAAAGGTAAACGACTGTTGGGGAGCTACTATTCTAAGAGGCTTGATCCCCCTAAATCTATGAAGTCTATTGCAAGGGCTTGGCAAAATGGGTTCAGCTTCTCTGTGTCCCGATCCTAAGGCAGCGCCAAATGGGGATCCTCAATTCAAGTCTACCCCTTCAGACCCACTCATGCAGACGGCTAGTTGAACGCAGTCTGCACGAGCAAAGCCATGATTCAAGAGGAAATGCACAGGTTCTCTAGATGTTGCAGGTAGGAAATAGGGATGCCCCTTCAGTTCATAGTTGGCCGACTTGCGTCCAAAAACGCAAGTCGACAGCGAGTCCCCAGTTGATGATCGCAAATTCGTTCCAAACACCTGCTGGCAGTATGACCAAATCAAATAGGCCTCGGCTGACCTTTGAATCCCAGACCCGTTTTGTGAATCCATGTACATATGTCATGCCATCCCGAAAAGTTATCGCCTCTTGCTTCCAGCGAGGTCAAAGAGTAATCCGGTTCACCTTGGTGTTTTGTGCCTCCAGGCGCATTGACTGTTCGAAGGTTTGCGAGCCAAGCTCGCCCGTGAGCAAGTCTGACCTCGCCCACAGAATCAGCCTTGATGGGTTGGAGTTGTTTGTCTCAATGGGAACCTTGCCTAATGCTTGCACCAAAGGACAACCATGTGTGTAGCATCTAAGTGCATCAACACTGAACATGTTTTTGCCAAGTTGGCCCAATGAGGCCAATGAGCCTCCAAAGGCGTCCGCTCTCTGTTCTCAGCTTGGGAGTGTCCGAGACGGCACATGACCCCTGCTCTTGCCCCTTCCGGAAAAATGGTCTGAGCGCCTTAGACCGCAGGGTGCTTGGCCAGCTGTGGCCTCTCTTCCGCACCCCTCTGAAAGGAGACCGGGATGGAGGGAAAGCGGACGGCATGCATTTTCTGGGGGCTGAAGGGGTGACACGTTTTGGAGAGGACGCCTTTTGGCACCCGTTTTAGGTTGTGGGCGACCGTTTGGAGAGGTTTGAAAGCGCAACTCACTCTCTGAGTTGGGAAGGCCGATTTGGCAGCCAAAAGTGTTGGACCCTTCTTGGGCCAATCCACTCACTTCCTGAGGTCAAGGTAACCAAAAGGCTATGGATGGTCTCAAGGTGAGTTCAATGGTTTCCTTTGAAGCCACCCGCAAGAAGGATACCCTGAAAAACGACACACCCAAATCACCTGGCTGGGATTTTGTGTTGGACCACACTTGACACTGGATGTTTGATTTTTAAATCCCGCCATGTAAAAACATACCCATTCATACCCGGCCCATGCGTTGAGGCGGATCGTTCTGATGGCACAGCCACAAGCAGCCCTCATGTGATTCTTAGGGGACCGTCCACGACCGAGCCATTCCAGGCAAAGTGGGGAAGGAGGGCCAAGTGCAGTGGGTTTCTTTTGGTGGACTCTTAGGGTTTCTCGAACACACGATGAAAACATGAGCGCGCCTTTAACATTGAAAGCAAGGTCAATTTGAACAGGCACATGTATGTGCATACATGACATTACACTACGTTACATGGCATTGCATTGCATTACGTCACATGACACACAGTACATGTACTACTTACATTACACACATTTGCATACATTACATACACAACACACATTACACACATTAGACACATTGTATACAGTGCACACATTGCATACATTGCATTCCTTAAAGTACTTATACTACATGCACACATTACACACATGACACACATTACATACATTACAAACGTTGCACACATTACATACAGTACATGCACTGCAAAACTTTACGGTACAGTACATAAAATTCAGAGAATGCAACATACTACAAAACACCACATGACACTTACATTGCATCATTGGATGCCATTGCAATGCATTACACTATTGCGTAACATAACGCAACATGCATATACATATACATTTGCATACACACCCATACATATACATATGCATATTATGCTATATATATATATGTACACATACATGAGCTGCTGGCAACATGCCCCCTTGTTTCTTCTTCAATACCTGCATGTTGACTTAGTGTACAGATGTGGTAGCATGTGCTAGCACATGCTGGATTGAAGCTTCAGTATTGGTGATTCACCAACATTTTTCGTTGACAGAAACAGAGGCAGACAGGCAGAAACAGAGAGGTATGCATTGACGCATGGATACATGCTTACCTAGATACTCACTTGTTTACTTGCATGCATGGCTGTATTTCTTTTGCACACATCTATTGTTTCACGTTTTGTCCAGTGTCCATTGCTTTCGATGGCCTCGCATTTTTCTGGTGCCGGATCGTCAGGAGAGGCGGCCTCCTTCTGCCGCCCGGGGCCGCTGAGCGTTTTCTTCCTGGCACAGCGGCCGTACCTTTTCCAGGGAACCTTGCGGGAGCAGGCGGGAGAGGTGGACGCCGACGCCGACGCCAGCGGGGTGTCTGGGGCTTCTCGGTATGGGAGAAATCACCGTATGATTTAAGAGGGGTCAAGTAAAAAAGGCCACAAGGGTTGGGTATGTGTTCTTGAAAAGGAAATTCCATTTCAACTAAGGGTTGTTTTGCTGGACACCCAAAGGGGGCAGCCACAAAACACCGGCCCAGTTGCACAACTTTGATGGAATCTATTTTGGACTGCCCAAACAGGTGGGTTTCCTTTGCCCTTATTGTGAAGGGGGCAAATCCCTTTGAAGTCAACTTATGACCCCAAGAAATGTTTTTGTCCCCTGGGCATCCATTTCGTTTGGCTTTGACCCCAAAACCCCCCCAAGACTCTAGATCCCAACCCTGTGGAACTCATCGATAGGTGTCCTTTTTGCAAAATGGATGGTGGCAGATTGAGCCACCATGTAAACCAGGCATGCTCCAAATTCTTCAACCAAACCACAAAAGAACCCATCAAATCCCAGCCCTGCAACTCCGATCCGCGAGTTCGGTGGCATCCCTTCTGGAAAATGGTCGCGTTAAGTGGGGTGGGGGTTGACAGGGGTTTACCCGGTGGATACTAACTAACACTTTAACTCCTAGACCATCTGCTGGTAACATGGCTTCATCACAGCTCCCACCCCTGGGAAGCTCCTCCAATCCGCGAACTCGAACTCGGTGGCCGAGGAAAAGGACCCCCGTCCCTGGGACGAGCCTCCGGTGGCCTCCGATCCGTCCGCTTCCCGCGGGCAGGTGGCGTACCCCATCTGGGACACCTCGCTGCTCACGGAGCTGGACGACACCATCATGGAGCAGCTCTTCACGGACGCCAACCTGCTGGACGTTTGGGAGGCACGGAGGCGCCCCGGCGAATGTGGGACCGGGGGTGGGAATTTGAGCTTGACTGCTATGGGATCTTTAGACTTTAACTTTATTTTTTTTTGCGGGGGTCAGGATTTTACTAGTTGGTGTTTGTTTAGGGGAGGCGTTTTGGTACCCTTGGTTTAAAGGGAAACCCAAAGAACAACTGCCCTTTTTTGCGGTCACCCTATTTTTTGTTGGCCAGATATGGCCAGCTCGGGGGACCCTTTGGTGGACATGGTGGGGATTCATGCCCACCAACCACTTGTGAGGTGGTTGCCTATTCAAATTCAAATCGCTATACTGAGGTTTCTCAAACGACCCCTTTCAGGTAGGAAACCAAAGGAACCAACCCTCAGAGGCCACTTTGAGAAACCTTTCCTGTATTCGAGTGTATGTGTGTGTGTGGGTGTGGGTGTGCGTGTGCGTGTGCGTGTGTGGGTGCGCGTGCGCGTGCGCGTGCGCGTGCACGTGCGCCTGCGCCTGCGCCTGCGCCTGCGCCTGCGCCTGCGCCTGCGCCTGCGCGTGTGCGTGTGCGTGTGCGTGTGCGTGTGCGTGTGCGTGTGCGTGTGCGTGTGTGTGTGTGTGTGTGTGTGTGTCTCTGTGCGTGTCTGTGTGTGTGGGTGTGTCTGTGCGTGTCTGTGCGTGTCTGTGTGTGTGTGTGTGTGTGTGTGTGTGTGTGTGTGTGTGTGTGTGTGTGTGTGTGTGTGTGTGTGTGTGTGTGTGTGTGTGTGTGTGTGTGTGTGTGTGTGTGTGTGTGTGTGTGTGTGTGTGTGTGTGTGTGTGTGTGTGTGTCTGTGTGTGTCTGTGTGTGTCTGTGTGTGTCTGTGTGTGTCTGTGTGTGTCTGTGTGTGTCTGTGTGTGTCTGTGTGTGTCTGTGTGTGTCTGTGTGTGTCTGTGTGTGTCTGTGTGTGTCTGTTTGTGTCTGTGTGTGTCTGTGTGTGTCTGTGTGTGTCTGTGTGTGTCTGTGTCTGTGTGTATCTGTGTGTGTCTCTGTGTGTCTGTTTGTGTCTGTGCGTGTGTGTCTGTGAGTGTGTCTCTGTGTGTCTGTGTGTGTCTGTGTGTGTGTGTGTGTCTGTGTCTGTGTGTCTGTGTGTCTGTGTGTCTCTGTGTCTCTGTGTCTCTGTGTCTCTGTGTCTCTGTGTCTCTGTGTCTCTGTGTCTGTGTGTCTCTGTGTCTCTGTGTCTCTGTGTCTTTGTGTCTTTGTGTCTCTGTGTGTCTTTGTCTGCGTCTGCGTCTGCGTCTGCGTCTGCGTCTGCGTCTGCGTCTGCGTCTGCGTCTGCGTCTGTGTCTGTGTCTGTGTCTGTGTCTGTGTCTGTGTCTGTGTGTGTGTGTGTGTCTGTGTGTGTGTGCGTGTGTGTTTTTGTTGAGGGTCTCCTTTTGGTGAAGGGACACGAAAAGGACACCAAGGGTTCCATATCAGACCATATCATATTTTTTAGACAAAACCCAAGTGGTGGCCAAAGGGCCCCCCCGGTTTTAGGGACCTGGGGACCTGTTTCTTTACCGAAGCCCCCAACCTAATGCAAACCAGGAGGTAGGTAGAGAGTTAACGGGTTGTCAAGGCGGAAAAAGCAGGGCCCTTTTTTGGGTGCCTGCAGAGAAACCACAAGTTGAGGGTATGTGTCAAAATTGGGGCACCCGGGACGTCAAATGGACGCCAAAAGGAAGCCCACCATTTCAGGGCACCCCGATTTTGAGATAGAAGCCCATTTTGGTAAATCGTGAAGTGACTTGCACACCGCTATGGGCTTAAATCCTCGGTCAAAGTTAGGACAAGGCCTAGCAGGAATAGGTGCAGATATCCGCCTGCGAATTCTTGACCATGGTTTTGGTCGACCCGTGCAATGAGCTTGAATATGTATACCATGTCTTGACTATGACTCACTTGCGCACCCGAATGTCCTTTCTTGGGTGGTCTCCCTTTTGAAACAAACCCTTATAGAACCCAAAATCCATCTCCAAGACTCCTTCCCCTGAAAGCACCCGCAAACACCCCTTCCATAGTCTTACCAAGGCTTAGTAAGCTCCAGGGTGTCGGGCGCGCCGAACCCCAAAAAGGGGTTCCAGGGTGTAGTTTGACTGTGACTCGCGTAATCATCATGGCTGAGGGACGAGCTTGATTCCCCGCACATCTGCTGGGACGACGTGCTCTCCCTTGGCGAGCAACAGCGCCTTCAGTTCTGCAGGAGCGCCGGGAGCACCGTGATACCCACTTTGAGGGGACCCGGCAAATCGGATTTTTGGCGGATGGGCTGGTAGCTCAAGCCGAATGTAGAATGACAGAGGATGACATGGCTTTAGAATTGATGGCAGTTGCTTCACCTAGATTTACTGTGCTGTGTTTTCGTTTTTTGCATCATTCTTTGTTTTAGCGCTTTCAAGTCTTCAACAGGCCAATCCACATGGAACTTCCTGGATGCCCCCAACCAACCACCACCGCCGCCGCCGGCAGCACCACACCACCATCTCACCACAGTGGGCGCAGGCCTCGTGGTTGTATGATTGTTGCTTGTCCTTTCACGTGGGGTCGGGGTCGGGCTGGGGACTGGGAGGCCGGAACGAAGAACAACTCCTTGCGGCTGTTGGACTTGGCGGTGGTGCTGTTGCTGTTTTGAGGATTTGGGGGAGGGGGGGATGGCTACCCGTGTTTTCCGGCTTGCCAAGCTGAAACATGCCAGGCTTCACAGAACCCCTTGCAGGACTTCTGATGCTGTAGCAATGGTCAACGTAGCAATGGTCATCTATCACAGGAGCCACAGTGGCAAACTCACCAAACCCATCAAATCGCCCTGAGAGTATGGGAGTTACTCAGCCAAATCCAAGCACGGGACTGTGGCGTATCATTTGCTTGAACCTTTTCAAGCTAGTGGCCTTACGAAATCCACGCTCCCACTGCCCCTTCACCCCCGTGTCGAAATAGGGGCACCCTCCCGAAACGGTTCTGGTACCGTTTCGGTTTTCCCTTTCATTGGACACAGACCCTGAAGGCAGGGCATCATCCCATGTGCCTGAGCCAGCCATTCTCGGAATGAATCTTTCAAGCAGGGATACACAGGGTACCCTTTTGGGGTCTGAAGGGAGACGAAAAATCAAACATCAAGGTAATCATTTTCTGGGTTCCCCTCCTTGGAGACAAGCCCAAAGGGGAGCCCTCAAATGGGTGGGTTCCCTTTGGTTTCCCTTTAGACCGGTCTCATACGCTTCCCTGATATATATCATTGGTTTTGTCTATTGCCTCTATTCTGTAAATGTATGTTTTTTTGGCTGTTCAAAGTTAATCCACGGGATACTTCCCTCGAAAGGATTTGGTCCTTTCTCTGGGGATGTCATCAGTTCGTTCCAGGCCGCATCAAAACCAGGGTGCAGGGCTGACGATCAAGACTGCTTCCAGTTGCTATTCGGCAACCAGGGGAGGACACAATGCAAACTGGCAACAAACATCCTCGGCGGTTTGCCGAAAATGTAAGCTATGATGTAAGCCTCAAAATCAATCGGTGAATTACCATGTACTTGCTATAGTTTGGAGTTCGCAGTGGTGGAACTTTTTTGCAGGTCTCTTTCAGGGACCGATGCACCGATGCCAGGCTGTTCTGGCATGCCGAATGGCACGACAGACACCAGGATGACTCCCAGGGCTTTTTCGCGGCTTGGTGTGTTGGGACGTGTAGAAATCGATCTGAGTGAAAGCTCCTATGGAGCCATTGGTTGATCCCTTGTCAAGCTATCGAGCCCTGTTGATGGACCTAGACTTGTCCAATACAATCATTTTGGGACTCTTGAGTGAGATGTTGTGGAGTCAAGACTAAGCACATTGCAGCATTTTTTAGCATACTTGTCTTGATCGGTGCCAGACATGCCCAACCTCTGCCAGCTACGGAATCACCATGAATCAATTCCTTGCGGCCTTTTTTCCTGCTCGTTTGGGGAGGCTCCAATCCAAAATGGCTGGAATCCCTTAGCTTTCTACAACAAAAGACCTTCAAGAATGGTGGGAAGACAGGGCCCAACAAATGGCAACCGTGTCCATTTGGTTTCCTGTCCAAACCTATTCAAAAGCAAGTTCCACCTTATTTAAAACACAGAGGTTGCACGGTAAGTGAATCCAACAAACTAGTTGGTCCTCTGTGCTTTTCGTAGAACAAGTGGCTGGTTCGTTTTCCTTTGAGTATGGGCTGGTTTGTTTTTCCCGTACCGTTCAAAACCATCAAGTGAGCAGCGATCACAACTCCATTGGTTGCCAGCTTAGTATGCACGCCTACCGTATTTGACGCGGATGAAGTTCAGCTTGCTGCTGCAGGATGTCAGAGACAAATGGCCACCGCATTTCCGTTTTCACCGAGTCGTAGAACAACCTATCCCAACTTGGCGTGCCCTGATTGAATGCTGAATGCATCGGCAATGCCACCCTTTTGCACTTACTTTATGCACATCGATGGCCTGAAGAGCTCTTTGTTTGGTGCAAGATGATTTTTTAGAGACGAGGGGTGCCACCGCGAGGGTGGGGCCTTTAACAAACCGACTGGATCTGCGGAGAGGTGGAGGTTCAATTTCAGTGTTTTGCCAAGTGGTGGAATGTGAACATGTACCAAACTGTGAGCAGGCAAGAGCGGAAACCGTTTTTCTTTGGAATGACGTCGAACACAGGCAGTTGCAGAGCTGTCCGTGACTGAATAGCAACGAAGACAACAAGAACCCCCCCCACTAACGCGCGTCAAGTATGAGGCAAGCCTTTAGTAGAGGGGTCCACTGCGAGTTTGCTAGGTTTGTAGTGAAGCCTACAGCAACTCGTTCACGCTTCTGCCATGGACCGGTGAGCTCAGGCGGTCTTGGATGAGTCCTCCGCCTCAATGGCGGGAGCGCCCAGAAGGGTGGAGGAAGCCGCGCGCTCGTTTCAGCCATAGCGGTTTAAGCACGGTTAAACCAAAGGGTTGGCACCCAACTGAGGCAGGGCTCCCCAAGTTTTTGGACCGATTTCTGCGATACCAACGGAACCCCCAACAACCCTCCATTTGATGCCCTGCTTTGGGATCACGGAAATTGTGGTCTTTCTACAACCCGTTCTGTTTACTGTAGCTTTGTGTTCTTGTGAGAAACCACCTTTTCTTTGACTGCCAATGTCCAATGTTCTGAATGGGAGCGGACTCTGTTTTTGGTTTGGTGTCTTCTGAAGCCAAGCATTGACTCAACCAGACCAGCAACCAGTCTTTTTTACTCAAGTTGTTTTCGTTTGACCCAACTTGTTTGGGAATATGGTGTTTTTTTCTCCTAGGGCTGTTTTTTTTCTTCTTAGGTCTGGTTCCCCGGCTGGTTGGTTGGTTGGTTGGTCGGTCGGTTGGTCGGTTGGCCGTATCCCCAGCATCACAAGCCTCACTTGGACCTAAGGCCTGGGGTTTAGGCTGGCTTTGATCTTACGCGTGCTGCTGGCTTTGCAGCGGCTTTCGGTTTTCCTTTTTAAATGGTGTGGGCACGTGAGTTTTGGGGCTGATTTAGCATTGGTTCTGGAGCGTTGCCCCAAGCCCAAACACTCAGGTAAAATATCCACACCCCAAAGCACGCTAAACCAGCAGCACGCCTAAGACAAATCCGCTCCAAGCAAACCCCAAACCCACCCAAAGTCAGCCTCAACCCCTCCCAACAGCAGCCTGCATGTCAGCCCTTTGCTGAGCCTAAATGAACTCCAAACCAACCCAGACCCACCCTCAGTGTAAACCCCCCATAATGAAAGCAGCCCCGAGCAACTCCTAACTGCAACCGAATCAGAGCCAAGTGAGGCTGGTGATGCTGGGGAATGCAAAAAACCAGCGCGAGGAAAAACCAGCCCTAGGCAGAAAAAGCACCTCTATCCAACCTGTTTAGTTTTCGTTTTTGACGTTTCAAATCGCTGGGCTAGGCGAGGAAACGGCCCAGGTGTTTTGGGGATATGGCCTTGGTTTTACGATAGACATGGGGGCAATTTGCCACCAGATTTAAAGCCCAAGATACGGGGTGTCTTTTTGGGCACCATGTGGGGCTGTTATTCGAAAGAGAAACCAAGATAAGCCAAGGAAACACAAGTTTGGCTGACAGCCCACAAACATAGCCATGGCAACTACGACAGCCTATCGGACATAGCATGAAACATACTACACGAAATAATGCAGATTTCATACAGGGAATTTCCACAGAACAGTCTGAAGGATATCTGACAGGAAATGTTGCAGGACACGACAATTATACAGCACAGTCCAGAAGACATCGAAACCGTGCTACAGATTTGTTTGGCAGGACAGTCTACACGAACTTCCTACATAGCCTCAGGAAATGTTGTAGAACATTGGGCACCTTGTTCCATTGTGGCGTTTGCATTTAACTCATTGTCCTAGTGTCTTGCAAAAGAGTTGGTCCCCCGGTCACACGACAGAAGCCTCCCCAACACTGGTCCACTACAAAAAATGATGTTTCTGGGGAGCCCACAAAAACAACAACGCATTTTTGCTTTGCTTGTTCTTTTTATACCGTTCCTGCGAGTACACAAAATAGCTGCAAAGGAAAGCTCAGCTGGAACTAACGCGATGAACTCATTGTCAAGGAGGAGCCAGTCCCGCATGGAGTGGGTTCTCTTCAACACTTGCGGTTTCTGCTGTGCTCCATGTGACCTTTTCGGAAGAGAAGACAACGCACAGAAGGGGAGGACGGACCGCTTGAGAAAAATGCCAGAAATGTGGGAAGGAAGGTGTTTCGGGAAAGGATGCACGGAGCAAAAGCAGCATAGCGGCGGTGTCACCTGACTAGATTCATGTTTCGGATTCCCGGGCAATTTGATGTCAGGCGGGCATGTTTGCTTTTGAGTTGTTGTTTTGCCACCCCTTTTGGGGCTCGGTCTAACAGGAACAAAACTAAAACCATCCACGGAGGCCTTGAGACAAACCCAAGAGCTGTTTCTGTAAACTCAGTGAAGCCGAATTGCATTTCGCTTTCATTCGCGAGCCCCAACGTCTTTTCTTGCTCAGGCCCTTGTGACTGGAGATGTTGTATTTGATTTGCAAAGTCTCTGCCACTGGCATTGGTGGCAAGCCGCCGCCGCAACTCGGATGCTGGTCAACGGGTAGTCGAAAGGGCAAGACACATTGCTGCTGAAATAGGAAGCCTACTCTCTCAGTTTGACAACCCCCTTCCCTACGTGTCTAGCACATTTTCCATGGCACTGGGCTTTGCCATATTCCATTTGTCCCAAGGACACGACCTCCGAGCTGAAGGCTGGGGGGGTTGTACCACCCCGATTTGTGGCTCGCCAGGTGGTGAGTTTCCTTTTCGCTTCCCTTCAAACGCAGCCTGTAAGGTGGGGTGTGGTTTCGTGAGGGATTTCTGTTCTTTCTTATTTTTTGCGTCCAAAGGCTCCTTCCCCCAGTTTACTTTTTGGACAGCAAGCTTGACGACTCCGTTCATGATGAAGGCCCCTTAGGGATCCTTTGTCAGGTTGGTGAGTTATCGTATGAGAAGCTGGCCAGATCCTCTGCGGCGAGAAACAAAACCCAAACTCGACAGGAGTCAGTTCCGCGCTTTTCACGAGCCTCAACCATATTCTTGGCTTATTTCATTCTGCTGACATCATATACATACACATATGATTACCGAGGGGAATGTGTTAGATCAGAAGCAATAGTGTGTACTTCTTTTGTAAAGGGCTTTCTGGGTGTTTCGAGTAGCGAACCCCTAAAGATGGTTGGCTTCCTTTCGGTGTCCACTTAAAGTAATGATGGGCCGATTTTTGAGAAGCCCAGAAAGCCTTTGGGATAGCTGGAAGGCGAGCCATGCTGCCGCGAATCCACCGAACCTTGTGAGTTTCCTGGGTGTGATCCCTTGGGTTTAACCTCCTTTGAGGCTTCTGCCCTTGGTCCATGTTTAGTCAAGGTTTTTTAAAAGGGCTTGTGGGCAGGTGAGTTGGCGTCGGTCGGCAGGTCTATAAGTCCTGCCGCGAGAGGAAGCTAGGCTATCTCAGTGTGGCCCACAGGCAGGCAGACTCGAGCACGTGACGGGATGGAGCGTTTCCTCAAGTTCCACTGTTTGGGAGATCCAACGCATCTGGCAACGCGAACTCACAAAGGGTTTCGACAGACCGTTTTGAAGTTTGGGAACCCTGATTTGAGGCTTGTTCGGATGGTTTTCGATCCTATACCAGGGTTTCGGGCAACCATACAGGTTCCATGGAAACCATGCCAGCATCGGCCACATGTTGGGTAACCATGGCATGGGGACAGCTGGGTTTGCCATTTCAATTTCGGGACCTGCTTGTCGTGGTTGACCTTCGGGTGCCGGCCCTTGATTCCCTCAAAAGCCGAACCCAGTCCCTTCTCATCAGAGCGTTGCCTTTGGTTCTGGAAACAAAAGGGGCATGTTACAGGATCGTTTTGTTTTGCTCAGTGTTTGCCATATTTCCAGTTTCAGTGTTCACCGCGGATCAATCAACCCGGCGGTTCTTGATGGCTGCAGCTCCCCCAAACTTCTTGTGGATTCCCTCTAGACTCTAGAGGTAACCGCCCCAGTTATGCAGGGGCTCATGAATCCTGGGTTCGCATGAGATGTTTTGTTTCGTCAAAGCCATATTGCACCCGGTGCATCCATACAAGCCACTGTAGTAAGCGACGAGGTACGTCAACCTCTAAATCCCAGCCACCACCTTTTGCTTATCAGTGTCCTAAGTGATTCCTGCGCCTGTTGCTTTTGAACTTCGCGAGCAGCTTCAAACAGCCCGGCATTCCGAACTTGTCCTGCCTCATTCGATTCTTCTCCATTCCTTAGGCCAAAAGAGGCCTCTGATTTTGCCTTGTTAACCAAACCAGACCTACAAGGCTTCCTTTAGAGGGGCTTTCCTCATGTGGCATGATAAAAGGCATGCTTGCCTGGAGCTGGGTATGTTTATCAACCCTTCGGGAAGTTTAGAACAAACAGCCAAACGGAGGCTGAGGATGCTGAGGGTAGAGGATCTCGCAAAATAAAACAAGCATGGGGAGGTTTGTCCTTGGAAAATCTAAGTCCTCAAGGTTCTTCGAAGAGCTTCAGCCGAATTAGACAGCTACTCAAACATCGGTGATGTGGAAACTGCAACATTTGGTTTCCCAAACAGCCAACATTCGCCTTGACAAGTCCTATTATATTTGACATGTTTTGATTCCCCAAGTCAGTAAGGTCTTGTGATATGGAGCAGCGTCATTGAGAAGCCATGGTCGTTTCACTGGGTGGCTGCAATTCTTACTGGTCCATCGTGTTTCAGAGCCCGCGGAGTTTCCAATTTCGGCTTTTCCGAAACAGCGACCAATTGCATTGGCTCCATTAAAAGGGTTCTCGTGCAATGTTTCGGCGGCAAACATAATTGCGCCACTTCCCAAGTGCTTCCAGGTTCCATTATAGTAGGTAAGCAGAGGACACCATCATGTAAAGCCTAGAGTCTTAGAGGTAAACACACGCAAAGGGTTGCCCAATGTACTGGCTTGCCTGAAAGCAATGGAGTTATATTGTGCGGTTTGGGTTCAGCACACCGCATGAGTGTGCCGTCCTTCCACGTGCAACATGCTACGCGCACCGGCTGCCTGTGTCCAAGCCTGCTGAATGATAAGCACATCTTCTCAAGTGCGCCCCCCTCACAGCCCTGCATCCACGTCTGCCAAATGAAAGGCCCCGGCTCAAGTGTGCCAACCCACGATTGCATCGACACCTGCTCGATGATAAGCACGCCTGCCCATGCGCCCAATAAGAGCACCCACTCAAGTGCGCCCACTCAGCACTGCATTCGCCGGCCGAGTGCCAAGCACGCCCGCTTAAGCGCCCTCCGCGCTGTATCCACGCACGCCAAATGATAAGCAAGCGCTCAAGTGCGCCCACTCACGCCTGCTGAATGACAAGGACATCCGCTTACGTGCGCCGACTCAGAGCACTCTATCCACGCCTGCCAAATGACAAGCAGACCCACTTAAGTGTGCCAACTTAGGGCTGCATCCACGCCTGCTGGATGCTAAGCACACCCGTGAAGTGGGCTCACTCAGACACTGTATCCGCGGCCAAATGACAAGTGACAAGCTCACTGGCTCACGTGCGCTCTGCGCTGTGCCTGCCAAATGAGGGGCAGACTTATGCCGAATGATGCGGATCATAAGCACACCCGCTCGATTGCGCCCATTCAGCATTCAGCGCTGTATCCGCACCTGCCAAATGAGAAGCGCACCCGCTCAAGCGCGCCCGCGCTGCACTGCACCCACTCGTGCCAAATGATAAGCGCACACGCTTAAGCAGGGCTCCTTAAAAGATACATTTTGCCCATTTGAAACATGGCTTCTTCCACCAAAATAAATGGACACCACCATATACAAGGCAATGTTCAGGTGTATCATTCAAGGATCCCTGTTGTGCACCCACTCAGCACAGTACCCGAGCGTTCTAAATGATATGCACAGCTGCTCAAGTGCGCCCACTTAGCTGTGTCCACGCCTTTCAAATGATAAGCACAATCGCTCAAGCGCGCCAAATGATCCGCGCACCAACCGACGCCTGCCGCTCAAGTGCGCCCTTTCAGCACTTAATGAGGGGAAGAGGCATACACTTTTCAGGAGGAGAGTAATCCCTTGCGCCTTCCAGCAAAGTGATCAAGCTGTTGCGCTAGCACGACCAATTGCGGAAGCGCGTTGACCGAGAGGTGAATCGCGCATTCTCCTGAAAACAAACGGACGAAGTACGACCTGACGGGATGTTTGTGACGGTCAGTTCCGCAGGCCTACGGTTATCCAATTCCACCACAAGGTGCTGCACTTTTCCTTCGATGAGCCCCTTGGAAGGTCACAAGAGACCCCGGTGTTCGAGGGATCGAAGTGATTGGTTGTAAAACTTGTGGCAGAGAGTGTGAACTCAGCGCATGGTTGAGGGTACCCTTTCGCAAAAGGGTGTTCCAAAAGGGAAGCCAAAACGAAAACCATCAGGTTTAACCGATGCAGCCTTGTGCTTGGTGGGTACCCTTTTTGGGCCTGGTAAGGGACCACCAAAGGAAAACCACTTTTCTGGGTTCTCTAATTTAACACATGGAAGCCACCATCGGCTCCCTTTAGCAAGGAAACTGCCCAGACCCGCACGCGCCCGGAGTCAGGTTCGGTACTTGGTGGGAAGGTAACACTCTTGCATCACTGGAAATGGGTCCACTTGAGCCACCATCAAAACCCAGATACTGTAGATGAAGGTTAGTAAGGACCGGCCCAAGAATCTGGCTTTAATTTTCTAGGTTTGGCCGAGGGAATGATGGTTCCCTTGGCCACCCTTTAGGTGACGAAACGCCTGGACCCGGTTTTCCCGGTTTTTCCCACGCTTAGGCACCAGAACCTGCGCTACAAAGTGCGGGACGGCGCCGAGATGGCGTGCGGGTCCCCAGATCCCGCGCAATGCGAGAGGTCTTGCATTGGTCCTTTTGCTTCTTTTCCCTGACGGTTGCCTGTGGCCCCTGGGTTTCCTCAGGTTTTGATTTCAGGAAAGCTATGCATGAAAGTTATTGCGGTGACTGTAGGATGCACCACAATGAGCCAGAAAAAGCAGATGGGGAAAGTTGCCTGGCTGCTGGGGGGAGGGATGAACCGGTTTTCTGCTTGTTGAACACCTTGGGGACTAGTTCAGGGGGGCAACATGCTATTGTGCGGGGAGATTGCAGCTTGTCTAAAATTGGTAGTATTAGGAGAGTCCAGCCCAGCCAACCTAGTTCTATGATGTCGTTCATCCTGTGTAAGCATTGATCAAATTGTAACGGTTCACGCGAGTTGGTTCTAACACACCAGGCATAAATGGGCGGCTTGCAGAATGAGGAATCCCTTTTTGATTGTATCAAAGGGAAACCACAGCGAATCGTATCACTGTGGGGGTGCCGCGTTTTAGGGTACACCCAGCTGCAAAGGCTCGAATCGGCGTCGCTCATCCACAACGAGAGCCTTCGCAATGAGGAGCGAGTGGGCGATTTGCTGTCCGGAGAGGGCCGCTTTCCGTGTAGGGCCACTTTCTACACTTTCTGTGAGTGAACCCCCCGCTCAAAGTGATAAAGTCATAGGACTCGCATGGGAATCAACCTGTCACATCGGGAAGGATTCGAATACGAATCAATGCTTGGCTTCCTGGATTTGGACCGATGTGATATCATAGGGTCATTTCCAGGATTTCCAAACACATTTTGCTCCCTTTGCGCCGTAATTACACGAAGCGGAGTGCACCACTGTCGTCGCTTGCGAGGAGTGGCGGCCGCAGAATATGCGGCGTGTCCAATCCAGGAGCATGCGACGCCAGGGCCCAGTGGAGGTCAGGGGACAGGCAGCGTCTCGCCGTGTACCAACCTTACATGCGGCAGTCGCCCCCTTTGAAACCAGACAGTTTCCATGTTTGGGCTGTCTCCCCATTTAAATCAAACTAAGGCCTGAGCACTCTTATGGTAGGGGTGGTTCCATCTCAAGGTCTCATGGTATGATGGTAGGCGTGTGTGTGCATCCTTCATTTGGTTGGAAGCCAACTCAATGGAATTCAGAGTCAGAATCTCCGAGCCCTCTCCCCAGGAAACTAGCCAAGCTATTGTCAATATTCAGCGCATGCGTTTTCCTTGCAGCTTTTATTTGACTCGAGGCTGGATCAACCGATTTATCCCTTTCACCTCTTGAACATAGATTAGTTCCCCACGAACCTCCATGCGGGTCAGTCACAGGTCAGGGGCCGGCTTTGCTCTTGGCATTGCTTTTTGGCACCGGTTCGAAGGGTGGTTTCCCACTTGCTTCGCTTTTGAAACAACCCAAGATAGGGTGCAGTTGCTCAGTGGCATGGTTTCACCTGTTTGCTGGGTTTCCTACTAAAAACGGTCCCTACAGAGGTTCGCTTATTCGTACCAACGCACAAAAAGCAAATGTGCTTCGGTTTCCCCTTGGTTTGCCTTTGAAACAACACCAAAAAGATACCGACTCAAGAAAATAAAAGACATCTCCTTTTCCCCCTACTTGCCTTTTCCAACCCCACAAAGGGTACGAAGTGGTGGCGTCCCCTGGTTTTCTCCCTTTACGCACCCCAAAAACTGGCAGCAACTCAACAAAATGGCGGGGGAGGCTCCGATTCTCCGCCGAAGCCGGTTGAGGCTTCGGCGGCTTGGCGAACCAGTCCTTCTCCAGCCTCACAGGCTCGCTGGAGGGGGGTGGCTTGGGTCGAAGGAGCGGCACCAGCAGAACTGCACCCACGGCGCCTTGCGCAGTGCTCGCTTTTTTGGGGGTTCAAACAAGAACTTGCGCAACCCAACGGTTTTTACGAGAAAACGCAATGCGTTTCGACACTATAGGTAATCAGCTCATTTACCAAGTTCTGCACGATTGCCCTTGGCTACCTAGTAACTGGAAGCGGATGGGCTGGGGATTCCTTGTTTCAGGCTGCTCCTCTTTAGCTTGCTTGTTCTTAGGGAACAGGGCAATGAGCCCCACAATGTCCAAAGAAAGGGATAGATCAGTCCTTGCTTGGTCTTAGCCTAAGTGGTCCAAGTGTCTTGCAAGAAGTAAGCCCTCCAAAGCCATACTCAAATGGCGACCCTCTGGTAAATAACGGCCCTTTCTTTGATTCATCCCTTCATTCAGGTTTGTGAATTCTAGTCATGTCATGAGTGCAGATTCAGAAGCAGAAGTAGAGATGAGCTCACAAGAATACATAAACTCATAAACTCAGCTATTTGCGCAGTATCCTATTTGATTCTGTTATTTGGTCATATAGCAGTCGACAGACAAACAGAAACATTTCGTCTGGGAAACGGACGCCCACAAAGGCAAGCATAGCCAGCAGCCAACTACAGGGGTTGACCGGACAAAAGAGACCTGCTACACGGGGTGCCAGGATAACGACAGACATGTATAATCAAATATATATATATATATATATGTAGATTAACATAGATATATATAAATATGTTCCAGTCCCCGGGCCTCCCCTCAGAAATAGTCCAACATAGTGACCCCAGTTGGGAGAGGGTTCATGGTCCCTTTTAAGGGAGACATGTATGGAACTGTTATGTTGTTACGCAAGCGCAGGTCTTTGTGTCACTCCCGTCGCTGCTGAAAGGCAATATGCGGGAAGCTCAGAGCGAGGGGCTCGCTCGCTGGGCTTCACAAAGGCTCACCTTGGATTTATCCAGGATTCAAACGTGGGTCAAGGATCAGGAAGAAACCGGAAGAAACCGGAAGAAACCGGTGAACCATTCTTCAGGCAACTTTAGACTAGGCTCTTTTGGTATTTCAGTTAAACGAGGGGAATTGTCCCCGAGCATCAGTTGACATTTGTTTGAACTGGGGCACGCCCTACCCGTCAATAGTGCAAGTTCCTTTGAACCATTGGCCCTTCTAACGGTCATGGCTCGACCTCGACGCTTGACTTCGCGATTGCCTCTGCTTTGTTAGTGGTTCTTCTGGCGCCCAGACTAGAGCTAAGCATACTCCTCCTTTTACCGGATTGGTAGCACATGTTTTGGTGTCCGTACACGGGACCCCCGTAAGGGCGATAGTAAAGCGACAGCAAGCGGCAACTTGCCCATGTGCAGGCTATTTCCCAAACACTTCTTGCATGCGACGCTACCCATATTTAGCCTCTAAACGGGTCAAATGTTCATATGTATCACCTACATAGGATTTGTGAACACCTTGATGGCGAGGGCATGACTGAAATGCGAGCGGGGCTCCAGGTTATAGCCGAGACACTTGGACATTTTGTGTGGCCACCTGACTAAATATGGCCATTTGTGTTTTAGGGTTTAGTGCTGCCAAATAGTTTAATTTCTATGGCGCATTCCGCCACCGCGCCCCACCTCAGTGTCCTCTATGTTGGTGGTTTTCCTTTTGGTGCCCCTTAAGCCAGCTTGAGAAGGGTACCAAGCCTCAAAATTAACATAAATGTTGCACTTCCCTTTGGGTCAATGGGTTCAGTCAAAATGGGAAATCCCATATCCTTGGATCCCAAGGCAAGGATGTAAGGCTTCGATAAATTCGCGGAAAATTAGGGCATATAAAGGAATACATTCAACAGAGGAGCATGAAACTCCTGCGCGAAGTCATTGTCCTTGACGCGGCCTCCACACACACACACATGTTTGTTCTGTGATGCAAGCTGGAAACAATTTGTTTAAGCCTGTCTAGCCTGACATGTTGGTGGACCCGTCCAGAAAGGCACCATGGAACACGCAGAAATCACAGAGATGCATTCTTTCTTGGCTTCCCGGTCTCAGGCTTCGGAGCCTTTGGCGATTCCAAGCCCGGGCTAGCGTCGCTCGCTTCCGAAACCCGGAAGGTGTTTGCCCCTCACGACCCGCGCGAGTTTTGCTTCTTGTTGAAGGGCAGGAAATTCTGGAGGACAACAGCGTAAGTTTCGGGCCTTTTGGGGCCATGTCCCGTAGATGTTCCGACCAAACCCTTTGATCTGTGGATTTCCATCGGGTGAGGACGAGGAAGACGTGGAGAGCCGGTCCCAGTCCCGGGCCTCCTCACCCAACTCCCCCATGCTGGCGCGCCTGGGAAAGGCCGGGCGAGCGCGAGTACGAGCCGGGGACCGGTGGAAGCAAGCGGATACATGAGAGGCGTGTGCTTATATACGTATGTATATATACATATACAAATTGCTTTGCTTTGCTTGCTTGCTTGCTTGCTTTGCTTTGCTTTACTTTGCTTTGCTTTGCTTTGCTTTGATTTGCTTTGCTTGCTTTGCTTTGCTTTGCTTTGCTTTGCTTTGCTTTGCTTTGCTTTGCTTGCTTGCTTGCTTGCTTGCTTGGCTTTACTTTGCTTTGCTTTGCTTTGATTTGCTTTGCTTGCTTTGCTTTACTTTACTTTACTTTGCTTTGCTTTGCTTTGCTTTGCTTTGCTTGCTTGCTTGCTTTGCTTTGCTTTGCCTTGCTTTGCTTTTCTTTGCTTGCTTGCGCTTCTTTGTTTGTTTGTTGCCTTTCTTTTTTTTTCGGACGGTTGATCCCTGTTTTGCTGTGGGGAGGGGTCATTGAACCCGCTGAGAAGTTTCCGCTGGTCCAATGTTTGCAACCAGTATCAAAAGGAGCGACCATTAGCATCCATGTTTGTCGGAAGCCATTTCCTTTTTTTTGTGCCCTAGAAAGATCAACCCTGTTCCTTACTTTGCCCATTTGTGCGCGGAAGCGACCTTGGGAAGTGAAAGTATGGGGCGCTGAGCCATTGTCTCAAAATGGGCTGGTGCCAGAAGACGAGCCATGCTGGGGGTGGAGCCTTGTCGACGCGCTTCCGCAGCCATTTGGCCAGAAGTGTCGGATCATGTTCAGCCATTTCACGTGGTCAAGAGAAGGCCTTTGGGACCCTGATTGTGTTGCGTCGCCGTGGGGACAACCACCCGCATAGCCTTGCACATTGTCACTCCACATGTGATCCACTATACATAAACTTTAATCCAGGTCAACCAAACACGACATCAAGTCTGGTCAATACATCTACATGTGTTGCTGGCAAAACTGAACTATCTGTAAGTCCCATCATCGTTGGCGAATTCCAAGAAGTTGACTCTGATTGGCGCTCAAATAGCGTTTTCAGACCCGGAGAAAAACTCTCGGCCTCAGATGAGAGAGAGAGAGAGAAAGAGAAGGAGAGCGTCGGTCTTCCCCACCCTCATTTTCCCAATATCATTTTTGCTGTTTTCATGAGTGGACTTGTTTACCTACATATTACAACTGAACGGTCAATTGCAGGGATGTCCCTTGTTCTCTTGCAAGCAAGTGGGGAATGAACAAGGCAAGGATCCGTCTTTCCCGACCACCCACTCTAGAAAACGGCTGGTCTTAAAGACTGATGCTTGAACAGAATGAGGACTCATTGCAAGACATGTTTACAGACTCTTCCTTTATGAAAAGGGGGAATTCACATGGCTGTGGGTCAAACATAGGCCAACCCAAAATGGGTTGCCCTGGTAAATGGAAAGGACTAAAACCTGCAGAGGCCCCTGTTGAACTTTGACCCACACTCAAATTTCATGGGAACTCCTTGGCACATTTTCCCCAACCCAACCGGCCCTGACCCGACCGGACCCCAGCGAAGCCGGGCCCATGGCCGCCTGGGGCGAGCTCTTCGAGGCGGCGGCGGGTGCGGCCGTGCCGGTGGACCAGTTCGCCGAGGAGACGAGAATGGGGGGCAAAAAGGGGCGAACGCCAGGTGGTTTTTCTTGAAACTTGAGTTTTTGTCCTTCAAAGTTACTTTTGTTTTTTTTCAACAGCTGAAGGCGTGTTGGGGGTGCATAGGCCCAGATAGGCAAGGGGAGTGGGTGGTATGGGGCAGCTTTCAGGGGTACCGGAAGGTTGACCCCCCAAACATTTCCGCCTTTGGTCTGCAGCCATTGTTGGACAGAGGGACAGGTGCTTTGCTTGGAACTGCAAGAACGATGAAAAGAAACAGCGTTTTTGCCATGATTTGCGACATGTTCTATCTTCTGGTTCGCTTGCACCACTTAAAAACGGGCATGACTATAGAAATGGAGTTGTTTCATGGGCTTGCAAATGTTCAGGTCATGAAGCCAGAGGAAAAATAGGGACCCTTAATGCCTTGTGCTGCGAAGTGCTGAACACAGTGTAACACTCCTTGCAACAGTATGTCGATTTAAGTTTTTTAAGGGGACAGTACAGCATTTCCCGCTTCTGAAATTTTGAGGGGGCTCTCAGCCGCAATGGTACCGTATCACCCTGTGTACGGATGAAGGTTGAAGGCTCGAGTCCTTCCAGCTCTATTAGTAAACCCCCCAGCTATTTTATCAGGCCTGGAAGAAAAGAATGCTCCCGCTTAAGCCACCCAGCGGCAAATTTTGGGCGCTAAGCTGAGAATTAGGAACATCTCAGCATTTTGTGTTGCCGGGTGCTGAAAACACTGAGAGCAGGAAGCTGCAAATCAGTGGATACCTGCTCCAAACGGCAATTGTTTTAAAGGGCTTTGAAAGGACCAATCTACAAATCAGATTTGGAAACAACCGCCTTTCATTTGAATGCCCTTTAGAATCGTCTCGGCGGTTTCGGGGGATTATACCGGGGACCGGCGACTGGTTGGGCGAGAGTTCCTGGAGCTCACTTCACAAAACGACTTCAACCGCGGAGCAGCTCAGGAAGCAAAAAGCAACCGGTTTGCGGAAAAAAGAACAAGCGGAGATGGGCGAAGGAGTGTATTAAAAACATCCGAAAGAGCATTAGCTAGGTACTGATCTCTAGTAGGTGTTGCTTGCCTCTCGAAAGGATTCCGCAAGAGATCCGGTAGATAACTCCTCTGCGGTGCTCTCACGCAGAAAGCTTTCCGAATGGGATGCCCATGGGTTCAGGAGTATGGCTCCGCGCCCCCCCGGGTCGAGCGGGAGAACAGCGGCTTCGGCAGAAGGGCTTGGGATACGTGTCAACAGAGGGGACCTTGAGTTTCCCTGTTTGACCACACCCCCAATGGAATTCGCCTGGACCCCGAACAAATCGCGAGGTTTCATTTTGGCCCCCGCAAGACCAACCAAGGGTGTCCCCCTTTAAAGGAATCTGCTGGGTTGCCGTGTTTGATTTGGGGGCAGGGCGCATGACCGGGCAAAGGTCGAAGCCCACCGAGGCCCTCGGGCGAACAGCGAGATGCAGGCGACAGCGCTTTCGACGCCTTGAGAAACATGAAGGGATCATTCAAGGTATATAGCCGTTTTGAGGGGGATTTGTACGGATTCTCCCAAGCAAGGTCAGGATTTTAACCCCTGGTCGGGCACCGACCCCTTGGTTCCTTGGATTGTTCAGCCCACTGCTGAAACTGCATTCGTGTTTTGTTCTTCCCTTGTTGGGGAGAGGGGTGTGCGCAACAGCCTTCCCGTTAAGCTGAGCTCCCAAAGGGTGTAAGCGGTGTAAACACACACATTCCATTGAACAGGTTGCTTAAGTGTTCGACGTGTCGGTAGCTTTGGTGGTTGCTCTGCTCTGCTTTCCCATGTTGACGCGTTATCTTGTACGTAAACGACCCGAGGCTGACTGGGGAACAAGTATCCGAGAGACCTCGAAGACCTCAAAGCTCCCGGTTTCCGGATCCGCCAAGCGCGACCAAACAAAAACCACACCTAGGTCCCCCAGTAGTGCCCTTTTATCCTTTTTGGGGGGAGGGTTCCCCCCACTAAAATAGACTACAGAAAAAAAAGGGATACCGCTCAAAAATAGACTACCCCTCGCAAAAGGGTATCCTAAACAGAGGGTACCCCCTACTGAAATAGACTACCCCTTGTTCTAACCTCTCTACTGGAGGACCTAGACACCCCCCCCTCGGCCCAAAATGTCAGGCGCGGGTCATCTCGGAGCTGGTGGCGGCGGTGGACCGGCTGACGCGACGCCTGGGGAAGGTGGAGGAAGCGCTGAGCGCTGCAGGGATCGAGGTAGAGGAGTCTGAGGTGGGTTGGGATGCCTGGGGATGCTTGGGGGGTTGGAAAATGGGATGGGAATTGGGGCGAGGGGTGGGCTGGGGATGGAGAGGTTGACTTTTTGGAGGGGTCGAGTGGGAGATGGCTTGGGTGGTCGCAACTGCCAAAGCGTTTCGCGCTCTTGTATGCGACAAGCTGCAACTTGAAACTTTGATGCATGTGGCACGCCAAACACAAAAACGCCATGCATGTTTGCTTATTTGGGCTTAAAGGCAATCCAAGAGGGCACTCGCCAACTCACCATTTTGGGGGTCCCCCTAAGGTGCCACTCGTATGTGGGTGAAACGCGCTGTCCAGGAAGAGGATGAAGATGCTGGCAGTGCTCTCACCTACGGCGACGCGCCTGACGCGCCTTCCGGCTCGCCGGGCGCTTCCTTCGGGGACGCCTTGGCAGCCGCCAAGGCGGATCGCAGGCGCAGGCCACGAAAGAGGCGGGGGTTGGGTGGCTACGAGTTTTAAGGAGCTACCTCCAAAGTGGTGGACATGAAGCAACATGATGTCCACCATTTCGGGTTCCAAGCTAAATTCATGGCCATGTTGCACCCGATGTGGAACCTGGACTGAACGGAACCAATTTCGAACCCGGTACGGGCTCTTGGGTCCATTCAGGAGACGTTGGTTGTCAAAGTCGCTTTTTGGAGGTAGATGCTATGAAATTAAACGCTCCAGGCAAAATGCCACTGGTCGCTGGTTGCCAAAGTCACAAAAGTGAGGCCCTTCCCCCTCACAGCTATAGACCATGGCAAATCCATGGCCCCAAGAGGAAAGCCGTGCTGGAGGTCAAAGAAGAAAAGCTGCTACCAACAACAAAGCAGCACATCGTGGACATGACCCTCATATGCACATATTCGGAGAAGTAGTGGCAGGAAAAGAAGTTACTATAGGGATGAAGCGGACTATGTCCCATAGTTGCTTCGGGTTCGCCCGATGCATGTCATTGTGCAAGCAAACGCTTCGCAGAGTTGAGCACCTCGTTTGGCTGCCATGTCCCGGAAAGATGCCATGTCCTGCAGCGTTTCCAAGGCCCTGAACGCTTCAAACCGGACAAAGAAAAACACAGGTTCGTTCAAAACCGGGGTTTCGCTCGTTTGCCCAGGACAGTGTGTGTGTGTGGCATGCGAAAGGAACCCATGTGTTGGAACCAATTCAACGGGTCACCCAATCAGTGGAGCTGTGAAGCAAGGGGGCGGAGTCAAGGGTCCGCCAGCCTTGTTTGCACCTGAAACAGGGCACATGAAAGTTGGTGCAGAAGGTCCCCTTCTGCTCTTTTAACTCCTTGAGGTCCCCAGCCAAGTTTCCGCAACCAACTAGATGCCGATTTGGGTGTGACAACTTTGTGGTCAGTGTTTGGTGAGCTTCATTCTGGAGAGAAGTCGCAACCCTGGCGCATGTGTTTCAAAGTTATCACAACAAAGTTTCACCGGAGGCTTTCGCATAGCCCAAGTGAACAATAGTGCTGACCACGGACGAAAGTTGCCACGAAGGATGAAGAGCAATCTTGGGTGACCTGTTGAATGGTTTCTAACACACCCTTCGGCTGCTACACATGTGATTGTCCTTCGGTGCAAGCGATCAGACCCCCTGACTATGGTGTCTTAGCGGAACCTATTCGAAGCCTGGTTTTGCTATCAGACCCCACGTCAGGTGACATCCGCTGCCGCCGGCGCATCGTGTGAACGCCGCACGTGAGGGGAAGTAGATGGCGTTTTGTGTTTCAGGGGGCTAGTCAAGTGGTTCTTTGCTTTGCTCAGGCACATGAAACGAGTCTCTTGTCCAAAACTGCCGGGCTCCCTTGCTGGGGGCACGGCCAACGGTTTGTTCCTTCCAACTTGACAGGAGCTCCCTGATCCTTGCTGCGGTCACATATACTTCCATCGACAGCGGTGCTGTAAAAGTCAAGTACTGCGCAGCCTCGGGGGAGGCGAGATGTCTCAGTCTTCAGCTCTCAAAGACTCGTCTATGCCGAAAAGAAAGGTGGTGACCACGCATCCAAGCTGGGTCCGAAGTATTCCAGAACGTTGTGCGACCGAAAAGGAAGCCACAAGGGAAGGGAAAATGTGTCCAGACTCCCGATTTGACACCCATCTTTCCGAGAAGGGACCTTGGATCGGCCAATCAAACATGGGGTATCCTTTCTTGGTGCCCCATGCCTGGATAGTTCAAGCAACCATTGTGAACCTGTTTAGCACCTCCACAGATTGTTTGATTGGGTCTGGCCTAGAGGTTCAGAAAGCAAGATCCATACTATGAGCTCTCATAAAGCTAAGTTTGTGTTCAACTGTGAACCACTCCCAAGGGACTCCCTCGAAACAATCAGCTCACTTGCGCCCAAAGGGGCGCGTGCAAACCTATCGCCTCTTGATGTCCCAGTCTATGTTTCGTCAAGGTTCCAATAGGTTCCGTGCATCCGGTTTCCTAAAGTTGGGCACGGAGTCAAAGAGGCTTTAAGACCATCCAGCCCTTCGGGGTTTTTTCCAGTCAGAATGTGGGTTTGTTTCCCTTTAATCTACCAGGGCGAATGTTGCCCTACCTCTGAACGGGGTGACTTTGACAATGGTATAACAATGTGGCCAGTTTGGGTTGGGCTCGGGAAACAAAGGTCACCATAGGAGCTCCTCGGCTTAAACCACCCAGAGGCCTTTTGGGGCGCTCAGATGGACTGTTTGCCAGGTGCAATCAGCTCCTGGCAGCATGGTCAGCTTCATGCTGTCCAACAAGGCACCCGCGTTTTTTCGTCTTAGAGGTCCAACCACAATGTCGCTTTGCGGTCTGAAACATCACCTCTTGCAGCGAAGATTGAGAAACCTTGGCTGAGTTTTGCAGCAGGCAATCTGAACATCTGCTTTGTGGGTGTGTCACGCTTCTGCCCAGGAATGAAGTCTCCGTTTGTTTCGTCAGCTCCCACCAGGAAGTGCGCCATGTGAAGCACCCCGTGTCAACCTTTGCTGTTCCACTTGCTGTAAGCCTCACGTGGGCTAAGTATCCAAAGCGATCAGTGGCATGGCCGTTTTCATCAGGGACCTTCCAATGCGACCTGTTGAATCAACCGGGCGCTCTTGATATGTGTCCTTTGGCCACTGCAGCTTATTGTCAAGTGGATTCGACATTGTTTCAACCACCAGTGTCAAGAATGGTTGCCACCCCTCGGCGTACCCTGAGCGTACCCTGGGCGAACCCTGGGCGAACCCTTCCAAACAAGCCATGTATACGTTCCAAAAAGTTGGTTGGTTTCCCTGGAAACTGGTTGATACCATCCCAGGGATACATGACTTGAGTCCTTGATAGCAACGGGAACTTAGGAATGATAATTTGGTGGATGAACAGGGGCTGCAGCCCAGAAGCCCATCTTGGAGGGGATCCTGCACTTTGTTGAACGGACCACCAAGTCAGTCCAGGTGTTTCTTATATCTGGGGCCAACTTTTTTTGAGCGACATGCTCCCTGCAATCTGATGGCCCCAGAAACTCGTGACTCCCACCTGGAAGCTTACCGTACAGTCTGGGAACCCCTGATTGGTTGTTCTGGCCCCAATATTTACAATTATCAAAGTCACCCCCCAAGTGGTTGGTTACAAGGAAAACACCCAAGTTTCTGACTTTGACCCCCAGAAATGGTCAAAATAATGAACCCAGTTGTTTGGGTTGGTGGCTTGGGGATTAGCCAAAAGGTTCTTGTTGAGGAATGGGAACCCACCCAGATCCTCCAAACCACCAATCAACCACCAAATAGAGGAAGACTGGAAAAACTCCAAAAACAGGGCCCACCAATTAGCAAATGGTGGTTTGTTTGTTTTCTGTTTTTGGTTTGTTTGTTTGTTTGTTTGTTTGTTTGTTTGTTTGTTTGTTTGTTTGTTTGTTCGAGGGCAAGTTTTTTTGAGGTGTGTTTATGCAAAGTCGCCAGCCCCCAAACCAATCAACCAAACCCAAGCCAATCAAAAACTCACTAAACCGTTCACAGGGAACCATGGCCACCGACACCCGTTGCCCATGACCCCCCTCGATGCTAGCCAGGCGGAGGCGGATGCGAACTACATGCCCTTAAGCACCATCGGCGAGAACAAGCAGGCGCCGGAGAAAGGGGGAATGGGGTTGAAAGGTTGGTGCTATGAGCCGAGCCGGACCAGGGCAAGACTTAGAGTCAGGGACCCTAGGAGGATGGAGGTTATGACAAAACTTGTTGGCTGCAACCATTCAGTGCTAGTTGTGTGTGTGTGTGTGGTGGAGGCAAATGTGCGGCGAGCTGTGAGATTGGGATGTGTGCCACATGCCCAAGGCGCAACAGCAACTGTATGCGAGTCGCGCAAAGTCAAAGCGACAAGCCTGCCTTCTCGAACAAGCAGACACCACAAGCCCTTTCGACTTTTTTCGAGCTCCGACCTTCTGCCGATTCGTCTAGCTGCAGATGCATCGAGTGGAAGAGTGGGTGCCCAAAATGGCAAGCCAGGCTGAGCAACCATTGTTGCCCTTGCACAATCGGACCCTTTCAAAAACGTACTTTATGTGAATGAGGCTACCCGGTGAATGCCAGTCACCAATAGGAAGTCCTGGTTTGCAGCAAAGCAAAGATGGGTTTGACTGGATGAGGTAATGGGTTGATGTGTTACACTGGGTTCACCGGAAGCGCTGGGTGACCCAACACCCGTTTAGGCAAAAAGGAGGACATCAATTTACATGGGCAACCAAAGGAACCACCCTTCAAATTCGAAAGGAACATGTTTGGTTTCCTACTAAAAAGGCAACTCGGCTTGGAAGCCACGCTTTTTGGGTATCAAGGAACTGGATACAACTGATGCGACAATATCACCAGAAACCAAATAGGGCTCTGATGTAAAACCGATTACCTCATATCGTCCGTGGCCAGACCCAAGGGGAGCCGCCTGCCAATTCAATCGAAGGAAGTCGACTTAATCGAGAGGATCACACTCCTTCGAGCCGTTCAAATGCTTCCAATTGCTGAAGAATATTGTTGATTTGCCCTTGTTGGTTTTAAAGGGAATCCAGCACTACTGGAAATATGTTTATTTTTTCCGGGGAGCTTCAGCAAATGGAAGATAATGTGTCCTCCAATATGCATGGGTTCGAAAAGACCAACATTAATATTGGAAGTGTGCTTTCGGTGGAGTCCCAGAAACAGTTTTACTGGATGCTATTGATGAACACTTGAGACTGTTTGCTTGTTTTCAATGTTCAAGGAACATTTTTTCTTTGAGGCCCTTGTTCTTTGCAGGTTGCTCAGCTGCGTAACAAATACAACTGGGTTTCTTGTGTATAACGTGTATATATGCGTGTATATATATATATATATTGTTTTGGCTGGTTAAAAATGGGCAGGCCCGTGGCCCTTCCGTGAAATTGACACTAAATTAATCTTTTAAGTGACATTCCTTGTGGCAGGATGATGGAAGGGGAAATATAGAGAACCCTGTGCTTCAAAGACCCAAAGAGACTGGACAAATCATTCCACCAATTGAAACACTCTTTCTTAGCACCTTAAACGGGCATCCAACACAACCTCTTTCATTGCGCGTGACCCTCATAGTTTTCGGGGCCTCCAAAGAAGAGACAGTATGGAACCGAAACCAAAGGAACCTAGCTGAGGAACATGTTTGGTCACTCGTCGCTTGCATCCGTGGGTCTCGCGTGCCAAATATTTTCCCCGGGGGTTTTGACCGCTTCAGATGCTTTTTCAGGTTGTCCCCGCCTTTGACAGTGGTAACAAAACACTCAAAGTGGCAGGATTCGTCCTGAAGTATGCCAAACACATCTCCCCAACACCAGAGAGACAGTGGGGGCATGACTCGCCCTCAGGCTAGCGACCTTTCCTTGGGCGAAGGACCTCTAGTTTGCCGAAGCCCAAGCGCTGGTGTGAAGCGGGGGTCCTTGCAGTTTCCTCGTTGAATGATGTGAATATTGCCTGGTGGCCACTGTTTGTGGTCAGGGGATGAGATTCTTACATGCGGAAGCCTGTGACATTGTGAAGCCAAAGCCGACTTCGGGGAAACTAGAGGTCTTGTACTCGTCATTCTGAAATGGCTCTTTCTTGGTAGGGAATCCATGAAGCAATTAATGATAACCAAACAGAGAAAGACAAAATTATGATACCAAACAAATCAAGGCGCTGGCTAAATCCTCCTGGATTCACCTCCCCGAACAAAATTGTTTAACAAGAAGGCACGGTGAACTTGGTTGGGCAATGGTGCAAACATGTTTTTCTCGGCCGGAGCAGTGACCAAGGCCTTTTCTCCTGTGAGTTCGATTTATTCTGGGCTAAAGTGTAGCCGTTGGTGTGCACTTGTCTTAGCTCCTTGTAAGTGTTCCACTTGGCGAACATTTTGGCTCAAGTGGAACCCATTCTTTTTGGTGTGTTGTAGAGGCCAAGGCGAAGGCCCTGGCCTTGATGGAACGATGCCTCGCAAGTTTGGTGAAGAGGGGGGAAGAAGGCTGGTCTGTTCTTGCATTGGAGGTGGGAACTTGCCCCGGACGAGCACACTTTCTCGAGTGCCGATGAGGTAGAACAGGCCCCGCTCATCCCGGCCAAGCGCAATGCGGAGGACGAGCTGGTGAAGAAAGAGGCAGAGGAGGCGCAGGTGCCGGTGGCCCTGACACGCGGGTTGGCGCAGGTTGCGATGGTCCTGACACGCCTTTTCGGGGGGGGGGGGCTTCCTCGAAGTTCTGTAGCCGCGTGAGATCCGTGGACGAGCTCCTTGCCAAGCCAAAGGATCAGAAGTCCAAGCCGTTCCCTTTCGCTGTGGCTGCGCCTTGACGCGAGGCGGATGCCAATTGGCAACGCAGGAAGGAACTCATGGCCGGGATCAGAGAGGAGAAACCCTCGAAGCTCGAAGGATGACACTCCTTTGCTGGCATCGAAGAACCTCAAAGACTTGCGGGCGCAAGCCTGAACTTCCACTGGTCTCCTCCTGGACACAGCCGCAGCTTCATGCTCAAAGAGCCGTGGGGCGTCTGGGCGGCGCTCTTCCACGTCCAAAGCCGACGACCCTTCACACTAAGAACGCATTGTGGGCGCCCCCAACGGACCAACTTCCTGGTGACATCGGAGACATATCTGCTTATTAGCCGCAGTTAGTGGAGCTCTGCAACTACGAGCAGAGCGCAAGTCTGCTCCAGTCACTTCTTTTTCTGGCGGGGCGGCCATAGAGTCCCACACCTACTCCTGAAATAGAGCAGGCGATCCGACAGGGAGGAATTGACGTGAGAACCTGGAGCAGGCCAGTTTCTCCATTTGTTCTTCACAACAAGGGCGGAGCTTCGACATGCCCCGGCAGTGCCCCCCCCCCGCGCCGACAAGCGAAGGCCTCCGGCAGTGAAAGCCTTCAAGATGCAGACCCGGCTGGTCGCAAAGCCCACCAAGAAGCACAGGAGAAGGGGGCCCAGGAGACCCTAAACGTCCGGGGTGGCAGGAGATGTCCCAGAGCTGATGAACCAAACTGGATTTCGGGCCCATTCTCGCAACTTTGCACTGAAGGGCGCGTTTAAACTACGACAAGGAAGTGAGAACTACGACAAGAAAATGAGAACTACGACGACAAATATCACTACGACAAGGTCCCACACACACACACACACCGACAAGGCTCTACACAGTTTGCATCATCACAGGGACCATATGCGCTCCACTTGTTTCACTGCAGTTTGTATGCGGGGCAACGCTTTACTTGCATCATCACAGGGACCATCCTCCTTTGCACTGAGCAATTTACACGGATAAAAGGATGCGCCGGTTTTGAATTGAATTTTTTGGTGGCGCCAATGTGGCGTTCCGAGGAAGTAAAGCATACGCTTCAGGGGTCCCGCTGAGCCATTTTGGTCTCAGCCCTGGGTATGTCTTGTTTTGGTGGTACCGTTCTTTTTTTTTGGGGGTGGTTTAAATGGGAACTACCACAAGGAAACCAACCTTGTTTTTGAGACACTAGTATGGGTCCATACAATCAGCCCTTGGTTTTGGGATGGACCAAGGGAACGAACCGAAGGATCGATCTGAGTTGCGTCAAAGGCCCCCGTCAAAGAAGTTCACGGCCCCCTTGACCTGAGTTTCCCCTTGTTGGCCTACATGTAGTCACAGCCCCAAACCGCTCAACCTTTTGCTTCTTTGTCTTTTGCCGAAGAGAGAGGGTTTATGGAGACTTTGTGGGATGGATGGCTTCCCAGAAATTGTCCATCGGAGGGACCCCAGATTCCCACTAGAGTTGCCGGGGTTCCGTTGGCTCGTCTTCTTTTGCGGCCATCCCTTGCAGGTTGGTTATAATAAAGGAAACACCACCATATGTTGGCTCCTTACAAAAATGAATCATCAATTTGTTTCATTTCCGTTGGTCCCTTTTCTCGGTTCCTGCGGACCTGTTTCGCCGTTGTCGGACTAAGGCTCTCCTTACTCCACCGATGCACAGGACTTCGCTAAGGCCGCTTGGCCCTGGTTGAATCTTGTCCCACTTGCCCAGTGGCGCCCTGTTTTTCCTTTCTTTGGGAAGGGTCCTTTTTCCCCTTGGCCACTAGGCATCTGAGTTGGAATGGGTGGCTCGTCTTTTTTAGGGCCCAAGATGATCTTTTGGTCGAACACCTGGCTACCCGAGAGAGACGCGCATAAAACACACAAATGTCACCGCCCAGGGGGTTCGGCCAATTGTTTAAGCTGTCGAACTCATTGTTTAACCAGCCACCTCTCGGTTGTACTGCAAAGGGGCGCTCGGATCTGGTTGTTCCAATTGCATCCTATCCGCAGCAAACAGCCCGGAGGCTCAGAGGAGTAAGCCTGGCCTTGCATGATGAAAGGGATTCCCTGGATCAAGTTTGGCCACCCCCTGATTTGTTTTTGGAATGTGGCATGGATAGATCAACAGCAAGAAACGCGGATGGCCTTCTCTCATGATGCCAGCTTGGATCGCGCGCGCGGAAAAATCATCATTACGAGTTTTCAACATGTCCCAAATGGACACCGAACGACATTGGTCATGATATCCCCCTCTATTTTTTCACACCCATTCATATATGGTCGGCCCAGCCCTGTCGAGTGTCAAGATATACTTGGCGTAGCGAGAGAAGACATAGACTTCAGATCCAAGTCAGGGGCCGTTTCATCTCAATCATTTCCCACATGGATTTTAGTTGAGCAGCGACCCTTGGGACAGCATTGGTTCATAGATCCGTGTAATCCAAATTCATCGAAATCCGGAAGATCCAATCTCAACCGGCGCAACCTCGCCGCCCGATTGGACTCCTGCCTAGCCTAACATGACCATGGGGAATTCCTCCCGAGGCTGAAGGCAACCCAAACAGGAAGCCGATGGACATGTTTTGGTTCCTTTTCCTTTTCGACCAATATGAGTTTTCCCATCGCAACTGTTCTCCCTTCACGACCCATGGATGTCCCCGGTCCCCTTGTGATCCCTTGTTCTTGGAACCCCCCAAAAATGCAAAACCCGCCATCGCCAATCGCGAAGGTATCCGACTGAAGAGGGACTCGTGTCAAGAGGTCGGTCCTTCCTATGACCCGAATTGGCGGGCCTTTTGTGACCTTTTGGGAACAATGCAAAGCTGAAGTATAGAAACGTTTCCCTGGCCTTTGGTTTCCCGTCACAGGTCTAACGCGTCCAGTGGAGGTTGAACCCGGGCAACCCCTCCCCCCGTTTAAGTGTACCTCTTTGGTCTAGATTCCAGTGGATTCCAGGCCCCCCCTTTCGTGCCCTTGGACTCTGCACGTCCCAGCCTGGCTCCCTTTGTCTCGGCTCCGGGTTGGCGGCAACCCCTGGGTTTCTTTTAAGAATCTTATTGAAGAAAACCTGTGACCATAGGTGTCCTTGTTGGTTGTGTTGGTGGAACATAGAGTTGATCCGGTTGCTTCATAATCTAACTATCAGGGCCATCTATTTTCCCCAAAAGACACATGCATGTGACAGCACTTTGTTTGCTCTCTTTGTTTAATCGTTTCGCGCGCCATCAACGTTTTCCCAGCTGAACCCTGAATTCGAACCAAGAAGGAAACCCAGGCCAGGCTGAACTGACCCTCATTGGGTGACATTGAGCACACTCGCGAAATTACCATTGGGAAATTGGGGTCACGCGCCAAATTCCCATGTCATTCGGGAGGGTCACTCGCCAAATTCCACTAGAAAGGCCTAATCACTATACCCAAACGCTTCTTGTATGCAATATTTGGCAACTTTCACCACACATGTTGGTATAGAAGAACCACCCGTCACGTGGTGTCTTGTTTGCCGCCAGAACGGCTCGATGTACCACTTGGGCGTCATCGCTCGCATCAGCTGGACGCAGTCTGCGGCCCAAGGTCTTGAACAGGTGGAGTCGTGAAACTGGTCCGTTGAAGTGACTCAAATATGATATATATATATATACGCATGTATTTGTATATATACATATATATATAGATAGATAGATGTTTATAGGGAGAGAGACACACACACGCACACACACACACACACACACACAAACAGACCACACACACACACACACACGCCCGCACAGACGCACAAGCACGCACGCAGGCAAGCGGGGTGCTTGCCTACGCGCGCCCACACGGACGAGCGGAGGGACGGACGGACTCGCGCAACCGCCCACCCGCCCGCCTGCCCGCCCGCCTGCCTGCCCGCACGCCCGCCCGCCCGCCTGCACTCACGCATGCGCAGGCAGGCAGGCACGCAGGCTCGCACGCACGCACTCAGGCACTCGCAGACTTTCATTTGTCGTTATATTTATATGCATGTATACGTATAATATATAGGGGAGTTAATGACAAGTGGTTGTCCTTCTAACCGGCGTTTGCGGGGTGGTTGCTTGAACCAACCCAGGCAATTTTTGTTTCAGAACCTTGTGTTGGGGACCGTCTCTTGCACATCAGGTTTTTCCATGCATCCTGGTCCCGAAGCAATCATCATGGTAGAACAACGCTGGACCGGCTGTGTGCAGCTCATTTCTTTCATTCATGAAAGGAGTCGGGCAAAGGATAAGCATTGAGCTCACTGAGCTTTCAGTTTCAGCTGTGAATGGGTGACCCTTCAGGACGCGATCTGATCTTCCACGATCCCTCAACAGCTTTGCCTTAGTTTCAACCCGTGGTCTTGGGCTTTGGGGCCTATCAGACCGAACATGGTGTGTGTGTGTGTGTTTTTTAAGGCCCCCTTCTGGTTGGTGTTTACAGGGAACCCAGCGGGACATCAGGGGAAAAAACATTAAAACAAAAACATCGGGTTTTTCGGTAGAATCCCAAGCGCCGAAGGATTGCTTCCTGTGCTTCCAGGCGAGCTTGAACGCAGCGTTCAAACACCTGCAAAAAGCGTGAGAACAAAGAAACAAGATGTAGCCCTGAGAATTGAGACTCAGGTTCGGAAGCACAAAGGAGGGCTAAGAACTGGAGGCTAAGTCCAATAAATACTAGTGGTCTCAACTCGATTCTGGTGTAGTTCAGCACACAATGCTTCCAGGCATGCTACCCTGGGGAACACCTGAAAGCCAAGCGAAAGAAGGAGTTTGCCACTGCTACCCAATTTGGCTCACGGCCTTAACGGCTATGGTGCTGCTTGTTGGAGCCAACATGAAAAACACGGAGCACAACCAGCTGCAAAAAGCATTTCAGAATGGACATGCGAAACTGCGGAGGTGCCCAATGAAGCAGCACCTCAAATACCTGAAGAGACCCTAACGGCGGCAACCAACGCAACTGCTGACGCAACCTGGTCTCCGGCATGCGAAAAGCTCAATAGAAGCGGCGACAGCCAAAGCAAAGCCAAAACATGGACCACGCGACCTGGCAAAGAGTGCAAAGGCTTCCAAGGAAGCCAAAGAATAACACATCACTGTAGCCTTGCTTTCGAGGAACACATCTATAGGACAAATGCTGACAAGTATGGTATTTTACAATATGTGTTCCACGGCGCCGACACGTGGTGATTGAAGCGCTTCCTGCTACTGCCTTAGCTCACTTAATACAGGTCAAAGTGGAATTAGATAAGGAACTTGAGCACACAATCACTCTGATGCCAGTTTGAGCTTCGGGATTCTTTGAGCAAGGCCATCATTTTCCTATTTGGATGTTCAACCTAGTGGGTCACAATGCTCAAATCTCGATTGGCAAGTGGGTTGAACATCAGCCGCTTTTCAGACCCCCTTAAGCTGGGGTCACCCACCTATTGGGCAAAGGAGAGGTACAGGGCCTTGTGATGGAGTGTTTCTCACAGGTTGGGATTTGTTTTATCCACGACGGGTGCAACCCAAGTCGGGAAGCGGGTCTCGAGCCGGAGCCTCTCGCTCTGAGTACCTGGCTCCTGACCTTGGTGGCGCTTCTGAACCTCCTGGCTGCGGCGATGCTGGCCTTCTGGGTGCGCCGAACTCCCGAGCTCCCGACCCAACTCGCTTCACCGCCTCCAAAAGCAGGGGTCTGGCGGCCGCTGGGTTTGCCTCATCTTCTGGCGAAACCCACGTGTTTCAACAATATAATAGGCATATATATATATAGAGACTGGTATTATGATTATTTATTATTATTACTATTATTACTATTACTATTATTATTAATTTGGGTGCTGCAACTTGGCATCCAGGCTAGCATTCCCCTAGTCCGACACCAGCCGCACTCACCAAGAAAACCGCTCGGCCTCCTTCGAGTTGGGGGCCCCCTGTTCCAATCACACCGTGCTGAACATCTCTTCTGATCAACCCTGATGGATCTCTTGGAAGGGCGCGCAGTATGTGTGTTGCAGTTTCTGGTGGCAAAGATTACTTAGTGATCTCCAGGGTTGCATCGCATGTCTATGGGACTACGCCATTCCCCTAACATCCCGAAGCCACAAGACCTCTACACGCGTTTCAGGTTCCGTGTAGCCCGACAGATGAACCCAAAAGAGTTAGGTTGCCGGAGCCGGTCAGAGCGCAAGTAGTCATCCGTATGCTCCCTTGAAGGGGGGGGGGAGGGGGAATTGCCATTTGTGCCTATGTTTTGATTGCTTTTCCCCTAGGCCCCCCCTTTTTGCCCGCAGTCGGTTGCTAGCCGGGAGCGCTTGGTCCGGAAGGGAACTATATCTCGCAGCCGCTTGGCCCGAAACTCGAGACTTGCGCCCAACCTCCATTCTGCAATGGGAAGCGTTTACAAGCCTCAGGACAGAGGGTTGGGCGAAGCGTTCAAAAAAAGCTGCCGTAACATCAATTCATGTGTGTGTGCCCTTCCCTCAGGCCATTTGAAAAGGGCTTCCAATGGCCAATAGCGCCCGACCGGTGATTTAATTCGTGTTTGTCTCATAGCGAAACCTCCCTAAAAAGTACGTGTTCATTAGGTTTTTATTTTTCAAGCATCTCCAAAAAGGGTAGCTGCAAAAAGATACTATCCATATCTCATGGCCAGTTGACCTTTTAACGTGGATGCCATGCAGCAAGGGTGGCGCTCGATTTCTCAGGTGCAACTGGCAACCAAAAAGTAAAAGAGAAACCAAAAGGAAGACGTCACCATTTTGGGGCGTTCCCCCCCAAAAAAACAAAACAACAGCTCAAAGGGAACAATAGGGGCCCCTGTTCCATGTGCAAAGTTGTTTAGCTCGCCTTGATCGGGCCGGTTCATTTTTCAACACATCTGGCTGTCGCGTGACCAGCAAAAAGGTGGGCAGACCGCAAACGTTTGCGCGCCATGGATCGGGAAGCCACAGGCCTTCCCATCGACACTTCGGGTCCATTTGGCAACGGGGGGTGGGTTTTTGGTGTTTGAAGCTCTTCACAATAGCCTTTAAGCTTTTCTTGTTTGTGCTTTAGTTGTGTTTAAGGGCTTTCAAAAATCAGCAAACAACCTTGACACTCGTCCGATTTCTGTCAGTTGAGCTTGCACCCAAACCCTAAATGTGAAAGCTACCGCGGTAGGTAACCAGGCATTTTCGAATCTAGATTTTGCATGGTTTTACTGGTTTCGCTCGGACGTCCGCTTGATATTCTGGCACACTTCGCGCAACCCCCTGGTAAAGTCGCTCATTTTGTGGGGAATCGGTGGACTCAGGATAAATGTGAACAAACACCAGGTGGACTCACTGATGTTCTGGGAGTTGTCGCACACACATCAGCTGGACGGGCTCATTTCCTTTTGTAGAAAATGCCGCATGAGAATACATGTCGCACAGCAACCAGATTCACTCGGCACATTTTCCGGAAGATGCCGCACAAATTCGGGGAGGACTTGCACAATTTTCGGGAACCAGGTGGACTCACTCATGCACAACAAGCAGGTGCACATTTTGCCCGGCGCTTTCACTGAACTATAGTACGGGCCCAGTCACTTTGACCTATTCTAGGGCTGCGCCTGGCACCAGCTGCGCCCAAATGCTGCCTGCGCACCCACACACACACACACCCGCGCACCCACGCATACCCGCGCACCCGCGCACCCACACGCACCCGCGCACGCACATGCAGCATCCCCAGCATCACCTGCTGGCACCACGCAAAGCCAGCGTTTAGCAGCATCATCTGCAACACTCGCTGAGCCCAGTGGGCCGGTCCTTGATGGTCCTGGGACCGGTGCGGAGATTTTTCGCATCATCATTTCCTCCGATTGCATCAGGCACTTCCAATTACAACAGGGAATTAACCCTTCATCTCTAGGTTGCATTGTATGTTCGACTGGTTCCCAAAAAATCACTTTCCACTGGCCTTATCGCAGGAGACGGTGCGGCGGCGCCAGTTGCCGGAGGTGGTGGGGGGTCACGACTTTAACATGTGCCTCGGCGGCAGGTCTTTCCTTAGTGCCTTTTTTTGAGAGTCAGAGGCACCAAACACCCGGTACAAAGTTGCGATTTGCGAGCTGGAGCTGCGGAATTGTACTTCGCGTACTACACTTGTACCACAAAGTTGCGATTTTCGAGCTGGAGCTGCGGAATTGTACTTCGCGAACAACACGACTTGTGCTACAAAGGACGATTTTTGAGCTAGAGCTGCGGAAGTGTACTTCGCGCACTAATCTTGCACTACAAAGTTGCCACTTTCCAGCTAGAGCCGTAGTGCACTTGGACTACAGCCGCTTGGGCTGAAGAAACGTCAATCGGTGACAAGGCCAACGTGTTTCGAGAGCGCGTTCTGCCGGGGAAGCGCGGCGGAAGCCTAAAAGCGAAACAGGCCGGGAAAAGACTTTTAGAACAACCCTCACATGGGTAATCTGCTTTTTTCAGGGTGCGCCTTCAGCGCAAGTACTTTTTCCCCATTCGGGTGATCCATAATCTCCTTTAGTGTCCAGGAGTGGAGTCCTTATTTTTGAGATTGTTCGCGTTTGCTGCGGTTGTGGATGCGCGTTAGCGTGTGTTATCACTCGCGCCAGCATGCTTGCAGCGGTTCTGGATGCGCGTGGGAGTGTCCATGAACACTTTGTGCCAGCATGCGCGCAGCATTGGTGCATGCGCGTGGGCGTGTTTGCTATCACTCGTGCCAGCATGGGGCAGCAGTTGTGGATGCGCGTGGGCGTGTCAATTATCAAATATTGTGCCGGCATTCATGTAGCATGTGTGGATGCGCATGGGCGTGTTCATCATCACTTGTGCCAGCATGCGCGCAGCGGTTGTGGATGCGTGTGGGCGTTTGTGGATGCGCGTGAGCGTGTAACTATCACTGCGCCAGCGTGCGTGTCAGTGTTTGAACATGTGGAGGTGAGTTTTCGCCACCGACATGCCATTTCGGCTGAGGGAACCCTTTACCCAAAGCCTTGTGAAAACAAGGAGTAGCTGCATGTTTTCGTGAAGTACCTCGCGGTGATCACACCTGGCCCGTGAAGGAAAAGGAGTTTGAGCGCATCGTGGAGCGGGACTTCACAGGCTCAGGAGAGTGAGATTGACATGGGAGCGAAAGGTAGAGGAAGAGAAAGTACTTGTAAGTTTCGCGGTGGACCGACCGGCTGGTCACTCAGGAAATTGACCGTCAGCTTCTCGGCCAGTGTGACGGGGCCAAGTACCTCTTGGAGTTTCTGGAAAGATACAGAGGGCAGAGGAGCTTTGCTGAGGCTGAGACGCCCGGCTGGTATGCCCATGGCATCCTGGTGCCAGCGTGAGAAGCTCATCGGAAACTTCAACGTGCTCTCCAACGTGCCCGTGAAGTTCATGCTCCAAGTCAACCTGAACCGGAAGCAGCACAAGCACGTAACTTTGCAGGGAGATCACCCAAGCTCATCTCTGACAGTGAGGGGAGCCGGGGATGAAGAGCCAGTGTCGCCTGGTGGAGAGGCCATTTACTGGGAGGGTTGGCCCTTAGATCCAGAAGAAGCCTTTGCTGATGAAGATGATGAAGAAGATGAAACACCTGGTGGAGAAAGTGAAGAACCTCACGGAGGGCGACCTTCTGAACGTGATTGGCAACCCGCTGCTCGTGGACAAGAGAAAGCGTCATGGAGTATGGCTTCAGCCTTACCGAGCAGTCCGACAGCTTGATGGACGACAACCTGGACATCTACCAGGGAGAGATCAAGACGAAGATCAACGAAGAGGAGAAGATGTACCTCAAAGAGCGCATTCTGGACTTTGAGGACATTGCGGCGTCAAGGCGGACCCCTGGACCTCTTGGAGCTGTGATGTGGAGAAAACAGCATGTTGACTGGTGAAGTTCGGAGTTGAGGTGGACGAGCTGAACGTGCTGGTCTCTTCAATGGCTGTGATATCGCGAAGGCGGAGGGTTTTGACAAGCAGGAACCTCATTGTTCATCGGAAACCGCGATGGATTTGTTCACAGAGGAAGGCCACAAGAAGGGTGATGCCCGGAGGCGGAAGGCGAAGTACATGTTTCACCAAGCCATCAAGTTTCTGGACATTCATCTTCAACATGGAGGTGAACTTGCGTGGGAGTGGCCGAGATGGAATGCAGCCTGGAAATGGCCAACGGTGATAGAGTTTTGGTCGGCGTTGGAGGAGATAGACAAGCTGCGCGGCATCTTGGTTGATGGCTGTCAATTCGGAGTTGAGCGCAAGGGACAGCCGATCAAGAAGCCATGGAGGATCAGAGTGACAGATCCGCGCCATTTGGGCACGGCAAGACCATGTCCTGGAGATCACGCACATGCTCCTTGCCTTGGAGAAGGAGTACGAGAGAAGACAGGACGACATACTCCGGCATTTTGTCGGACGCTGGCAAAACTACATCGCAAATGTGGACATCCAGGTCCAGGTATGAGAAGCGCCGGTGGACCTGACGTTTGAGTGGGGGAAGCATCAGCGTCTTCGACAGCTGGTTTCTATGTCACAGAGGAGGTCGAGAACCGCATTTTTGGCGTGGCCATACCTGCACCAGAAAGTGAAGCCGAGTGGAAGAAGATCATGAAAGATCCTAAGAAGTATGCAGCCAGGCACGTCCAGAAGGGAGCCGAAGT